AAAGCTGTAGGAAAGGAACAGATCCCTCTCAAGTCATCCTAAATAATTTTTTAAAGAAGGGAGGGTCGTGATATCCCCAAGAACTTATTCCTAGGAGGAGAGCCTAGGACTGGCTAGTATGGCTAGAGTGGATGTCTGTAGCCTCCCCCAAGAGTTTGTTGTGCACTTGGTGAGCCAATGAGAAGGACCAGTCCAAGACAGAGATGATGTGGGTGTTGGGGGATAATAGGAGGAGGAAAACCTTGGTGCCGAGAGCTTGAGCTATAGCACTATGGGGGCTTCTTCCCTCACCTGTCTCCCCAGGGAGAAGAATAAGAATGGCTGGAGGCTCAATGAGGAGAGAGATCAGGACAGAGGAGACAATCATCTTGGGGGACATGGGGCAGGACAACACATTACAGGAAGGATGGGCATGGGATGCAATGGGAGCAGAGAGCAGAGGACAGGCCTTTACAGGGGAAGGCATCCCAATGGCCTTCAAGGACCTTGCTCCCCAAGTCTCTGATTGTGAGACCTTGTTTCTGAATCTGGGCTCACAGGAGATTATTACCACTGTACCAGCCTCCTTGCTGCATGGTAATTTCCCTTCCTGGTTTGCGGGAGACCATCTTGGAGCTGGCAGAGAGTTCCCTAGACATATGGTTCTGGGAGACTTCAATCTGCCATCCCTGGGTTCAAGCTCAGAAGCAACACAGAAGATCATGACATTGACCCAACTCAGATAATCACAGACTGACTCAGGATAGTGGTCATACACCAGATATAATTTCTTGTCAGAGCAATGGCAATGTGAGCTGGTGGGGAAATTTAACATTATCCTCCCTGTCATGGTCAGATCCTGCCCTGATGTCCTTGAGACCCTGCCCTGATGTCTCCACAGGGAGACTGGACCCATTTGTGTTCCACCCCTTGGAAACTAAGGGACCCAAATGGATTCCAGAGGGATATGGGGGATATCTCAAGGATTTTGCTGCATGGCCCTGTTGAAGCCTTGGTAACTACTTGGAATCAAAGAGTGGCCAAGGCTTTGGACAGACTCACACATGTGCAGTCTCTCTTGAGCCATCATTCTTGATGCTCCTTGTCATTCTTAGAGGAGTTATAGGTTTTAAAAATGGTTAATAAATGCCTACAGCACTGCTGGAGGAAAACAACAAATGACTCTGACTGGACACAGAGCTGCTATTAAGGCCTAACTCAGGGCGGCAAGAGTGGCAAAACAGCATTGTATCTCCGCCCTTACTGTGTCTGCAGTGGCCCTGTTCTGGATCACTTGGTCCCTTCTGGGACAGGAGGGCTTGGATGATCATCTTCAGGGCTGTGCAGAGGAATTTGTTCAATACCTAATGGACAAAATCAATTCATTCCATTTGGAAACCATGCCTGGGGAAAGGACTTGCTTGGTCATCTGGGAACAGTTCAATCCTGTTAGATCTGAGGAAGTGGACAGGGTTCTCAATGCTGTCAGTGCAATCATCTAACAATCCTTGTCCCTCCTGATTGGTGAAAGCTTCCAGGACAGTGACTAGAAGTTGGGTCCAGGCAAGAATGAGACCCACTTCTCACTGCAGGAGGGCACATTCCCAGCCCCTTTTAAGGGGAATTTGGTTTGCTCCCTCCTTAAATAAATATCACTGGATTCCACCTGTGTGGACAACTTCTGTCCAGTCTATATACAAAATGAAATTTTTGCAATTTTAGAAGATCCTGGAGGAAACAGATTCCTTCCAGTCAGTTTTCAGGTACAGTTATGGGATAGAAGCAACATTGGTTGCACTTGTGGATGATCTATGACAAGGGAAGGATGACCATGTGCATCCATCCTTGCTCTCCTTGACCTCTCAGCAGCCTTCAATACCATCAGCCATGATATCCTTTTGGGTCAGCTGTGGTCAGCCCCTTTACCCAAGGCCAGTGCCAATCGGTGTTGATAGGGAATGAGATCCAGTCTACAGCCACTCTTCTGCAGTGGACCAGAGGGCTTGGCTCTCTCCACTCCTTTAACATCTACATGAAGCTGCTGGATGAGATCATTCATCATACAGCATACAGCATTCATCATGATTCATATGCTGATGATACTCAACTTTATATCTCCATCCCTAGTGATTCTACTGCTGTCATTTCATGGTGCTTGGAGGCTTAAATGGTCAACAACAGGCTTTGGCTGAATCCTCTCAAGACTTAATGACTCTGAGTGCAATCATGGACCCAATTGACAACTTTGGGGTCCTTTTGGACTCCTGCACAAAGCAGCTAGGAGAATCTTTGCACAGCTTTAGGTTGTACACTAGTTGCAGGCTTTCCTGGATCAGGAGTGTCCTCCGCACTCAGATTGCAACAGGAACAGCAGTTTCAGAAGCAAGGTCTCACTACCGGAAACTTGGTGGCATGGCCTCTGAAGGCCAAAAGAGATTTTTGAAGATAATTGCCACCAATCGTCTCCTCCACTACAGCCTTGGTTGTGCCAAAACCTAGACCCACCCAGGGGAACTTCCCCCTCTGGGATAACCTAGGTCTCAGTATTGCTTCCTCCTTCCTAATAAGATTGCAAATAAGAAGGCTTCTTACTGACTAGCCTGGTATTCATCAGCAGCAACTTAAAGTTTAATCCTGGAGGACTGCTGCCCAAGGTCTGGGCATGAGCAAAGAAAGCAAGATCATGCCACCAGTCTTAAACAGCAGTGGTTGCTTAAGCAACAGGTCCTTTGGCTCCCATTATATCCAAATTATACTACAAATAATATTTAAAATGAAGCAAATGCTTTATTTTGGGTGTGTTCTCAAACTAAATACAGCTTTATGAAGCAAAGCATAACAGCTGATGATTGGGTATTACTTTTTGAATTTCCCAGTTTGAATTTCAAGTAGGTTTTCTGACCTTTGTAAAGTTTTTTAGCATGAAGTAGATTACTTCTTAAACTGGATTGAGAGGAATTTAATCCAGGAAATCAGTATTAAAAAAATAAATTGCTAAAGCAAGACCTCTCCTGGAAGTGTTGGATGCCATATGGAAATGGGAAGGTTATATCCGATCGTAATAATAGTGTACTGATGTTGCACCACAACATTTCATTTACCTCAGTGCCTTTTTAAGATATCTTACCCCTTTATGTGCAATTTTTGCCTGGGAATTGATAAGGGTTAGCACTAGATACAACAACCTTTAAAAATGTTATTTTTCTTCACAGACACTGAACTTGGTGTCAAGCAAGTTAAATAGAAAGAGGTGTTAACTAAAAAGTGATTCTCCCACAAACTTGGAAGCTTTTGCCTAACAGATCTTCTTGTAGTCCACCTACAGTTTTGCCAAGTTACAATCCCATTTCCTTCTACCATATTTTCTGTTTATGTAGATGAGCCAGAAAGAATTGCAAAGAGTAGGTGGCTGTTGCTTAACCCTATTATATCTATCAAATGTCCTTTGAAATTTATTCCCCTTAAGGTGGCTTAGAAGAAAAATCAATTGCACAAATGATTAACCACTTTTGAGGGCGAAGGCTTTCTCCTTTCCCACTTGGCTTCTCTCAGGTGGTTTTTTGTGCCATCAGCATTGCTGGTAAATGGAGAACTTGCTGTGATTAGGTTACCCCAGAGATGGTTTCCATGTAACGATTTTACTACTTTGAGTGCTGTCATCTTAAAGCTTCAGATGACAAAATATTCCATTTACAAAAGCTGCTCCTTGATTATACTCAATAACAATTATTCCTAATGGTTTCAGCTTGGCATAGCTATTCTTGAAGGATGATGCTTTTGATCACTGAGGCTTTTGAAAAGAAAACTTGTTAAAGCCTGAGATGGGTTACTCTCTTGCACAATAATCTCCTCTCCCTAAAATGTGTGATTTTACAAGAAGGAGTGTGTAAAATTGGTATAACAGTACAAATTGAAGAGTGACCGAGAACAAAGATAAATGTCAGAAACATGTTGAGCCTACAGTACAGAGTTGTGAAAGGAAAGATTAACTTGAGGATTGTCTGCTGATGTCACAGTGCTGGCAATTGATTCAGAGTTGCTTCTGCAAATGCAAGATGTATAGTGGAGACAAAATGATGTGGGAACTATGTCCGGAAATGGGGAAATAGCAAATTGCTGTTTCTAATCAATTTACGATGGGCCATTCACCTTTTGGATAATTTTAACAAGACATTTGTATTGACTCAGTGCTTAATGCTATTTTAAAAACCACAAACTCTAAAAATGGCTGTAGAATACAGTTTAGAGCTTAGTTCTTTCCATATCTATGTGGAAAATATCTCCAGTGATTTATATTTGTTCTCACATATATGTACTTAGGCAAAACAGCAGTTACGACATTAGTCTTGTCTGCTAGAAAAAGATGAATATTATAGAGACTCAAGGGGCATGTGATTGGATGAGGTCCCATTACTCGCCCCAGCTCTTGCCAATCTAGCAGTTTGAAAGCATGTAAATGTGAGTAGTTAAATAGGTATCATTTCAGTGAAAAAGTTTTCTGTGTTCCTTATTTTCATAGTAACTACATGATAATGGAAATGTCTTTCAGATAATGTAGACAAAGAATCAGAGATGAGTACCAGCCCCTTGAGTTGGTCATGACTGGACATGGGAAACTCTTAAATCTTTTTAACTATGTGTACTTAAGCATGCAACATGTAGTTGATGTAAAGTGCTAGTTTGCAGAATGGGAAAATAAGAATTGTGAGTGTTCCATGTGCCTTGGTGTATAGTTGTGTCAGCCACGTGACCACAGAAGGGTCTTCGGACAATGCTGGCATCCTCGGCTAGAAAACAGAAATGAGCACTGCATCCTAGAGTCGAACCACCTGGACAGGGGAAACCTTTACTTTTTTTCAAAATAAATTTTTGTGGGTTAGTTAAATTAAAGCTCCTCAATTATAAAATTGAATGAAAGACTATTTTTAAAGTGGGGGCTTTCATAGAAGAAATTGTACAGTCCAAAAATACTATTCAAAAATTCGTGAATAAATTAATTGGAGACTTTTTTTCCTTTTCAGAAAATCATTCGGCCCCTCCAGATGTTACCACTTACACCTCCGAACACTCAATACAAGTAGAAAGACCACAAGGTTCAACATCAAGAGCAGCTCCAAAATATGGAAATGCTGAACTTATGGAAACTGGTGATGGTATGTCTAGTAAAAGGGAAGAAGGTAGGCATAGACTCCAGAAAGTTTGGCCAGGTAGAAAGTGTAGCAGAGGTATTCTTGTTCATTAATATGTATGGGGAAAATGCATTAATTAATTAATTGAAGTTTAAAAAGTCTTAATTAGCAAGAATTTAAACTTCTGAATGAATGATGACTAGGAAAGTCAAGAAAAAATAAGATTCAGGTGTTTTGTATCTGTGTAGGTTCACGTAGGATAACTGGTAGCTCCAGAAGTATCCAGAAAAATGAGCCATGGAAGTAAAGTATTAGACATAACAGGTCTTGCTTGTTCTAAGCCTATTTGAAGTGATGTTTTTCTTGAAAAGTTGGGACTTCTTCTGGCTATACTGCTTGAGAAGGACATTCATCCATCTGTTTATTTAATCACAGTGAAGTTTAACTAGAGGATTCTTCCCAACTTTTAATGGTTATTTGCCATATTGGACAGAGATTTTTCAAAGTGTCTCTGTGGGAGTATCAAGCTGCTTCCAGTATGCCATTATTTAATCTGATTCTTAAAACCTGAATTCAGTCAGATTGGTATGCTTTTGTTCTCTACCTAGAATTGGTAGACATAATCAGCCCTTCAATGCTTTCAATGATTTATTTTCCTGCAGGAGTTCCAGTAAGCAGCAGAGTATCTGCAAAAATTCAACAACTGGTCAATACCCTAAAACGACCCAAGCGTCCACCATTACGAGAGTTCTTTGTGGATGACTTTGAAGAACTATTAGAAGGTAACACAGTTTGACTTCCATGCATGCATTTTGGGTGGGCCTGATAAAATTATTCATTTCTTGTGCCAGAAGAAAAAATCCCCAGTAAAATTTACTCAGATTCTGTATTTAGTTCTGGAGCCTTGGTAATGCTGTGGTTAAAATGGAGTAATGCAGGCAAACTCTGCCCACAGTCTGGAATTCAATCCTGACAGTGCTCAACTTAATTCAGCTTTCCATTTTTCCTTTAAAATGAGGCCCCAAGTTGTTGGGAGCAATATGCAAATTATTTTTTTTGTAAAACCCCCCCCCCAGAGAATGCTGTAAAGTGCTGTGGGGCAGAATAGATGCTATTGCTGTTGCTATTTGATGATATAGTTACAAAGAGATTTATTGCCCTATGAAATGGTGCATATAATTAATCTGCTACCCACTTCCTTTGTTTAGATTAGTTGGGAAAGAGCATTATTCACTATTATGTTTGTAAACTATATTCTTTAACTATATTACATGGCTACTGCTTGAACATCTGGATATCTATGAAGGATCTTGAGGGACAAATTGACTTCCAAATTGAGAAAGTCATGATTATTGTAAATATTAAAGTGGAAGAAGAAACATGATTGAGAAAGAGCTTCCCAAAAGTATGTCCCCTAAAATCCAATCATTATTTATTCCAACATCTCAAATAGGCCAGATAGACCAGTAGGATTATAAACTTTCCTCAACATGGGTATCTCCAGATTATGGATTTCAACACCCAATATTCTTGGTAAATTCTGGGAGTTGATGTCCATACATGACGACACTGCACCAACTGGGGAAGATTACTATGCAGAACATTCTGAAATCAAATTCAACATTTCTCTTCTTTTCAGGTGATCTTTCAAAAGTAAATGTTTAGTTCTCTTTCTCTTTAGTTTAGTGCAGAATTAAATGAAGTAACACCCTCTCACATTTGTAAGTTCAACAACCAGATCCAAATCAACCAAAGCCAGAAGGAGCTCAGATGTTGGCGATGCGTGGGGAACAGCTGGGCGTGGTTACGAATTGGCCTCCTTCACTTGAAGCAGCACTGCAACGATGGGGAACAATTTCTCCTAAAGCTCCTTGTTTAACCACTATGGATACCAATGGAAAACCACTGTATATTCTCACTTACGGTCAGCAGTCTTTTTTTCCCCTTTGAGAAAAGTAATACAATAGAATTCTGAAAATCTTGTGTTTTTAATTGTTAAATATTAATAGTTTGAAAGCATGCAAATGTGAGCAAATAGGTACCACTTCAGCATGAAGGTAATGGTGTTCTGTGCATCTTGGTATATAATCATGCTGGCCACACGACCATGGAAATGTCTTTGGAAACCACAGCCTTCCTCAACTAAGAAATGGACAGGAGCACCGCCCTCTAGAATTGGACACAACTGAACAGGGGAAATCTTTATCTTTACCTTTATATATGATCATTTCTTAAAGGGTCCCTTCTCCCAGGACAAATTATTAGAATTCAGCTTGACTGAAATAGAGCCAACTTGAGGAGTATGTTTAATAGAGAAGGTTATAATTAAATGGAGAAGTTCATGTTTGAAATGAATAGTGGTAGCTCAGTACTCATCATTAATTGGTTCTGGTAGATGCAATGAGTAAATAATGAGTACCAAACAGATTTTTGCCTTTAGGAATAATGTAGTGAATCACAAGGCAGCCAACACCGACACATTTTAATTTGTGCAAACTAAACAAATGATCAGTCAAACAAATGATGAGCATTGTGACAAAATTTTCATGTCAAAATGTATTGAGTACCAAATTCGATGAATTTCAGTTGAATACCAAAGTAGCACTGTATGAATTTTCATATTCAACGGAGTGATCTTCATTTGAGCAAAAACAGGAATAAAAACCATGAGAGCCATGTAGTTTAGAGTTGATAGCAATCAACAGATATAATAGTTTGAATCAATATTGGCAATTCCTTACCATCTTGAAGATGCTTGTTTTTTTTCTCATATTAATTTTTCTTTCAAGTACAAGAATACTCTAAATATTTTTCATTCCTGAAGTTACACAGACATTTTATGCATGTAGCATTAACAGCATTTATTAATTTTTTTCCTTAGAAAAATAATCAATTTCACATCACAGCTGTCCTTGCATTCTTGAAGAAGAGAGTTTGTATGTGGATATTCATTAGATAATGTTTTCTGCTTATATATTTCAATTCAGAAATAATTTAAAAGGACCATTTTACACCAGTCCTAAAATAATTTTCTCTCTCTCTACATAGTATATATTCAGTATATATTCAGTCTGAGATGCACACCTACACATTCTGGTTGTGTAGCAGCCCATGAATTCAGGGGCCTCCATACTGTCAAGTGGGAGTGGTGCAGAATGATTCAGATTAAAACAACCCACCCACCTTTCATTGCTGTTTGATATCAGTGGGATATACTTGCATACAATGCTGTCTTATAATATCTATTTCTGTACATTGTTAAGCATATGAAAAGCACTCAATTATTGCAGTGTATAAGCTGTGTGAAATATACTGTGATGCTGAAAAAATGTACAATTATTTGCAGCTGGTTTTTGTCAAATTCTGAACTGATAAGCATAAATTTGGTAAGACTATTCTGGTTTGCTGTGGCTAAGTTGGTGGTGTGTGGTGCTAAAAATCCTACTGTTCATGATATAATCCTGATTTTGTGGTTTTCTTTTCTGTTGGCATACTTTTCTGCCACAAGTTGACAGCTTTTACACCTAACATATTCATGACTAATGGAGCAAAAACCTGGAAAGAAAATTGCCAAGTTTTATAGAAGTATCTATATTCATGCTATCCAATGTCCCCTTTCCCTGCTCATAGTTCTTAAACAAACACATTTATTCAGGGATGTATCTAATGGATTTTAAATGGAATCTTCTGCGTATGGTAGTAAAATTATGCCCATTTCAGAAATGATTTGGAAGAAATGCTTTGGACCTCAAACCAAAACATGGGAAAAGTCAGTTTTTTTTTCTGGAAACAAAAACATAGTAAATCGTGGTCATGTGATAGACAAATGCTGCAACCAGACATTTTTGAAGTGCCAAAGAGTGCTGTTGTGACTGCTAGGGAGGTACCACTATTGAAATTCTACAACTGGGTAATAAGTGCCTTTTCAGTGTCCATTATAACTTTGAATGATCACTGAGTACCCAGTGATTAAACAAGGACTACGTCTAATCCATATTTTGAATTTGCACAGTGAATTTAAAATATTATTTGTCAAAAACAAAAACTAGGTCAAAATTAACTACATGCAGCAACTTGTACAACTGCAGCCATCAACTACCAGCATCCATGGAAGATCAAAAAGGGCAAGATAACAGATGGAGCATTACATGCAATTTTTAACAAGTGTGCAAAATCATGAGAAATCTTACACAATTGCTGAAATCTCATGAAGTTTAACATCTCTGCCCTGTGCACTCTTTCCTGAAGTGTTATGAAAATTCAGGCATTTTTTAAAAAATGTTTTAAATGTTTAATTCTGCTAATTGATAGACCATCTTTTGGGATCAGAGATATCACAAAGCTATTGCTCCCCTTAATGTTGAGCCATCATATTGCCATCAAATATGTTTTGGGTAAAGCTGCATCTTTGTCTTTTGATATACTTTCCTTAAATGTATTTCTGTCTACACTTACATCACTATCTATATTTTAATTAAATAAGTGGGATTCAAAATGAATTGCTTTCTCGTTTGTTTCCAAATTCCTTGCTTGCAAGTGCTTGATTTTCATTTTATATTTTTTGTCATATGCTCTGCTATTAATTACTGCAAATAAAAGGTTTCATCTAGATTGCAATTACGGAGAAATACAGTAATAGTTTTTTTTCATTTGCCTAACTGAACTTTCATAATTGGCTTAAAGTCACTGATCACAGCTGCAGGTGACTAATGGCTTGGTTATAGCCTTCTTTGAATTTGAGCCAAACATTACCAGCACTCAAAATGGTCTGGACACAATTGATGAAAAACATTTTCCTCTGTGTTAAGCGACACTGACATACAACTTGTAGTATAGTTTGTTCAGAAAAAGTTGACATTGATTGTGCCCTATACAAGTAGCCATGGAATTGTCAGGATAAACATTTCAAAGAACAAAAATCAACTTTCCCAGGCATATTGAAACAAATCTGACTTGTATGTGCTGATAAGACAGCAGCTACTAGCTGAATAATGTAATACCAAGGGAAACCACTTCTGAACACTTGTTAAAAGATAGAAGTATGGTTATAATATGGTTCATCAATTTTTACTGTTTGAGTGGAAAATTGTTCTTTGCTTAGAGTTTTATTTAACAAGGTAGACTTGTGCAAGTTTGGGGAAGGATTTAGATAAGATCCAACAAGGCAGATTACCTTTTGGATCTGTTTCTAAGTTCTTTTGAACTTCCAATATATTGCATAGAAGTCTATATGGCCAGTGATATATTTTCTTTAATTTGGAGGATTTCTCTGCTATCATTCTGCATTATGTAGATGTGAGCTTCCGAATATAAACTCATAAAATTCTATAAACATAATGTAAGTAAATCTGGCTTTCAAACTTGAATATCCAGTCAGTTACTTGTACGGTGAAATTAAAAACTCTTTGAGATAGAATAAAAAAGAAATATTTGATAGTTCTGAGTTAGGGCAGTCAGAGCCAACTTTGACTTTAAACAATTAGACCTAGCTGCTGATAAATTAAAGTTGTTCTTAAAGTACAAACTTGCCTGTTTAAAATATGAAGCTTAGCAGCACAGTCAGATATTGTATCATGAAGATGCCCTCTATAAACTCTAATATGTTTTTTATATAGTTATGAATTCCTACTTTTTTTGTTTGGGACAAATGTTACCTGAATTGCATTTTGAACCATTCTAAAACTTAAATATTCCATGCCATATTTATACTGTTTTTCTTTTTGATTAGGTAAACTTTGGACCCGTAGTATGAAAGTTGCTTATAATATACTGCATAAATTGGGCACAAAGCAGGAACCGATGGTGCGGCCAGGAGACAGAGTAAGTAACTTACTTATTTTCTTACATAGATTCTTAAAATCCCCAAAGGTGAGATGTTTTATTGTTTGAATAGGCTATTCATTCATCATGGTTTATATTTTTGTGTTTTGCTTTCTATAAACCAGGGTTGCAGAACAACTGTTCAAGTGTCACACTAGATCCTTTGATTGATGGTTGCATTTCCCAAAAAGAGGTGGAAAGGCAACACTAAGTTTACCTTAATCTATTAAAATTAAATGAATTAAATACTGTGAATATGATTCTTCCCCATGTTTCAATAATTTTTCATTTCTCACATTCAGTATTACAAATTCATAACAATCTTCAAAGGGGCTGTAGGAACTTTCAAGGATCTGAAAGAGACCTGAGACAACAGTGTGCACACCTGACTTTCAAACAATTTCACCCTAATATTTATATCAGATTTTTAAAAAATAGTTAATAGTCTGAAAATAGTTTATTTATAATAGCCTATTTATGGTTAAATTGTATGTATCTCTTTCAAAACGGAGGCTGCACATGTTACAATGGCTTCCTTATAAAGAGCATTAAAATATGCTTGTCATAGAGATGAAATCAGTTTTGGAAATAAGACTGTGTACGCCTGTATATTCTGGGAAATTCTAGAAACAAAAGAGTTTCTGTGAAAAGGTCAGACTTGAACAAGGGAATGTTGCTAGCTAATTAATAAGATGTTCAGTGCAATCAGTTAAAAATATTTCTGTTTAAAAGCACTCTGTTGGCATTAGAATATAATAGGTTAAAGAAGGGTTGACTTCTGTGAACTGGTGTTGAAATCGGTATGAGTGTGGGGCAATTTTCTTGTGTGATTTCTGTTTCATCCCAAGGAGAGGGACACATCTTTATCTCTAGGATAAAAGAATTTTGAACAATTGCATATCCAGTGCAATATGTTGTTGTTCATCACATCTAAATGTTTGTAAAAACCAGCTCCATCTATGTACTTTCCTCAAAAGATATGCCTCATTTGCGCATTTTCCTCGAGATATATCTCCATCTACGTATTTCCCTCAAGAAATATGCCTCCGTCCACATCCTCTTTCAAGATATGCCACCATGTTGTATTACAGAAACCCTGTTCCTTATTCACAAGCACTAACTGTCTCTATAGTTTCCATCTGAGAAACATTGGGTTGAAGAAGAATTTTCATTGCCAAACATATCTTTGTCCTTTCCCCAGTCCCTTTTCTCTCTATCTGTTCTGTGGTTTTCCTTTTTGCACTTCATTTCTGGTATTTTGTTTGGGTTTGTTCGGATCCCTTTCTTGTTCATCCAAATCACTGTGATGGCAGTACTTCATGAATTCCTTTCTACTTTTTATTTACATACCTAGTGTCGTCCCCCCCCCCAGAAGCTGCTACTTCCTCTTATCAGTATTAAAGTTGAATCAACAGTCAGAAAGTCAAAGCTGCTATTTACCACAAAGGGGGAGGGGAAAGCCCTACATCTGGCAAGAAATACAGAGCAGAAATAATGCTTCTCCATTTGGACAGTAACGCACTGTTTTTGTGCTACTGGGAATTGTGGTTTTTTTCTTCTCAGTGTTCTAGGGAGTTGCCCTGTTGACAGTCTGTGTAAATATGTCCTCCTGGAATTTGTTGAGTCTTGTGCTTAGTTTTCAAGTAGTCTCAGCCTCTCTATGGCTCCTTCTTCAATTGAATTTGCATAAGAATACTCATTATTATTTGGCACTGAAAAATTCTACTATGGAAATGATAGCTTCTGTTCCAGAAGATGCTTCATTTTTACAGCTTCTTTTCTGAAAATTGGAAAGGAGTTACAATCTGAACAAAGTGAGAAGGAATAAAGCATAAAACTGAAGAGGTTTTTTTAAAAAAACAAAAAACAAAATAACCTATGTTTCCACTTGTTTAACTGAAGCTGGTCTGTCGTGAATGCCAGAGAATGTTAATGAAACTCCACAGAAACAAATTTAAATTTTTAAACTATACTTCGGGGAGCACTTCTCTAATGGTGGCAAGTGAATCGCCCAAATGAATGAAAAGAAATAGCTTACATTAAATTAGTGGACTCTTGTATATATTCGTTGGTTTAACCTCTAATTGCCTTCTCTGCCTTCACTAATAAGATATCTCCCATCCCCTTTCTTGTCTTAAGCTGTTCAACTTCAGAGCACTTATGTCAGTTCAGGCCCTCAGAAATACTTTCTTTTCATAAGTGATGGTGAAAAATTAAACTAAAAAGACTGGGCAGATGTTGAAATTAAATCATTGTCTGTTTTGGCACATGGCCAAAACTGTCTACAGAATCTTTTTTCTTGATTTATGATAGTGCTTAAGACTCTAAATCATATCCATAGTAGGCAGCACACAGAACAAATAAGTCAAGAAAAGTTATAAAATTGACATTACAGCTAGATCTTTTCTTTCTTTGCACCTTGTGTGCTCTAGATTGTGGTGTGTGTATTGGTGAATTTCTTACTTAAAACTTGGAACACTTAAAATTAGAATAGTTAATTCAGCCTCCAGAGTATTAGGAAATTGTACCATGTATATCTTACCAAGGCACACAGAGAGATTTAAATGTAAATTCTTCTATTTACATGAATCCTAGTACACTATTTTGCTCCTTTTTTGACTATGTACAAAATAGCTTAAACAACAATTTATGGGCAAGAATATTATACTAATCTGACAGTGTACACATCTTTTCACATTCTAAAGTCTCCTCAAAAGCTGACATAGCAGTGCAATAAATAAGGTAACAGATGAAGATCTATGCTTTGTATAAACCTTCACATGGGTAAGGAGTAGCAAGGAGGCAGTAGGTGACATCAACCTCAGAATTAGAATGACAATTTAATGAGTAGCATTTAGCCATGACCTCAAAAGAAAGCTCTTGCAGCTGAGTTCTCCAGAAAATTGATTGCAGAAAATAATGCTATCTGGTTCATCATTATTTGAGACTGATTATTTTAAAGAAGGCCATCTCTCTTTTGAAAGAGCATGTGGCGTGACTGCAAGGTTTTAGCCTCTTTTGTTTTTAAGCTTTTTTATTGTCATGTGAAATGAATGTCAAAAGAGGAGGAATATGTAGAAAAGCAGTTTGAAAATGATCAACAGGAACCAGAAAAATATATTTCTTTCTTGCCTTTTAATGGTGAAACAAGAATAAAACAGATTTGCAACCAGGAAAACAGCCTTTCAGTATGTTGTTCTTTTATGAACCCGATTAAAAGCAAACATCAAAAACTAACAAAAAACTTAAGAGCATCATCTAGTGATTGTAGTTTTCCATTAAACATGTGGTGTTTGAAAAGTGATCAAAATGAAAGATGTGTATAAGATGAAAATGAAATAGGTTATATTTAGGCTGACTTAAAAGTCAATTTATGTCTCTTTCAGTTTTCTCAGTAGAAATAGGCTTGAAATAAGGATTTACATGTATTTCATTTTAAGTTCCAATTAATTTTAAGTAGGATAATCTAGAAACTGATCAGTAAGAGCAGGTGGCACCAAAAAACATTAAAAGATCTTTAAAGGATCATTCCTGCTAGAAGCAATTTGGCTTCATAAGATCCCATTCCTTGGGTTACCACTATTGTTCTCTTTAGAGTCATTTACTCTGTAAAGGGATAGACAAATCCTAATGCTAATGTTGTTGAACTACAGTTTACTGATTTATTTATCACATTGGTATATCATATATTACCAACATGCATCAATAAACAAGTATCCAATCAATAAGGAATTAATAAGTATAAAAACGAAAGTAGCAAGTAACTTCAATATCAAAACATTAAATATTGGATAAGTCCAATCCAAAAAATTCCATGGTGTCACTATGAAAATTCATGGGAAAGAATGAAATATAATCGTGCTATTTTGGAAGAGACCAAAATGTAAAAATACGGGTTTTCTGTTTTCATTCTTAAACAGTTTGCTGGGACAGCCCAACAAAGGAAGGAATTCCATAGCATTGGGGCCATCACTGAGAACGCCCTGCTGCTAGTAACTACCAGGCAGACTCCCTTCCAGAATGGACACGTAGAAAGTCTTTAGTCAAAGATCATAGCTTCTGGAACACAAATGATAGAAGCCCTAACTATTCTTTAGTAACCGAGTGATACCAGTTGCTTGATATCAGGTCCCAAGAACCAAAAAAAGACACATGAGTGCTTCTGTGCACATTCCTGTGTTGCTCCTCACCTATAAATAGTTTTTACTTCAGTTGGTAAGATTTCATTTGCAGTACTATAGATATATTCTGAGAAATGTATTTACATTTACAGATTTTATTCATTATTTATTTTTCTCCTCCCAATTTTTTTTATAGGTAGCACTAGTTTTTCCCAATAATGATCCTGCAGCTTTTATGGTAGCATTTTATGGCTGCCTTCTTGCAGAAGTTGTTCCTGTTCCTATTGAAGTGCCACTTACCAGAAAGGTAAGAGAAAGAAGTTTTTAGTTATCTTAGCAGGAATTAAGGTCAGATCTCAGGACATAATCTCTGAGCATTTTAGAAGAAAATGAAAAATGACAATATGCATTGTTGCTTTAACATATTTATGAAAATATATCATATTTAATACATGTCATCAGAATGTGTTTACCATCTGTGTATACATGTTCTGATGATTTTGCCTTAACTCGATTGGGAAGCTCACATGGACTTAACTTTTTAAATATTATTTTAGGACAGGTTTAAACTGAAGGTACTATAGCTGAATGCTAAATAGGATTTGGCCATCATTGAAAAGAACCAGGTTTTTTAGGGTTGCATTCTATCCCCCTGGTCTCTAAGGGACTAGTTTTGCATTCAAAAATAAAAGGGTTGATTGCATGTAGAACCATGAAAGCTGTGAGAAAGCTTTGAGCTATATTTTCAATGCGTTGAAGCCTAATATTAAACAAAACTTGAGATCAGCCACATTTGAAAGGCAGGAAAGAAGGTAGAAGCAGCCTTAGGAAGATGCTGAAGGCAATAGTGCGGAGAAGGTGATGGAGCCCATCACCAATCATACCATTTTTTGTGATGAACAGCATTGTCCAAGGTGCCTTGTTGCACAAGGTTTCTCCTTTCCTACTGTGGCATGGCCCTGGGAGGGCACCATAAATAATAACTGCTTGGAATTCTTAGAAAAATAGCTTTAAGAGAATTATCTAGAAAGGTCAAGATTTATTTGGATTTAAGTGAAAAAAATTCAAGCAGTGCTGATACTACAAGAACTAGGCTCCCTGAACTTTGCAAGAATTATCTTTTTCTTATATCTCTGGGCTATTTTCCATATAGGCAATTTATTCTTTTAAAAAATAAAGCTGATTGGGAACTTGAGCAATGAGTAGTCATTGCAACTTTGCTATTTCTTAAGTGGTACTTCATATGACTAGGATCTTTACAGAGCTAGTCCAGTGGAATTAAGAGTGGTGAACCAGCTGCATAATTAATACATTTTTGGATGATAAGATATTCACTATGAATTTCTAAGGTAGTCCAAAAGACATATATGGCTTTAGAGACTATCAGCATTGTTTGAGTTCAGTTAAAAAAAAGAATGCTTCTTGTGTGGTTTTCAAAGAATTCTAGGCAGCTCAATGATCAAAATAACAATAAACACATTTTTGAAAACAGAAAATATTGAAATAAGTAAATGATTAAAAATTGTTGGCAGTTGTATTGCTAATAATAGTTTCTAACCATGATTTGGCTGCTTATTAAGTTGAAGATCTTTCTTTATATTTTTAAACCACAATGGAATGTCATATATTGATTTGGAAATTTTATAACCCAACAAGAAGTCCCTTATTTCTCTTTTTAGGAAGTTCAAGTTTTCTGTGCATTGGCATGTTGGCTAGGAATAATCTGCTTATATCTAGCCCTCTAGGAGATTTGCCATGGAGTAAAATGCAAAGGCTGAAGGCAGGATAAGTGATCTATGCTTTTAGCAGATAATTTAATTTATTGGGGAAGACAGCCTCTCATGAAGACTTAAATAAATGTTTCTAGATGCAGATATCAATTATATAGCCCCCTCCAAAAAAGCTAGATATAACCAGGGTTGTGGACCATGGGCCATACACACCCTCTTGCTACTTTGATTAGTAATCGTCTGGCATTTGGGCTGTGTGCATGTCACAAACATACAGAAAAGTGGTTAGATTTCCATTCCAGTTCTGGAAATCTGCTTATGTCTCTCTGATCAATCTTGCCTGCCTTTGTAGACCCATCACTGGCTATATGTGGTTCACACTACTGTCTTTGCATTCCCTAATCTGTCCAAGATTAAAGCATTTCAATTCACCAAAAGTTAACAGTGCAGTTTACAGAAGTGGGAATGGTTTTCCAGGTGTGAATAGAAGTGAGTTCCCTATGAGAAGCCTCACATTTCCAGTCCCAACTTTAAAGTCCCTTCCTCCTTTTAAAAATATGGTATGTCCCTCCTGTGAGCTCACAACAGAATATCAGGTGCCTTACAGTCTTTCAAATATTGTTCACTTCTGCTTTATACATAAAGAGGCATGATGGCTCAGTGGTTAAAGACTCTGAGCTTGTCAGCTGAAAGCTAACAGCCTGGATTCAAGACCCAAGCACCATGCAGCAGGGTGAGCTCCCATTCCTTGCCCCAGTTCCTGCCCATCTAGCAGTTTGAAAACATGCAATGAAAATAGATTAATAGGAGCACTTTGTTGAGATGATCACTTTGGGAAGAATACAGCTCCATGTGCCTTTGGGGTATAACCATGCTGGCCCCATGACCAAGGAAAATGTCTTTGGACATAACTGGGCAGGAAAACCTTACCTTTACCCTTGCTTTATACATAGCAGGTTAGCAAGGATCATTCTCCAACACAGTGCTTGCCAAAGCTGGGTAAATTACTCAAAATTGGGTAAAAGTAGCTTTTCTTTGGGTAATAGGTTCATGCGTCCTTATACAATCACATTAGGTACTTTTAAATAAGGATTTTTTGATTAATGGATAATGAAGGAAAATATTTGGGAAGCACTGCTATAACAGCTTCAGAGAAATGATATCTATTAAACTTTCCCTCTTCCGTTCTCCTTGCATAAAAACTTTGTAAAGCACAAATGCCTTTCCGCATTTGACAACTAGCTGCTAAGTTTTTCGTCACACTTTTATTTTGCTTATAGTTGAAAAGATACCACAATAAATTAGTGTCCACTCAAAAGTATGCTAAAAGCATTTTGTAACTTGTCCTACCTGTTGAAATTCTTGCCAAGATTAGTTTTGTAAAAAAAAAAAAAAACATTTGTGTAAACAAGCATCATGTTTTCACAGAAATTACTGAAAAGGCAATTTCATGTTTTGAAAAAGAGAAATGGCAGCAAAGGCCTAAGTCTGTGGTTAATTAAAACATTTGTAACAGGGTTTTATATATAGCAGGTGTTGGAAGACAACCAATGAGCTGAACATTTTGGTTCATCCTCACCTCAAATTTTATCAGACTGCCTGAAAGTTCTGCCATTTAATTTTTCAGACTCCAGCTCTCTTGTCCCTCAGTTATTCAATCTCCCCATGATCATCTTGCATGCCTCAAAATGGCACAGTTATGAGAAAAAGAATAATTCATCAAATAAACTATACATGTGTACAAACTATATAGTGGGAAAGAGTTGGACGAATGATGTGGAATATCATTCCTGTGGTTTTGACTAATGTGATACCTAATATACGGATGAAGAACCCAAGAACACTTACTTGCCTGGTGAAATTCTCAGCATTTATGCAGAGAACTTCAGCACTGCATACAGATTTTATGTGAAAGTCCAGCCCTTTCTAACTCACTGGTTATTCTGCCCACAAGATTTCCAATACATAGTGGTTTTCTTATATCAGATACTGGGAAAGCAGACAATGTTCAGTATGCTAGTTTAAAAACTCTCGTTCTGTATTACTGTGTATCATGACTGAAATAAGTGATACCCAAAGTTTTTAGAGCAGGCATGTTAAAGGAATTCAATAATTATTTTCCTGTAGAGGCATGGTAGCTTAGTGGTTTAAAAGACACCGGAGAAGGTCTGTGCTCTGGTGGTGCGATCCTACCACAGCATAATGGAGTGAGCATCCATCACTTGCCAACTAACAGTTCAAAAGCATGTAAACGGAAGCTTATAAAACAGGTATCATTTCTGTGAGAAGGTAACAGTTTTCCGTGCTTTGCACTGCAGCATGATGTCATGCTGCTACTTGACTTGCAAACATCTTTGCCAGTGCTGGCTCAATGGCCTAAAGAAACATGGATGGGCACCAGCCTCTAAAGTCGACTATGCCTAGTGGAGTAAAACCTGCAGGAACTTCTTTATGTTTTCCTTACCATCTTATATTAAGGAGCTTCTACAGCACCTTATTGCACCTTATACCTTTATTCCCATCATAAAAATGTGGCCAGATGAGAGTGGTGAGTTATATTAAACTTATTGATTTGGGAATAGCATGCTTTAGAGAAGTATAGAATTTTCCAATTTGAGCCTTCTCTAGTGAACAATAACTTAAATGCTTGGCAAACACTTGTTCTAATTTCTAGTCTTCTTTCCAAGCACTCTTTTTCAGCTCAAGGAAAGCAGCCCTTTACTTCCCCTCTGTTTCAGTCAACATGACTAGTGATATAGAATCACTACTTTCTTGGAGATTATCCTGTGGTTTACCTTAACCTGCCCTGAGCCTCTTTTTAAAACACCGTTTCCCATCTTGCACATCTGTGAATATCAGTCCTAAGAATTCCTCAGCCAGTATGACAGTTGAGAACTTAGAGAACTGATGTCCATGTATTTTTAAGGCATCTAATATTTACTGCATCTGTCTGCCTCTTCTTCCCAACTCCTGAAGTACCTTTATGACTCTTACTATCCCGTGTCTGCTATTTTCTCTTAACTTCCTTCCTTCTTTCATCATTGCTGTCTACTTCACTACTACTTTGTAGTATTTTGTATGTATAAATCTCCCCCTAATGCTAATATTTTGGAGTGATAGGATTAGGCCTATATGAGTTAATCTGAGGACACAAATAGTCTTTAGAAGCTCTTCCTTCACCTTGAAATGAAGGTGAAAGATGGTCATAAAGTTCTTTAAGCTTGAGAACATAGATTTTTATCCTACGATTCCCCCCCCCCCCACTCTGTTCCTTGTCTTCGAATGGGTCATTTCCTAGGTGATGATGGAAGTGAAGTTCCTGAAAATTCATCTCTCTGATACAAGAGCAGAAGCTTCACAAGACAAGAACCCCTTACATATGTATGATATATAAGCAGCTGAAAAACTTGAGATGTTGTGATATATAATCACTGTCCTCAGCTTGTAAAGACAAATCTCATTTAGGTTTCTTTTCAAGCTAAGTAAAGCTGTGCCCTGTAGTATGTTTTAAAATGGACTCTGTCAATGCTACCTTTTTGTTTTAGAGAAAGTTCAATAATCTTTTGGATAACATATAGCATTCCGAAAGAAACATACATTTTAGAGAAACCGTTCATATCATTTCCCCCCCAAGCACATTCTTTTATGCTTTATCTTTTCTCCCCTCTTCCTATCTCTTCTTTCAAAACCAGATAGTCACAACAAAATCCATTGCATCTGTTGGTTTTCACGGACATTCTTTCTCTTATAATTGCTCTGATGTTGCAGAAGCTCTGCATGGCAGAGAAACTGTTGACAAAATAGTAGGGCGGGGTGGAGGGGTTGACTTTCCTTCTTTTTAATTAAAACCTGGCCAGTAGCTGAATAACAATAAGAATACTGGCAAGGAAAGGCAAACCCCCTCCTTTAATTTCTTAGCTTGCCATGATTTCCAAAACATTTTCTATAGCATCCATTGGCAGCCCATTCATGCATTTTTGCTAGACTACTTTTTTGAGAAATATATAGAAAACAGAAGCTGGGAAAGAAAATCTGTAGATGTAGAAAATATTATTTATTAAGCATGCATATATATTTGTATTACACTATTAGACTCCAGATGTCCGGCAGAATATAAATTGGACCCAGAGAAGACTGTTGAGAGTATATATTGACCTAAGGAATATTATTTTGTGTACATGGACATTTCTTTGTCTTATTTCTGTGTTTTTATTTCCTTTTTCACATCAAGCTACACAAAGAAAGCATATACACTATGTTGTTTGAAGTAAGCTCTCTCAATGTAGTGTTCTCTGGTTAGCCACACCTTTCTACACCCTTTGTAGCCTAGATAAAACATTGAGTTAGTCCTGTTGATTACTTCTTGATTTAAAGACAGATGAAGTCCTATTTGTCATTGTCTTGGGGCAATAGATGTACTTTAATTTTCTTTGGGGTGTTAGAAAAATCTTGATGGGGAAGCTGCAGATGGTAGAGACTGACAACCCAGGAATGTTTGCATTCAGGATCAGAGTGAATAATCTAGGTCTAAGTAACCACTGGCATGATTTGAAAATAATGAGATCTGTCAGCTAGATTTATTCACAATAAAGGAAGTAACAGCCCACAACCTTCTCTCCAAAAGACACCCTAAATCAGTGTTTCCCAAACTTGACAATTTTAAGGCATGTGGACTTCAACTCCCAGAATTCCACAGCCAGCATTGTCAAGTTTGGGAAACACTGCCCTAAATTTTCGGGATTCCAGCAAGGGGTAAAAGCGGTAGACAATTGTTGTCAGTCCTAAGCTAATGTAGGATGTATTTTAATATTTATGCCAACTTTGATTAATGCCTTTTAAACTTTTTTAGGGCCTGGCTAAGTCATGAATCTCCTTGGGCTACTGATAGCACAGCATGCACAGAATTTTTCCCCAACTGGCATGATTTCATCCTCTTTGTCTCTTTCTATTTATCTTAAAAAGGGTACTCCTCCTTCTGTCTGGATTTTCATAGAAGCCAAACCAAATGAGAGCTCATTTCTGAAGACTTTTCTTGCAAAAGTATGTCTTTAACTTTGCCAAGCTGGAAATACATATCTCATAATTACTTTAATCATAAGAAAATGCAAATATAATTGAGAATTTGTTGGGTGCCTGAACTTTGAAGTAATTATACAAATCTGTCATAAACCAGTTTCTCATCCCAATATATACTTTAAAAATCAGCATATACAAACCCAACTGTGTAATTAAATACTATTTTAAAATAAGCTGACTATAGAGAGGTTGATGCTAGGTTCTGAATGTGGGGGACAGTATAATGCATGTCTTTCCCCTAGAACCGATAGCTTTTTAACAACTTTTAACTATACATAAAAAAACAAACTTAAGTTGTTGAGCTATTGGACAAAATAGATCTGTATCTCAAGACCTTTCTTTTACTATCTCGATAGTCACAAAACCTCCATTTCTGCTTTTTGTTTGCTTCAGATTTCCAGTGCCTAATGTCTTTGTAATGCAATGAAAGTCTTGCTGTAAACTTATCTATTCTGTTTTGAAAACTGTGGTGTCTGGCTATTGTCTGGTGCATCTTGAACAGATACTGGGGTATAGTGATGGACTTTATCTGTATATTTTATGCTGTTGTATCTTGTTGAGTACTTGGACTTGGCCAAATTGAAACAGAGAAACTGAATATTGTTGATGTAGAGTCATTGCTTTTTCTAACTAGAGTTTTCCAAGGTATAAATTTTGTGTTAACCTCAGTGAGTAGAGGAGAGGAAATATTACAAAGAAATAATTTTTAAAATGCTATAGTTGCTGTAATGTTGTTGATTTTTGCTTGGGGTTTCACAGAATTCAAGTGCCCCTAATTCTGTTGGGATAATCCAAATTCAAAAGCCTTTGTAAGTGAAAATGGTGAGATAAGGATGTTAAATATTGAGCAGTTTGTGGCTTAATGTATGGTATGAATCCGGCCAATACAATAGTTTACAATTCAATAGGATGCAAACATTGTCACAGAATCAAACTATTTTAAAAAGTTGGTGTCCAATAATGGTCAGCCCAAGGTATCTGGAAGGCAATTAAAATAACAGGTGTTGCATGTCCCTCCTTTTGTTTTTAGACATAATTTGCTGAACCATTATGGCTATTAGATTTCTTTCCCATAAACTTATTTTTCCTTTTCCTTTGGGTTATCTAACTCAGAAGTCACCACCACATCCTGTAGCAATAGATTCCCTGCTCAGTTAATACAGTCTAATGCTTTTCCTGCTTTGGAATCTAATACTTGCCTTTTATAGATAAAGAAAAAAAATCTGCCTATCTAGTTTGTGGATTTCTTTGTGCCCATATTTGTTTCCAGTTTTTATTCTGCTTTTCTTCTCTCTGTTATAAATTGCCCACCAAACATCAGGTTGCAATTTCAAAGATTGGAAAGGTTGGGGTCTTCCTGATCTGATTTTTGCTTTTTAAAGAAAAATACAATTCTCTGTATTAAATATTTTATCAAAAAATGTTCTTACAAAAGCACTGAAGCGTTGAAAGCCAAGGACCTTGATCAAAACATAATAGATGTCTTTAAAAAAAAAATAGTTGACTAAGTAAAGCAAATGTTAATAGCTCAGACATATTTTAAAGGAAAGTTTTCATTACTGCTTTTGCATTGATTCACTTAGAAGCTTTTCCCCCCTTGCTTTTTCTTCAATTAGGATGCAGGTAGCCAACAGATCGGCTTCTTGCTTGGAAGCTGTGGTGTTACTGTAGCCTTGACTAGTGATGCATGCCATAAAGGGCTACCTAAAAGCCCTACAGGGGAGATACCACAATTTAAAGGTAAGTTTGTGCAGGGTTAATTCAGTACCATATGCCATGTGATTTCATGTCCATTATCCAATGATGAGCAAAAGTAGAGAATTGTACTAATTAAAAGATGCAAAAGATGTCTGAATTTGTATCTTCCAAAGCTGTGTAATTATCAGATCAGTACTGTCTATCTTGCCTGTTCTAACCCAGTATAATTGGGTATAATTGTCATTTAAGTACTGTTGAGAAGTGCCCCACTGACCCTTATTGTCTCCTGGCAGGATAAGGTTAACTAGAACAGTTCACTGAAGCCAACCCACAATCATCCTGTCTTCCACAGACCTTGAAACACAAAGCTTTTCTTCCAACTGATCAGTAGAACAATGTTGTTCTATCCATGCCTTGTCTTCTGAACTACCGTGGGTCCTGGAGTAACAAAAATTCCACTCATTCTCAGCTTTGCAAAACAAAATTTGCTAGCAAATATTCCCTTTTATATTTTGTTCTGGGCATGCCACAGGAGGATGTGTGTAAAATGAAAAAAGAAACATTCATTTTGCGTTCATTCTGTCACTCTCGACACTTTTCAAAGCTTCTGAAAGGGAGGTGGTGGCATGCTAGCTGCTTGACGTGGGAGAGAGAGAGAAGGAGAGGCTCCAGGAACAGGAAGTTGATCCTCTATGGGCAGTATCGTCAAACATTTCCAGTGGCTATTTAAAACTGGGGCCAAACTCATGCTGGGAGTGCGCAACAAGAATTTGATTTTATATCTAACGGTTCCAGCATTTACTGATCTTTAACAACTCAGAGATAGCACAGGAGAACACTTTCCATTTTTATTAAAAAATGTGGACCACAGGATTGCACAATGACTTCTGTTATTTTTTAAAAAGTTGCTCTATGTTTGTTTCTAAGGCTGGCCAAAACTGCTGTGGTTTGTGACAGAATCAAAACACCTTTCGAAACCTCCTCGAGACTGGTTCCCCCACATCAAAGATGCAAACAATGACACAGCTTATATTGAGGTGAGTGCAGTGTGCGTAATATATTGGTTCATTCATATTCACATGTGCATCATTTCCATTTATTACTCTGAGTCCAGATTAATAGCTGATTAAATGTTTTAAGTAAATATATTGCAATGTACTTATTAAATAGTGAAGCACATATGAAACATCTCCATTCCTATGCAATTATAGCAATCTGCACTTGTATAACATTGTTGGGGAAATTTAAAAAAGCTTGATATCTCAATTCAGCTAAATTTATATAGGGTACCCCCCCAATCTTTGAATGACAACATGGATAACCATTTTAGTGGCTGCATATTTGAACTTATGTTTATAGATACAATAAATGTTTGCTTTAAGAATTAATGAGAAGGAAAGACTGGCTTGTAGACGCCAATGGGATTTTACACTGCTATCCGTGTAAAATCACAAATAGAATTAAACATGCCTAGAGGCATAAAATTTAGTCAGATTTTGTCTGCTATATCTGAAGTCCACTGAATCAAAGTCTATTGAATCAGAAGTTTTCTAAAAAAAACAGCAATGGAAACTTCTCAATAAAAACTAATTTGAAAAGTTCCAGAATGCAATGGCATGTGCAAAGCTCTGTAAAAGATAGATGCAATAGAAGTGCTTTAAATAAACAAGGAAGGAAACTGAATACTTCATAATATTTTTATGAATTAAATATCAGGACAACGGATGCTGAGGCTGAAATAGTAGCACTCAGCAGACTTTTACAGGGAAGGGATGGGTACTGAAGTGTATAGAAACATGGGAACTATGTTTTATCATTAGACAGTTTGACAACTCCCGACAGATGTTCTTTTTAGAAGCTAGTGGGACTATATTATTCAACTTTACTTTTAGCACATATTGCTGGTTTACAATTCCACAGAAACAAAAGAAAGACATTTCCTTCCAAAATATGCTTGTTAACTTACATGGGCTCCTAGTTCACCTCTATTTGAAAGGTTTAAGCAGAGGAACACAAAAATAAATGCTTAATATCAAATCCTATATTAAGCAGGCAAAAACTTACATGGCTTCTTTTAGAGGTTGGCCATGGGAGTTACATGAAGGGCCCCAAGTGCTTCCAAGCCTCCTTTTGAATCTGAAGAGCTTCATTGCTATAGGTACACATGTTTAATTGTGGTGTTACAGCAAAAAAGGCAAATGCAATTTTAGATTGCATTCATTGAAGTATTTGCAGTCATGAGAGGGCATAATTCAGGTTCAGTTTCTGTGCTGGTCGGACTCCATTTCAAGGGTGATTAAAAAAAAAATCAAAATAGGCTCAAATATAGGTAGCAAAGAAGATTTCATTTGAGAGATAGCGGCTGCAGGAGGAAAGGACTTTTGAAATATTTAAAGGGGTGTCACACAAAAGCAAGCTGCAAACTGTTCACTGTTGGTCACAATGCAGAAACTGGAATTGGTTAGGAAAAGCTTATTAATGGTAATAAGCTTTGATAATGAATCTGTTTCCTAGGAAAGAAATAGGCTGCCTTTTCAAGCAAAAACTAGGCAGCTTTCTAATGGAGGTACTTTAATTCGGATTTCTGTAGTGATCAGGGGCCGTCAATAAGATTGTTCAACCATTAAGGCAAACTAAGTATTGATATGAGAATTGGGTCTTTTTTCCCCCTAAACTGCTTAGTCTGGATCTTTAGGGAGCTAGAGGATAAAGATATATAGTTAATTAGCAGGATGATATGAATGGAGAGAAACAGAACTGGTTGTGTAAGAATGGGAGCTTGGTTATTGAATAAAAAAAAAACAGCTTTGGTTGATGACATAATACTGAATGGTAGACATCAGTAAACTTCTGAAATACACAGTAAGAGATTTTTTTTAAGATGCACAATTTACGACCATTGCAGGTTACGACCATCATGAGTAAGAGCAGACTCCCTTATGGTCATAATTCAAGGACTATTTGTATTTGAGGTTTGAGGACTCAGTGGGACACCTTTCAATAGACAGTTTAATAAACTGAAGGAGATAGAGACCTAACAACAGTTTTGTTATTCCCCGACACTGATGAGCAAAATTCTGTTACTACAGTACAAAACATGTAAGGATGGAAGTGTTCTTGGCGTGACAGTGACAAGGATTGCATTACTGACCCATTGTCAAGCGCTCACCCAGGCATGTGGATACACAGAAGGTATTTCAACACTTTTAAAAAAATGACTAAACTAGCTTCAGAAAATGATTTAGCATGATAGATTTTACTGGGTTTTGTTTTAAATAATTGGATGGAGACAATTATTCAATAGTCAGGAGCTAAGCTATTTCTCCCAAAAATTGGAAAGCAACCCAGCTTATTTCTTAGCCAAACTGATTTTTGAATCTTCCCAGAACTGTAGAGTCCTTGGACAAAACTGTATTTGCCCTAGGTTTTTTGGTTGTTGTTTTTTGCAGTATTTGGAACATTCTCTTACTGCAAGTGAGAACAACAAATTGGTATTGTAGTGCAAGGTCTAAAATAGTTTAAAACTCTACCTCATACCTCAAAAGAAAATCCATTCTTCCCATCGACCCAGAAAAATGGAACAGAAAATCCTAGTTCTTTTTATGATAGAGTTTGCCCCTTTTTGTGCAATTACTAAGCTCACTTCAAGCTAGATATGCCTGAAATGCTGCAAAACATAACCAGGATTAATAAAAACAAGAGCTGGATTCAAATATTCAATTGAGATCAGGACCGCCAAAAGTTTATACAAGATAAAAATCTGTGGGATGCAATTTTTCTAAACTTCAGACTATCATCCAAGATGAAGGACAACTTCAGAGTTGTAATTTTCATCTCTAATTAATATGAACTTCTCAAGCTTCTGAGATTTGTATTACCTACACATCTTGAATAATTCTCTATAGGTGGAACAGTCATTAATTTTGGAAATTATGAATTTTCTGCTCTTATTTTCAACATTTTCCATCTATTTTCAGAAGAATAAGTCACTGTTATGCAAATGACAATGAAGGAAAGAGAAATGAAGGACCAAATAGGTCAAAAGCAATGAGTCAGAATTGATTTACTTCAAATTGTTCTCAGGTTATTAAAAAAAAAAAGAATCGACTACATTGTAAGATGGAGTTTTTTATTGGCTGTACCTGGCATCCAGGAACTAACATTGGGTTTTTTTTTTTTTTTTTTTTTGTCATGTAGCTGAAACCATTGTGAATGTCCTGGATTTCAAGAAAGATGTGGGTTTATGGCATGGCATCCTTACAGTAAGTCTACCATTATTTTAAATAATTACTTTAAAATGGGATGTTATAATTTACATTTCCATCAGAAATGCAAGTTGGCATCTTCTCAAGATGCACATCTTTTCCAATACTGAAGAGTGATAGTCTGAAGCTTGGTAGATAGAACTGAATTTTGCAGATATTCATATCTGATTTTAGAAGTCACTATTCTCCCATAATTAATATCTCAGAAAGCTGATAAGCAGTTTACCTCTGCAACTGTAGATATTCAGTCTATGATTGTCAATGTCTTATGGAGGAGTTTTTGGCTCTAAAACAGGAACAGCCGCTCTCTATCAATTACTGGAATTGGCCCAGCCCATCTGCTAGTCTGGAGAATGCTGCTGCCTTTAGATGCCCACAATTTCACTTGTAAACTTTAGTCCTACCTAACTTAAGTAAGTAGAAGGCTAGGTTCACACATCACACTTAAATTATAATGTACTTATCTGGAATTTGACTGATTTACATAAAGCTAGTCATCCTAGCTAATTCAACATTCTGACTAATTAAAACAAGCCATGTCTTAGATGTGTGAACTCATTTAAAAAGGGATATTGGCTCAGAAAAATACCTGAAACTGTGATACATATCACTATCAAACTTCAATAATATTATTTTTCATCTAGTGCTCAGGTTAAGAGTAAAGCAAAACTGGACAATCCTGTTCAACCCTCCATCATTCATAACTTCCTCTGTATGGGTCACAATTTGGTTTGTCCCCTCCTTGAAAAAAATCTCAGTCCCATCTATCTGGACAGCATCTGTCCAATCTCCTATCTTTACTTTTTAGAGAATATGCTATAGAAGGTGGAATATTTGGAAACTTTATAGAGGATTCTGGATGAAACAGATTTCTTTCAGTCAGGTTTTAGCTCCAGTTATGGAATAGAAGCAACATTGCTCACACTTGTGAATGATCTATGGTAAGGGCAGGATGGGGATAGTTCATCCATCCTTGCTTTCCTTGACTTCTCAGTGGCTTTCAATACCATTGACCATGATATTCTTTTGAGTTGGCTGCAGAATTTGGGGCTGGGTAGTGTCCCAGGGTCAGTCCTAATCAGTGTTAATAGGGAGTGACAGATTTAGTCCATAGACTCTCAGGGCACTCTCCCATTCTTTCTGAACATCTACATGAAGTTACCAGTTGCCACCACCATGGAATGAGGTACAATTAGTATGCTAATAGTCAGCTTTACGTCAACACTTCTGGTGATCCAAGTGACACTGCTGACTTCTCAGAGTGCCTGGAGGTTATAGGAGTGTTGATAGGGCACAAATTTCAGCTGAACCCTGGTAAGACCAAGTGGCTTTGGTTAAAGTCCAGCTCCAGGACTTTAACATCTTTAATTCTGGATGGGGTTGGCTAACCAGACACACTGGTGCTCAATCTGTGGTTTCTCCTGAATTTGTAACTCCTTAATCTCATTGTCTCCCATCTTCCCTTTTTAGGGTCCGTGGTATAGAAGATGGAATGTTTGGGAACTTTAGAGGAATCTAGATGAAATGGATTCCTTCCAGTTAGGTTTCAGGCCCAGTTATGGGACAGAAGTAGCATTGGTTGCACTTGTGGATGATCTATGGCAAGGGCAGGATGATGGTGTGCATCCATCCTTGTTCTCCTTGACTTCTCAGCGGCTTTCAATACCATTAACCAAGGTATCCTTTTGGGTTGGCTGTGGTATTTGGGGCTGGGAAGCATAGAATTGTGCTGGTTTGATTCCTTTCTCCAAGGCCAGTGATAAATTCCTCACTGCAGGAGGAGGCGTTTCCAGGATGTTTTAAGGAAGCCTTGGTTTGTCGCCCCTTAAAAAAATCTTATTTCAATCCCATTGCCTCCCATCTTCCCTTTTTAGAGAAACTGGTGTAGAAAGTGGAATGTTTGGGAATTTCAGAGGATTCTGGATGAAATAGATTCTTTCCAGTCAGGCTTCAGCTCTAGTTATGGGACTGAAATAACATTGGTTGCACTTGTGGATGATCTATGGCAGGGGCAGGATGACTTTGTTCCTTGTTCTCCTCGACTTCTCAGTGGCTTTCGATACTATCAGCCATGATATTCTTTTGGGCTACCTGTTGAATTTGGGCTGGACGTCACAATCTTGCGCCGGTTCAACTCTTTTCTCCAAGGCCAATCCCAATAAGTGTTAATAGGGAATGAGAAGTTCAATCCACAGCTGCTGCTTTATGGCATGCCAAAGTTCTCAGGATTCTCCACTCCACTCCTTTTTAACATCAGTATGTTGACAATAATCAGCTTTACATCAAATCCTGATGATTCAAGTGATACTGCTGGCCTCTTATAGTGCCTGGAGGTTGTGGGGGTCTTGGTAGGGAACAATAAACTTCAGCTGAACCCTGGTAAGACCAAGTCATTTTGGATGCATGGAGCTTCCAGCTCCAGGACTTTAACATCTTTAGTTCTGCATGAGGTTGCACTACCTCAAACCAACTTGGTGCACAATCTGTTTTTTCTCCTGCTTGCTGAGCAGATGCAGCCATGGCCAAGAGAACTTTTACACAACTTCATGTTATGTGGCAGTTTTGCCCTTTCCTGATGGGAGTCTCTGCACCCAATCACTCAAACCTTAGTCAGCTAATGCTTGGACTACTTCAATGTGCTCTACATGGGGCTATCCTCAAGAATTTCTGGAAGCTTCAGCTGCTGCAGAATTCAGATGAATGAGCTCTTCTTTATAACCTTGGATGTCCCATATTATATCACTGTCCTGCAAACTGCATTGGCTACCAGTTTTCCTGTGTTCAATTCAAGTGCCAACTTGGCACTTCAAAAGCATGCAGTTGAGAGTAAATAGGTGCCACTTTGGTGGAAGGTAACAGCACTCTGTTTCTTCTGGGTCAGATTCAAGCTGTGGTTATCATCCCTGAAGATCTTCATGGTATGGTCCAGGCTATCTGAGAAACTGGTTCACCCCCCAATGGGATTAGCCCACTATACCTGTGCCAGAAGAAAGGTTTCGTACAGCGTTCTTAAGACATCTGTGACCAGCCAGGAGTTGCTGCCACATGGAAAAAAATGGTTGATAACAATATTCAAAATAGCCCCACAAGTCTCTAGATTATCCAAGTCAACTTGAGAAATAATAATTTGTACCCCCTTCCAAATATAGAATTGGATATGACATAAGAATTCCTTATTTTATTACATGTTTACATCTGGTCACAGTTTGCTTGCATAAAATTTGATATTTCAGGATATCTCCCAGATATTTTGAGCTAGGCTACTTCCTGTGAGATTTATGACATTTATGCATTTATAAAAATATGTGGTGCAGATTCCTTATACGAAAATTAAATATTTCTTATATTGAAGTGAATTAGTTCCCTGTTCCTCCTGATTGTTGAAAGCCTCCAGGATGGTGACAGCCCCATGGACTCAGAAGTGACAAATTCCTCCTGCAAAAGGGGTCCTTTCTGGGATCTTTTAAGAAAGCCTAGGTTCCCCCCTTCCATTTAAAAAAACTTCTCTCCGTCCCACCTGTCTGGACAGCTTCGGTCCAGTTTCCCACTTTCCCTTTTTTAGGGAAACTGGTATAGAAGTTGTAATGTTTGGGAACTTTAGAGGATTCTGAAACAGATTCCTTCCAGTCAAGTTTCAGGCCCATTTATGGGACAGAAACAGCATTGCTTGCACTTGTGGATGATCTATGGCGGGCTGGATGCATCATGTCAAAACCACGCCCACCCCATTGCTGGCAATGGGGGAGAGGTCACGATACGTCATGACACGTCACATGACATCATAAGTTTGACACCCGTGATCTATGGTAAGGGCAGGATAGGGATAGTTCATCGTTGGTCTCCTTGACTTCTCAGTGGCTTTTGATACTATCAGTGATGGTATCTTTTGGGGCCATTTGTTGAATTTGGGCTGGGTGGCACGGCCTTGCATGGGTTCAACTCCTTTCTCCAAGGCCAGTCCTAATGAGTGTTAATAGGGAATGTGCCTGGAGGTTGTGGGGTCTGGATAGGGGGCAACAAACTTCAGCTGAACCTTGGCAAAACCAAGACCTAGTACACAATATCAGTGAAAGGAATAGCACTCTGTGTTTCTTCTGGGTCAGATTCAAGCTGTGATTATTCACCCTTGAAGACCTTCATGGTATGGTCCAGGCTATCTGAGGAACTGGCTCACCTTGATGGGATTAGCCCACCATACCTGTGCCAGAAAAATGGTTCACTACAGCGTTCTTAAGACTACATCTTGAACAGCCAGGAATTGTTGCCACATGGAGAAAATATCTTGATAAGAATAGCACCACAAGTCTCATGATTGTCCATGTCAACTTGGAAAACAATAATTGGTGCTTCTTCCGAATATAGAATTGGATATGACATAAGAATTCTTTATTTTCTAACAAGTTTTCATCTGGTCACGATTTGCTTGCTTAAAATTGGTCTATCTGTGGAATTTGGGCCTGGGCGTTAGCAAATCTCATGCCCTTTCTCCAGGGCCAGTCCTAATCAGTGCTAATAGGGAATGAGAGGTTTGTGGTGTGCCACAGGACTCAGCATTTTCCTCTGCTCCATTTTAAGATCCACATGAAGCTCCTGGGTCAGATCATTCACCACAACTATGGCATGTGCTTCCATCGGTATGCTGATAATAGTCAACTTTACATCAAACACTCCTGGAGATCCAAATGATATTGTTGCCCTTTTATAGTGCCTGGAAGCTGTCTGCAAATTGCACTGACTCCCTATTTGCTTCTGGGGTCTAATTCAGGGTGATAACTGGCATTATCACCTTTAAAGCCCATGGTATGGGACCAAGCTGAGAAATTGGCTTACCCCAATGGGATTAGCCAGTGCCAGCTGGGCTAGAAGAAGAGCCATGCAATAGCCGCTTCAGCCAAGGAATTTCAGTCTGTGGGGTCCAGAAGAGCTTTTCTGCTATGACTCCTGCCTTCTGAATCATCTTGCCCCTGAAGTTAGATCTGCTCCCTCCGCTTTTTAAGTCTTCTAAAAGGCCTTGAAAACATGACTGTACCAACTAGCCAGGATCCCCAATTGAAAATCGTTTCCTCACTGTTGCTGATACCTTATTTCCTTGCTTTAATTTCAGAGTGTTATGAACATGATGCATGTGATAAGCATCCCTTATTCCTTAATGAAAGTGAACCCGCTTTCATGGATACAGAAGGTGTGCCAGTACAAAGGTAAGGGTGATGGCTACATCAATCTACTTTGAGGGAGCAGGAGGTAGGCTTTATTGTATTAAACTGGCAAAATGGAAGTCATCCCTCCTGCTCCTTTTTCACACCCAATCTGTGAAAGATTGGCTCATAATAGTGTAAAAACTGAAACTCAGAATTGAAGTCTGCCAGTTGGTCATGCTTCATATATTTGGGACATTTAGTACAGTAGTAGAATTATATCTTAAATATCTTTGATTGTTTATTGCATACTTTAGTGGAATTATGTCTCAATTCATTTCTCATTTTTTTCTTTCCTCTACATCTCTCAGCAAAAGTAGCTTGTGTAAAATCGAGAGATATGCACTGGGCATTAGTAGCACACAGAGATCAACGTGATATCAACCTCTCTTCACTTAGAATGTTGATAGTGGCTGATGGCGCTAATCCATGTAAGTGCAAAATATACAACAAAGAATACAATCCAAATGGCTTTGCTATTGGATATTCTACATCAACATCAGTCAATGAAGCCACTAAACAAAGATGTATGTCTGTAATCTTAATGTATCAGTTCCTAAAATATCTTGTCCATTCTTTCTCTTTTAAATGGGAGTGTAAAAATATGTTTTCTATTCCACCAAAAAATTATTCAAAGTCCATTTCAAAGTTTCATTTTTTTAGTAATATACTAAAGCAATTCCAATATAAACTAAAGTATCCTAGTTCTGTATAATTTGGCAAGCTATTATGTTAAACTTGAGTCAGATTTCTCCATGAAAATAGAAAAGACATGAGGTTTTCTTATGAAATCAAATGAAATTAGGCATTGATGGAGTGGTGTTCTTTCCTTGGTCAAGTACGGGTATACAAAACAAAAACTATATTTGTTGGTTCTTCTATTAATTGTGAAGAATGCATGTCTAACGTAGCAATCGTTTCTCTTCCTGAGTTGTTGTTTTTTTATTTTGATAATGTATTTTTACAATTTTAGATATCCCAGACTCAAGAAAGCTTGTATAAATATTAAAATAACTTTTTAAAGTAGATTGAAACAATGTTCCTAAAGCAAGTTAGAAAATTAAGTTGAAATTGATTAAATCTCCAGTGGTCTCTGAAAAAAATATATTTTTACTTGGTGCCAAAAAGTAATAAAGGAACAAGGGAGATAGTTCATCTTAGTTTCAACACTAAGAAGACCCTTTTCCCTGTTGCTCTTAGAATTTTCAACAGAAAATTCTGGGCAGATATTCTGATAATTGACAATGTTGATGACTTCATATAAAATATTGTGGGTTTTAGGGATTTATCTATGGCTGCAAAACTAAAAAGTCAGTATATTGTGTAGGAAAGATAAGGTAACCAGGATTTCAAAAGTTTTTGAAAGTTGCACATCATATGTATGTTTTGTACTATGACATATTTGACCTTACAAAATGATACAAAATAAAAATTGAAATTCAATTATTAGAAGCATATGGGATACCAATACTTCTTTTTTTGAAGCCATTCTTGAAGCTCTGTATGAAATGGAATGATCTTCATGTACCCAGTACAAGTAATATCTGCAATAGAAATGTAATTTCCAGAGTAATATTTGGTTCGGCATGTAGTTTCATTCCATTGTATATAAAGAACTTGATTATACATTACAGACTCAGTTAATCATAAGAACAGCATGCTCAGTGCATTTCAATCTTCTCCTCTAGACAAAAAAGGTTTAAATGAGAGTTGGTATATTAGAGACTCTCTTTAGCACATCTATATATTTCAACCCACAGGTCAATTATTTACAATCGCTCAGTGGATTTATTGGTTGGTTGGCATCTAGATTTCTATTTTGGAAACCTCCCATTTAGAATTTGTTGTGAGGAACTATTGATTATTGCACATAGAATGATATTATTGTTTGTGTACTTTTTAACTCCAGGGTCTATTTCTTCATGTGATGCATTTCTTAATGTATTCCAAAGTAAAGGCCTAAGACAAGAAGTCATCTGTCCTTGTGCTAGTTCACCAGAGGCTCTCACAGTGGCTATTAGAAGGTATTGTAGAGTCAAATATAAATGTGAAATCCTAAAGGCAATGAACAATCTGAGAATAATTATAGGAGGAGGAAGGAATATTATGTATGTTTAATAAATAGATCATTAATCTTGAGATCAGAAACTTTGCATTGTCCCTGCATTTTCTTTTACAAATACCCTCCCTTTATTTGTAATCCTATTTGTCAGTGGAAACAATAGTCGTCAAGACTATTATAACTTTGACTGGCCCTAGAATCCATGGTCATTAAGCAAGACTGCCTGTAAAGTGAAAGATTTCACATATCTGTTGTTTGGGGGTTCAAGGACTTTTGGAGTGTTTGTGTACTTTATATGGCAGATGGGCATTTTACACCTGCATAAAACATTTTTCTAGACACTGGACTTTGTCAACCGAAAGTTTGGCAGAGTTTGAGACCCAAGTACCATATAGGCCGAGTTACCTTTCTTGCTTCAGAATTTACAATGTGATTGTTCGAGAATGGGAAAGCTGAAGTAGAATTGTAGGTACAAATAGGTACCACTTGGAAAGATAATAGCGTTCTATGCACCTCGGCATAGAGTTATGCCAGCCACATGACCATGGAAGAGTCTTCGGCTCTCTCAGCTAGGAAAGAGATGACCACCACCCTCTAGAGTCAGACACAATTGAACAGGGAAAACTTTTTAAGTCTTGTTATATATGATTTTGTTATCTGTGTCTGGAGTGAAATCCTCACAAAAAAGTTGACCAATTGTGTTTAGGTAATTGTGTCAGTTTTCTGTATGCCAGCTTTGACATTTAAAGTGTTCCATTTTAAAAGTTTTGAAATACATTATTTCAAGATTGTGTCAGTCTAATATCCTTGGATTTGTTTGAAAAGACCATGGACAGATTTTTGTTGCACTTAATGCTATCCAGCTCTTAAGATATTTGAGACTATTCTCCCATTTTTTGGCTCTTTAATTGTAATTAAATTTTTCAATAATATTAATAAATAAATTGCAATGGAAAAATACCTACAAGTCTCATATATAAAAGCTACCTGAGAAGGCATAAAGTTATGCTATAGTGATACTCCCTTTGTCAAAAGACAGTCAAAAGAATAGAACAGAGTGTGATTTAGTGCCAAAACTGCAACCTTGGGAAACAAATTCAGACATCTGTCCTGTTGTATGAATGTAGGCAAATTAAAGTATCTCTTAAGTTTAACTACCTCATAAAGGTGTTGTAAGCAAAAGCAGATAAGAAAAAAATCTGAGTCCTTGGAGAAAAAACAGATAACATTCAAGATTACATTCTCCATTTCTAGATTATTTGCTGTTGATACATGTCATTCAATTCAAGGTAACTTCAGTATGCAATGGCCAACTACTAAGGATATGATATGAAACCTTTTCCAGATGTTGTACTAATTACTGCAATAAAGATAACTGCATAAATTGAAGTCCTTGGTCAGAACCTTTCTCCCTGACTGAAATTGAACTTGAAGGTGTTTGTAAGCATAGCTCACTGAATTATGAATCCAGACTCTTTTTATATTAGTTTTAAACTTTGTTACTTAACTATCCAATAATATTCCGTTTGTCTTTTTGAAATATTTAGGAACTATATTCAATGGCAATCTAGAGCAGAGTTTCTCAACTTGAATAAGAGTGGGCTTCAACCTCCAGAATTCCACAACCAGTTGGAGAAACACTATTCTTGGACTTTTCCATCATTCAGTATATTTTTATAGCAATAACTTTGGCAACTCCTACTGAAAATATATTATTGCAATGAGTCCAACATCTGTATCCCATGGGAAAGCTAAACATAAATTTACTTCCTTTGATAAGGTTACATTTATGCCTAGTATGTTGCTTATATCACTGTTAGGCATAGAGATTACTGGAGTACAGTAAATCTCTTCCATCCCTAACATGGTGGGATGTTCTCATTCCAAGATCATCTTACAAACAGCAAAATAGTGTGGAGGGTTAAAGGTTGATCAATACTGTGATGAGTAATAGGAATGCCATTAATCATTGTCACCCAGATACCCGCATCTCATTTGTTACTCCCTAATGTACATTCAATTCAGTCCATAGCTAGCATACCTGATCCTTTTACTGAGATCATATTGGGGGAGCAGCGAAAGGCTTTTTAGAACCTTTTAATCAAAATTTATGTAGCCTATCATTCTCTAATTAAGTTTTTCAATTTATCAAGTTTTTCAAGTATCACTGAGAACCACCATTCTAATTTAAGATTAACCATACAGCTAAACTTTTTCTTATGACAATTTTCCAAAGACCTAGCTACATACTAACATCAGTTTTTCTGTGGAGGAATCATTATATTAAAACCAAAATTTCCTTCCTGTATGTTTTTAAACTTGAGTTTTGTACAAGTAAATAGAAGAAATCATTTCAGGACTGGGCTGTGTTCATATCTTATGATCGGAAACGAGTGATTCAAAGAACAGATTAAAACCTCTGGCTCAAAGCCTGTTTGCACAGCCAACACCTGGGCTGGTTGTGGAAAGATTTCTACCTCCTTCAAAAGCCAGCAATATAGGATTTAAGTGGTATGTTAAGGGTAGTACAACAATAGTGAACAAGGGCATATTTAATACTTAACTAAACAATGTCTATTCCCTACAATATTCTCTTATTCAACTTTTAATTAGGAGCACTTCTCAAATTGCAATCTAATAGCAACTTTAGAGGCCTCTATCAAGGCTTTTCAAAAAGGGATTGTATGTATCTAAGCACTCACTTTTATTGTTCAACTTCTTCTTACTACATTACACCCGCTAGCTTTTTTTCCAATAGAGTGCATCAATATGTAAAATCTAAAAAGCTGGATTACATAGGCCTAGTTTTTCTCCAGCTTATGGGTCATGGTAGGACATGACAAAAATGCATTATAAAATATTTGAGAAGGGCTATTCCTGTGCAGAGGCATCAGACACATCAGCTTTATTACTTATTTAAGCAATTTATATGGCCCATACCAAAAATAACTTTGGAAAGTATATAGAGGTTAATAACAAGTCAACTACCACCATGATGCCTGGAGCCACAAATACAACCAACTCATAAAAACAAAATTAATCAACCATCAGAGCTCAGAGAGGTCAAGGGCATGGGGGAATGACAAGTCTTACAACAAAAGACTAACAGTATTGAAGCTATCTGAATGTGTCATAATATTCTGTTGAAACAGGACATGTGCTATACAAAAGGCACAATTCTGGGATCCAACAAAATATTATTTAATAGGAAGGAGCCAGAGCATGCCCTTACTGCAAGAAGTGATTAAATGAACGAAAACAATGATTTCTATAGATGCATTATTCTCAAGCACAGTATATGTGAAATGAGAGTTGCTTCTTATTCTGGTATCACTGATATTTTCCATACATTTCCAGGCCAACAGATGACAGCAACCAGCCACCTGGTAGGGGAGTATTATCCATGCATGGGCTTACTTATGGAGTAATCAGAGTGGATTCTGAAGAAAAACTTTCTGTTCTAACAGTGCAAGATGTTGGTTTGGTAATGCCTGGAGGTAAGGCTTCTATAGCTTACTGTTTTTTCTCTTAATGCATGCTGGATGGGGGAATTTGGGGAATTAAAATCCAAACAACTTAAATTTGCCAAGATTGCACTGCCTTAAAGTTGTATTCGTAGAGACATTATTTCCTCAAAGCTAGTATTCATTTTTCAATATATTTCACAGATTAGCTTATCGCATCCTTGTCAATTAAAATTACTCTTCCTCCATTAAACATGTACATAAATGTAATGACCTCCTAGGTGCATTTTAGAGCCTTACCCTAGGAAAGCAAATAATTTTTTCATAAATCACATATAGATTCATTACATAAGTTTGTCAGATTGAGATTCTATGTCTCGTTCCCATTGGAAAAAAGCCAGTTACAAAAGCATTCTGTTCTGTTTCCCTTCCAGCTTTGTCATGTTGGCGGCTTTCCCATGTCTAAACTTGTGTTGTTTGGGGTTAACTGTAGTTAGCAATCCATCAGGAGTCATATATGGTCACTTTCTTTTTTATGCCCAAGATTGGAAAGAGAAGTGTTATAAGGTATATTTAACAGGGTGGAAGAATAACCAGGAGTTTGGAAATAAGGGTGATTCTATAAGACTTCTTTCTTGATTATGCCATCTCTTCTTAAGAAAGGTTAAAGAATGTGTTTATTCTTCCCCAGAATTACTTATTCTTACAGGTTTAGCTGTCAGACATGAACTGCATTCATCATTTTATTTAATTCCTTAATATTAATTTTCCTGGGGGAATTAACTTTTTTATCTTCTGTATCTTCTCTGCAACGTATTTCTGCAACATCTCTGGCGGGATGGAGGTAATGCATCAATCCTGGTTCTTCTTGACCTCTCAGTGGCATTAATACCATCGATCATGGTATCCTTCTGGGCCCGCTTCAGGAACTGGGGGTGGGCAGCACTGTATTATGCTGGTTCTCCTCCTTACTCCAAGACCAATTCCAGCCAGTCTCAAGAGAGAGAGAGAGAGATCTAACCCACGACCCATACTATGTAGAGTGCCCTCAAGGCTCTTTTCTCTCTCTCTCCCTTTTAACATTTACATGAGGCTACTAGGTGAGGTGATCCATTGAGTTTGGGGTGATATATAAAGTCATCTGCTTACGGATGATGCTCTATCCCAGATCTTTTCTGAGTGCCATGGATGTCCTAACTCAGTATTTGAGGGCTATTGAGGACTGGATGAGGAGAAACGGTCTCTGACTCAATCCTAGCAAGACAGAGTGACTGTGAAGAACCTGAAAACAAGGTTCTTTGATCTCTGGTTCTGAATGCCATTGCACTGTCCCAAACAGACTTTGTGCACAGTCTGGGCATCTTCCTGGACTTGCAGCTCCTGCTTAAAGAGCTGGTGGCAGCTGTGACGAGGGCAGCCTTTGCACGTGTTCGAGTGATCTGCCGGTTGCACCCATACCTGGACTAGGAGGCCCTGGTCACAGTAACTCATGCCCTTGTGATCTCCAGGTTAAGCTGCTATAATAAGCTGCTTTGTAGGCTATTAGGCAACTTCAAGCTGTAGCAGAATGCAGTAGCATAGATAGTAAATGCACTCTTGCTTGAGCTGCACTGGTTATTGGTGTTTCCAGGGGCAATTCAAAGTACTATAAAGCCCAACGTGGCTTTTTAATAGAGATTCTATCCATCCAACTGTTTCAAATAGAATGGATATGATGCAATTTCCATCAGTCAAAGAATGTCAGCTGGTAGAGACCAGAAGCTTTTTCTACAGCTGTTCCTGCTGTATGAAACATCCTCCCTTTGGAAATTAGAATGGCTCAACCTTGTTAGCCTTTCATAAGACCTTAAAAACCTGGCTATGTTCCTGAGCCTAGAGGGCTGAATATGCCAAGGGCCCCATTTCCCGGCTATATTGCTAAATATCTTGCTCCTGTGTATATTTAATTTGGATGTTTTTAGTGTTTTTAATAGGGCGGAGAGTGGCCTAGCGGTTAAGATGCTGGGCTTGTCAACTAAATGGTTGGCAGTTCAAGACCCAAGTACCAAGACCCAACCCAGCAGTTTCAAAGCATGCAAAGTCAAGTCAACAAATAGGAGAACAGAGGCAGCAGCTGAGAAACTGGGAGAAAGTGAAGTGTTTTCCTTCCCTCAGACTGGCCTGAGGGAAAAGTTTTCCAAGCATTTCTCACAGAGAGAGAAAAGGTTTAGAAAAAAAAAAAGGGGGGGGGGGAATCAAGAAGCCCATTTTTTTTAAGAAATAAAAGTTTTCCTCCCAATCACTGAAGAGATACAAACACCCAATCAATTATCCAGGTTTCTAGTGCTTTGTGCCTATGAATCTAGATTAATTGAATGATTGATGGTTTAAAAACAAAACAACCCATGATACTGTTAAATCAACATATACTGTCATATGTTGAATTCAACATTGTTAGATTTATCCTGCCTTTCTTTTGGCAGTCAAGGCAGCATACATACTTACTGCTTGCCCCCTATTTTGTCCACAATAACAACCCTTTGAATTGGTTGCATTGTCTATGTCTATTATGCAACAATTGGACAAATGCTATTCTTTTTCCCCAATAGCCATAATGTGTGCCGTAAAGCCAGATGGAGTTCCTCAACTCTGCCGAACAGATGAAGTTGGTGAACTCTGTGTATGTGCTATTGCAACAGGTACATCTTACTATGGACTCTCTGGAATGACCAAAAATACATTTGAGGTGAGCTGGAGGTGGACATAAAATGTTAACTTCATTTTAAAAAAAACATGTTTGGATTCACATTCATAGCAACGGTCCATTTGTGAAGGTGCATTTCTATTAAGTTGGATCCAGTCATTCCCAATCTAGACTTCTGCTCTAGAATTCCTCAGTGACTTGATATGTGGGGTTTGGCATTCTGCAGCTCTAGAAGGCTCTAGAATACACTAGGAGAATTTTCTTTGATTCTGACTGGTAGAAGATTTCCAGTTGAAGGTTTTCTCAAAATAATGTTTTACTTACTTGTGTATGTATGTGTAAATTGTGTGTATTTGTATATTCACCCACATATTATAAATGAAATTGAAAAAGAGTAAGCAGCAAAGGAAATTATAAACCAACTTTGCATGTATGAATTCAAATTCTACATTGCACACGCTGCAAATAGATTTGAGTCAGGGTCTATATTTTCTTAGCCCCTTTCCCAATTCTTGCATTCTATATTTTTCCATTGCTTTTAAACATTTTGACCATTTTCCTTTTGGCTATTGCCGTCTCTACTCATATTTTATCCCCCTCTTTCTGGATTAGGCATGACAGTACCATTCAAAGTACTGGGCTGAAATTTGAGGTTTCATGCAAATATTATTTTCTACCAATAAATAAATACTGATGGAAGCACAGCACTGCAGTATTTAAATTATATAATTTTAGGGATATAGTAGTGAATGGCTGGGTTTCCAAATCTCATTGAGCATTTTTATGGTTTGATTATGCTTTAGTGTGCAGTATAAACCAATGCTTTGTTATTTATAAATTGTTGTTCAGGGCATATTGTGTTGTGTTGTACCTATTAAGTTATAACGTCAACACATGCTGAAGCAACCCATTGCTTAGTGCAATACAATGGATGTACAAAAATAGTACTAGTGTTCCCACAGAGAAATAGAAGAGGCTTATGTTTCATGTGTAGTAATTTTAATATCTGTTTCTAGAAGGATCTAAATCACCTGAACCTTCCCACCTTCGCTTCTCCTGTCTTTCTCATAGGTGTTCCCTATGACTACTTTAGGTGCCCCCATAAGCGAATATCCCTTTATAAGAACCGGACTTCTTGGGTTCATTGGCCCTGGAGGACTTGTTTTTGTGGTTGGTAAAATGGATGGTCTGATGGTTGTCAGCGGGAGGAGACACAATGCAGATGACATTGTAGCTACAGCTTTGGCAGTGGAACCCATGAAGTTTGTCTACAGGGGAAGGTAGGCTTCTACTTCTTCCTATCAGGATTCTTTTGTTTTAAGCAGGATATTGAAAGAATGCTTCCCTTGCTCAGAGAAACCTTAGATAAGGTTAGCCAACATGCATTAATTTCTACTAAAAGGCCTTTATTTAATGTCATGTTCAGAAAAAAAAATCCAAGGTATAAGCCATTGTACTAATTGATTTTTTAGTTTATTATTTATCATAGCAAAAATAAATTGCGTGCATTTTGGATTATATTGTTTGAAATATGTTTTTCATCGTTTCTTTAAAGGAGCACAGTGGCTTACATGGTTAGGATGGAGGTTAGCAAGCCAATGGTTGAGACCAGCTACTCATTTGAATCCAGAAGCAATGGGTTGTTTAAAGTGCAATAGGTTAAAATGGCAGGCCAACAGCAACACAGCTGATTTGCATTTTTGCAAAGATCCCTTTTTCTTCTTTATCTCTAGTCTTTCTTTTGAATTGTAAGTGAATTTCCCACTTGGGAGCATCTATCCTAGTAGGTTCTCCTCTGGCTTTTGTTAGCCTTTCATAAAGGAGCCGTGATGATACAGTGGTTAGTGGTCTCTATTAAATCTGGATGGCAGTTCTATCATCCCCCTAAAGCTCTTCTTTTCTTGCCTTTCTTTCACTCTTTTCCCATTCTAGCCTATCTTTCCTTTCTGGTTTCCTCCAAAACCGTTCCTCTTTTAATTAAAGCCTTTCCTCTTGCTGTTGCTTTAACATCTCTGGGATTATATTAGCTCAAGTAAACCTGTTTCTGGCTGGTCTACTTTTGGCTTTAATTTTCACTGACCTCTCTACCAAAGTAGTAATCTCTTGTAAAAGGATATCTTTCCCTTTTCCATGTTTGTTGTAGGCACTGGTAAGAAGTCTGGTTTCTGCAGGCAGAAGCTGGCTAATTCCTGCTGCATCTGAGCTCTGATAGAGCTCAATTTCTCCCCTTTTGCAACTCCCTTCCAGCCAAAGCTTGTTTTTTTCCATAAAAGTTTAATGAACTTCTGAAGTTGAACTCCTCCACTTGTATAGTTTCCCTCTTGTTGAATACCCCACCTTTGCCACCACTTTGTCATGGATTATAGTCAGAGGGCTCCAAAATATGCAAGAGCCAATACAGTAGCATAAGTCCCTAGATAATATACACGTAAGCATTCACAGGCTAGTATTCACTGCCCACCACTTCTCACATTCTTTCCCACTACTATTACATTTTGTATTACTTTCCTTCAACTATTACTTGTAAGTTTTACTACCGTAAAATGTTATCTCTTTCTAGCTTCTTTAGGCTTCTTTCTAGCTTCTTTAGGCTACGTTACTTCTCCATATGAAATTCCATCCACCCTCTCCCACACCCAAACAACAATAAGCCCAGCTCTCTCTCAGCACAGCTTTTATAGTGAATGCTGGCTGGGAGTAGGCTTAAAGGGGCAGGTGTGAGTCATTTGCTAGGCAGCCTGTCCTCTCACAAAATGGCATCCAAGCAGTAAGTTACAGTTAATACCTAAGACCCATAAGATGAGTGCATTATTTTTGTGACTGTTGCCCTTAGCAGCTATTATTGCATTTTCTACTTATTGTTTGTAGTTTTAACATTGTTTGCTTCCCATTGTGGCTAGAGTTGCAACATGGATAGCCATATAAGTTGTCTAAAATAACATTCAAGGCTGCTTAAAGACAAATTAAGGCAATGTAAATGAAACAACCCATGGTAAACTATTTAGAGAAAAAATAGATGAAAATCAATTGGAAATAGAACAAATATAAACATCTCGGAAAGAGACTTTAATCTGGCATCAAAATGGATATCCGGCAAACCTCTTTAGGAAACTCTTAGCAGGAATGCTACAAATGGAAACAACTTCACATATTTCCATTTCTCTAAATAAAAACATGGGCAGGAATGACTTTGTTATGCTTGTTTTCTTTGCCTCTGTTAGTAAATATTATTCTGAACATACATAAAGTAAAATATTGTTTGCAATGATGGTGCATTACTCTATGGAGAGCCAACATGAGCTTGCTTTTATAATAGCTATTCTAGTTAGTGCTCTATTTTAAACTTCTGTAGGTGTTCAGTGCAGCTGTCTTCTAGAGGAAATAAAGAACTTGGGCTCTAATCTTCTCTGTTGCATAACTAATGAGAACTGAGTCATACAAAGTCATGAAAGGGAGTTGCTCTGCTCTTAGTCTTTTTATCCAATTACAAATGTCTTGGTTTGCACATCCCACAGGATAGCAGTGTTTTCAGTGAGTGTCCTTCATGATGAACGAATAGTAATTGTGGCTGAACAGAGGCCGGATTCTACAGAAGAAGACAGCTTTCAGTGGATGAGCAGAGTCCTGCAGGTACAGTTGCTAAACCTATAATCAGCAGGATCAAATGGAAAGACATGATGTGCCAAGGTAGCTTCCTGTTACGTAAAAGCATAAGCATTCATTGCATTTTCCAACAGAAGCAAAACGTATCTAGGTGAAAGAGTAATTCTTATTCCTGTGCAGATGATCTTGGTTAAACTCTTCTGGAATCTTTCTTCTAATTTTGGATTAAACCATGAAAATCCATTTTTCCCCCTTTCCTATGCTTTCATAACAGATGATTGCTGTGTCTTTGATAATAGCTATAGCAATGTTGGTATGTAGACCCTCTTAAGAAGAACAGAGTGGGGAAAACAAATCTTATAATAAAGAGAAGGAACTATATAACAGACAACTCATCCTCAAGTGCTTACTTATTAGCTGTTTATTGATTCTGTAATGGCATTGCCTTATGAGTATTGCATTCCTTCCAGTCGGCAGCTTTATAGTTAGTGTGTTGGGCTCTCTTGAACTGTGCTTGTGACTGAAAGTATGATATCCATTTATGAAGAAGCAGAAGTTGCTGGATGCTCATTGTTCTGCAAAACAAAGGCAAGGCATCTATAGTTGTACATGAGCTTCCGTAGGCCATAATATATCTCTTCCTCTTTGGGGGAATATTTTCTTTTACATCCATTTAAATGCCAGAGGAAACACAAGGAACAAAAAATTTTTTAGAGCATTCAAGCAAGGTCTTATAAATACAATACAGTAGAACAACTCAGCACTCCAAATTCCTTTGTAGATTGCACTGTCTGTAAAGGTATCAATGTGAGGATCTTGCAAGTTAACATCATCAGGGGAATTCTTGAGGAAGGGAGAAACTTAAAGTTGGAGAAACCAGGAAAGAATGAGGTAGTTTACAATATTTTGGTTATATGCCACATTGGCATGTAATAATAATACAGGATTCTACCAAGGCTGCTCAAAGAAGGATGCAAGTAGGGATGTAACAGAATTAACCATAGATGTTCTGAAAGGCAGTTCAAGCAAGAACATCGGGAGAGGATAAAAAGCAAATTTTGTTAAGCAAGAAAGAGATAAGAACAATTTCCTTTTGGGGGTGCGATGGCTCAGCAGTTAATGATAATGAGCTTGTCAGCTGGAAAAAACTGACAGGCTTGGTTTGAGACCCAAGCACTACCAGATGGGATGAGCTCCCATTACTTGCCCCGCCTCCTACCAACATAGCAGTTTGAAGATATGCAAATGCAAATAGATTAATAGGTACCACTTTGGTGGGAAAACAATAGTGTTCTGTGTGTCTTTGGTATATAGCTATGCTGGCCACATGTCTACTGGCTCATTCAGCTAGGAAATGAAAATGAGGATTACCACCTAGAGTCATACATGAGTGGACAGGGAAAACCCTTTATAATATTTATTTTTGTGCATGTTTTATTCCCTTTTGTTCATAAACCCAGTCCCTTTCATTCCCATTAGCAATTTGAGTAGATGGGACTAGGGGAATACAGTTCAGCATTTTGCATTCCCTTAATGGCCCTCAAGTGTTAGAACCTGATATCCTTCATCAGCTTTGGGGTGAAGTACCTGACTTTTTCACTGTCCAGTTTATATTGCTTTAAATAACTGTTAGGGTGAAGCAATCTCTGCTCCCTCCTCTTGTTCTGGCAATGTTTTAGAGAGGGGAAAAAAGAATCTTTTTTTCTCTCAATGGTCGCATTTCCGCAGTTGTGCTGTGTTGAGAGAAGCCTGGTGGGTAAAGCCAAAACATAAAAAACCACAGTGGATGACAGCTTCCATTCTTTCCTTCAATATTTCTTCTTTCTGGTCCAGCAAGAGAGAAGAGAAAGAGGAGAAATGAACAGCTTTTGGTAGTGATACAAAAACTAGCCTTTTTTACAGCGAATTTTTCATTGTGAAAAGCCTTGTGAAGGCTGCAAATTGTCCACTCCTGTTTTATGTAGCCTATTTTTCTAGGGTATCAGTGAGGACCAATATTTTTGAGACCTCTGATTGATAATAACCTTAACCAGGATATAGTTTTACCAGTATGAATTTAGCATATGTTAAAATCAAATTGCTCTGGGTAAGAAAGGAACATAATGTTGTTCTTTCTTTTGCTTCCTTAGATACTCAAAATCTAAGATTTTAAGAACAATTTCTAATGCTTTCTTCTCTTGAATCCTTATAGCCATAGATAAAATTAGTCTTGATTTGTAATGTACAGCAAATCTACATAGCAAACAAGGAAAATATGGGGTTTTAAATTTGTATCCTGTCTATCATTTTTACAAATAACTCAAGGCAGCAAACATATCCAACATACCTTCCTTCTCCTATTTTCTCCACAACAACAACCCTGTGAGTAGGTTAGGCTGAGAGAGAATGATTGGCCCAAAGTCATCCAGCCAGCTTTCATGACTAAGGTGGGAGTTGAATTCATGATGTCTTGCTTTCTAGCCTGGTGTCCTAACTGCTAAGCCAAACTGGCTCTTGTTTGGTTTTAAGTTTTAATGCATTTTCTTTTTGTGAAAACAAACCTAAGCTGAAGTTAGTCAAGAATTATATAACTTCTTGATGATTTAAAGTCACTTTTACTGATTTAACTTTCTATTTCTACCTTTACATTTCAATTAGGTGATATTATAGTTCACATACTACCGTATATGCCGGCGTATAAGACGACTTCCAGAAGCGCTAAACTCGGCGCCAAAGACGGGGGTCGTCTTATATGCCAAGTCGTCTTATACGCCGGAAATACTGGTAGTTTCCGGCGTATAAAACGACGTTCTAGAAATGCAGCTCGGCGACAAAGACGGGGGTCGTCTTATACGCCGGGTCGCCTAATACACCGGCATATATGGTATACATAACTACAACTTAGCCTTCTAACTTGTAGCAACATTGGGCATGTGAACACAACCTGGGGAATTAGTTTTTCTGTTGCATGAAGTTGAAGCAATCACAAACTATGGCTAAGTAAATTATAGATACATAATTGTGCAAAGATAGTCCATATCTAGTAGAGAGTTCAAAGTTCCTTTCTGTAGGATAGGGCTCATCAGATATCTGCATGCTTGTGAGCAGATCAACTCAATCCTTTTCCCACTCTTATAGTAATTTCCTTGATTTTATATGTATTTTTTTAGGCTATAGACAGTATTCATCAAGTAGGAGTTTACTGCCTAGCCTTGGTACCAGCAAACACACTCCCAAAGACTCCTCTGGGTGGAATCCACTTATCAGAAACAAAACAGCTCTTCCTTGAAGGAGCATTGCATCCCTGTAATGTACTGATGTGTCCACACACCTGTGTAACAAACCTGCCTAAACCAAGACAGAAACAACCAGGTATGTCTAATGTTTGTGTCTTGGGTTGAAATACCCTGATAAGTCACTTGATAGTGAGACGTCCCATATATAAATTTCATAAAAATAAGAGTAGCTAGTTTTTCTCCTAATTCAAGACCTGTTTGATTGGATGTTGATTGGTTAGTTTTTGACTGGAATTGGAATGTATTTGTTTTATTCGTTTAATTATATACCATCCTTCTGTTTGGAAAAGGACCCTCAGGCAGTTTACAACAAATAGAAAGAAATTAAAACAAAATCAAATAATTTTACCAAGAAATGTATGGCAAAAGTAAGACATTCTTAAAGGCAGGGCATTATTGCAATCTGAAAAACCAGGATTCTGTGGTTTGGATGTGATGCAGAAGGAAGCCCAGAGTAGGGAGAACTTCAGAAGAGCCTCTCCTGCAGATTTTAAAATCCACACATATTGGTAAATAGAGAAGCAATTCCTCAGATAGTTAAGACCTAAACTGTAATAACATCAGTATTCTAAATTGTACCTGGAAAGCAACTAGAGATCTTTTAGTATGATTCCTATAACTTGCACCACTGTCATAGACAAGATTATGTGCTCTATCACAAAGAAAAATACTCTTAGCACTTCTGACTGTTGGTCCTTTCCTATGAATCTGCTATAGTTTTTGTTTGCATTGCAGAAAGGCTTAGGTTGGGGATGAGAATTCTTTTGACTCCGTTCTACTGAGGAAATCTGCAAAAGCCTATTTTATTGGTTATCTCAAATTGTCTGGGTTCAGCTAATCTCTCTTACTCCTCAAATGTAGATGAGATTACCAAATGTAATCTGGTACATGCATCCCTGTAATCTGCTGTCTCATTTCTTCTCATGAGTTTTTTTTTTTTAAAGCCAGTTTTAGGAAATCAGAGCTTCAAGATCTGAGCTGCAGGAATTTGACAGCAAAAACAATCCAGTAATTTCATTTTGCTGGGAGCAGCTCTTACTATTTGCAGCCACAAGGGCAGGTATAGCATAGGATTTCGTTTGAGATAGTTTCACTCTAGATGAGGAAGCACAGTAATATGAATTTTGCACTGGAAAGGAAGTTCTTAATTCTTCTTTCACCATCTTCCTGATGTACTGTAGAAATTGGTCCTGCCTCTGTGATGGTGGGGAATCTGGTCTCTGGAAAAAGGATTGCACAGGCAAGCGGCAGAGATTTGGGACAAATAGAAGATAATGATCAAGCTAGAAAGGTAAAGCCCTAAATCTTCCATAGGTATAGTGGATAACAAGCAGAGAAGAGCATACTTACCTCAATTTTCCTTCCATTCAGTACTGAGAATATGAGAGCATTCAGACCAAACATTTATATCAAGGGATGTATTTTCTATTGCTAATATATAACATCAAAACCATATATAACCTATGTCAAATCACAGTTACAGATCTGATGCAAATATGCTATTTTTGTCTTATATAATTCTGGATGAATATGTATACATGTTTCTACTTAGTACACATTATGTATAGTTGTCTTTTAAAACTGACAGTTATAAATATTTAATACAAAATGGATATTAGGGGTGCAATGGCTCAGTGATTTAAAGATGCTGAGTTTGTCAGCTGGAAAACTAACTGCCCAGATTTGAGACCCAAACATCACGCCACAGGGGCAGCTCTTGCAAACCTAGCTGTTCGAAAGCATGTAGGTGTCAGTAGATTAATAGGTACCAGTTCGGTGGGAAGGTAATAACCTTCCATGCGCCTCAGCATATATTCATGCTGGCCACGTGACCATGGAAATGTCTTTGGACAACGCTGGCTCCCTTGGCTAAGAAATGAAGATGAGCACATGACTAGAGTCGGACATGACTGGATAAGGGAAACCTTTACCTTTAATTGGATGTTGTTCCTGATCACATCAGTGCATACATACAGTTCTAAGTGGCTGTCAATTTCAGTCTATTTAGAAGGAGAGTGAATTAATTGAATTCTGTGTTGATTAATTGAAAAAAAAGTTCAGTTGATTGTATGATACTGATTTTTAATTTGTATTTTCAGATTTTTACTCTCAACATCCTTAAATTTCTTTTCTTCATAGTAATAAGATCTATGAATCTGTCAAACTGGTAGGAGTTTGCAGTTCAGAGAAGAGAGAGCTTTTTCTAGACCTAAAAGATGTTTAAAGAAGCAATTGTGTTTCTTACTTTTCTTTCTTTCTTAATGTTTATCTTGTTTTCCCCACCAGTTCTTATTCCTCTCAGAAGTCCTACAGTGGAGGGCACAGACAACTCCTGACCATGTACTTTATACACTACTAAACTGTAGGGTAAGGATATCTTTTGGCTTTCTTTCTTATCTGTAAATTTTTAAAACACCCAGAGCCACTGGGAATTGGGCAGCGTGCAAATTAAATAAGTAATAATCATAAATCAACTTGCAACTCAGAACTATTAAATATGAAACTTAAGTTTGAAATAATAAAGTAATATCCTACAATGAACCAATCCTTTCAGAGAACCCTAAAGGCTTTCAGATAGGTACAAGCCCTGGTGGTGCAGTGGTTAGAATGCAGTATTGCAGCTGACTCTGCCCACAGCCTGGAGTTCAATCCTGAAGGGCTCAAGGTTGACTTAGCCTTCCATCCTTCTGAGGTCGGTAAAATGAGGTCCCAGAGTGTTGGGGACAATAAGCAAAACAGTGTAAACCGCTCAGAGAGTGCTGTAAAACACTATTGCTATAGGGTTGCTGGAATGTCCCACAAACTACTAGATGTTATAGGATGTTTTAATTATTGCTGGATTTGCCATTTTGTTCTATTCTAGCTTGGTTTTTGTGCCATGCCTGTTTTATTATGTTGTTTTTTTATTGTACTTTGGGTCCCATGAACTGCCTAGAATTGCTCTGGAGTAGGTGGCATCAAATTGAATTAAACTAACAAATAATAGTCTAGAATATGAACTTGTAGAAACTGTATCCATAAATGGTATAACTTGGGAGGCAATCTGATATAATTTCTCTCTATGACATCAATTTTTTACTTTTGAAAAATATCAAGCTTTTCGGATTTTGTTAAGGCTTGCTTCAAACCACTTTACCATTTGAAAACAGTGATTACTAATAGCTAACACTCAGTTCCTGACATATTCTTTCTAAATTTCACTTTGAGTTATTTTGAAGTAATTCTTGAGCAGTGACAATAATCTAAAAAAAAAAATCATAGTTCACTTTGTAATTAATCAGGGAAAATGCTTTAAAGTCTACCTTTCAACTGGCCTAATCAAGATATAGATTTTGCTTTCTTTGTTTTTTTTTTCAGCTTAAAATGAAATGAATGTGTGACATTTATATCATTAATCTAGTTTTAGAGGCTAAGGTCAATAATTCAGTTAATGAATAGAAAGCTTCATATTTAAATTTTTCTTCTCTGTCTTTACATTTCTTTTTCTTAATGAAGGGGACAATTGCAAACTCTCTCACCTGTGTCCAGCTACATAAACGAGCTGAAAAGATAGCAGTAATGTTGATGGAAAGGGGTCATTTGCAAGATGGTGATCATGTTGCTTTAGTCTACCCACCAGGTAAATCGTGCAAGAATACTTTAGTTGCAATACTTGTATATATGGCTTTTATTGTTTTATCTATATATAAAATACAAAGAGAAATAGAAATGGGAAATTAGGAGAAGAAGAAAAAAAGGGGGAAAGAAAATATAAGGTACAAGAGGGAAAAAAGCATTGACTTCTGACTTCCAACTTCTGACTTTAGTTGCAATTTTCAAACAATGTTGTTTTACTGTATATATAAAATCTGTGACTGATACATCGATAATGTTGGTTGGTTGGTTGGTTGTAAGACTACACATATTTTTGCTTCAAGCGAATGTCTTACAGGTTGCTATATACAGTGAATTTATAGGATTATTCTCCAAAATTTCTTTCATCACTGTTTTTTTTTCCAGTATATGGGCTGTTAGACCAGTACTTCTTATAGCTTTCAATGGAATTTGGGGGTGTCTAACATGTTTGTTTCCTTTTGTCCTTATTGATTTCAACCAAAAGTGGTTCAGTGTGCATCTAGAGCAGTGTTTCTCAACTTTGGCAATTTAGCACACACGGGCTTTAATTCTCAGAATTCTCCAACTAGCAAAGCTTCCCCCATGCTAGCTGGGAAATTCTGGGATTTGAAGTCCATGCATGTTAAAGTTGCCAAAGTTGAGAAATATTGGCCTAGAACCTCAGCCTTGAATATGTAGTTGCTAAATGCTCCAACTTCTAGAATAGAATTGCTGTGGAACAATGAAGAAAGAATCCCTTTATCTAACAAGCATGAGTGAAATAGAATTTTATGTAGAGGTTTATTCAGTGAGTAAGCTGGATAAGCAAATTCTACCTCCACCAGCTAAATAAAATTCACAATTGTATGATAAATCTGCTCATCTAAAACCAAATGAATTCAAATCATTTCAATAGAAGTAAAACTGTATGTGTCTTTCTCTCTCTCTTTCCCTCTCCCTTTAACAACACAATCTTATACATGTTTGTTCAGATGTCAGCCCCGGTGGGCTCAGTGATCCTTACTCCTAGGTAAATGGGTATAAGATGGAAGTTCCATTTCAATGTAGGAATTCTAGTGGTTATATTCCCAACACATGTGAACAGCAGTAGCTTAGGGAAGTGATTTTTTTTTAGAAATCACTCTCATTTTGCTTTCTTTCACACTAATAATCATACCTGTTTTTGTCCCCTCCAGGCATAGATCTGATTGCTGCATTTTATGGATGTTTATATGCTGGCTGTGTGCCAATAACAGTTCGGCCTCCCCATCCACAAAACATTGCAACAACCTTACCCACGGTGAAGATGATTGTGGAGGTCAGTGGGCCATTAATAATAATTAACTTAGAACATGCATAGATTGCCTTTTTCATCCTGGAGTTGCATTTTTAGTCTCCAGAGGACACAAGGAATAGATGTGGTGGTGCAAGATGAAACAAGTGTTAAGAATTAAAACTTTTGAGCCCAGAGAGGAATTGTTTTAAGGGTTGGGAGATATAACAGGTATAGTGGCTTCATTCTACATCATCATAGTTCTTTTTGGCAGGGGGGGGGGAGAACCTGTATTGTCCTAACTTGAAAACAGTTGAAGTAGGGAGATGTTCTTTTTAAACTGAAGATATACTTTATAAAAAATGAAATATATTGTCTTGTAATGTGAAGCAAACAGCCAGTGGGAGGTAGTGGTTAAAGCAGTGGTGGCAAATCTATGGCACGCGTGCCAGAGATGGCACTCAGAGCCCTCTCTGTGAGCATGCGCACCATGCCCTCTTCAACCAGCTGCCTGCTAACTCAACGAGGTCCCACGTGGCCGGATGCATCCCAGCATGGCTGGTTTCCCTCCCCCTCTCCCATCCCTCCTGGCCTCATATGCTCTCCTTTTCCCGGGCACGACCCATTGCATCGCCTCTTCAGCTGTCAGCCAGCCATCCAGCTCAGAGATGGCTTCTCTGAACTGCTGGGGGCAGGCTGCGGAGCCCCAGAGTGCGCCGGTCGACAGGCTGTGGCTGCTGACGGACACTGTCGGCCCTCATGCGCTCGCTGGCCTCTGTGTGCGGGGGTTGATGGTGTCAGGCAGCAGCCTCCTCAGCATCTGCCTCACCTTGCCCTGCAACAATGGCACCCCCACCCTGTCTCGCCTTGCCTCGCCTCGCCCCTTAGGATGAGCCTCCTGCCCACCGCCCACCTGCCAGAGACCCCCTGGATCTCTCCCAACCCTGCCCGGCCCCCACAGGCATCCCTTCCCATGAGCAACATTGAGGTGACCACACCCACCTTGACCACACCCACCCAGTCTGCCATGACCACAGCCACGCCCATCCAGTGGGCCAGGCCCACCTGGCACTTGGCGATAAATAAGTGGGTTTTGGGTTGCAGTTTGGGCACTCGGTCTCTAAAAGGTTCACCATCACTGGGTTAAAGCATCTGGGTAGAAACTGGGAAATGGTGAGTTCTTGTCCCATCTTAGACCCAAAACCAGCTGCAGGATTTTGATCCAGCCACAGCCATAGGAAGGAGGCAGTGGCAAATCACTTCTAAAAACTTTGCCAAGATAATTGCAAGAACCTGTCTAGACAGACTCCAAAATTGGGATACGATTGAACAAACAAATGTGTAGAGATTTAAATCTCTTCTTTCTCTTTCTTTTCTGAAATTCCCAGGTGAGTCGCTCTGCTTGTTTAATGACAACACAATTAATATGTAAATTATTACGGTCCCGGGAGGCAGCAGCAGCAGTCGATGTCAGAACATGGCCACCTATATTAGACACAGGTATGTTGTTTATTCCTCTTTGTTCTGTTGTGAATTTTTGCATCTTTCACAATGTCTCAGGAATCATGTCTCTCTTTTTCTTCGTAGATGATTTGCCAAAGAAACGGCCTCCTCAGATCTTCAAACCTTCTAATCCTGACATGTTAGCTTATCTCGATTTCAGTGTATCTACAACTGGAATGTTAGCAGGGGTGAAGGTAAGAATTACTCACAATGGATAAGTTGACTAGATGACCTCCAAGGTCCCTTCCAACTTTATTATTATTAAGTCAGGATCTACATATGAATAAAACGTGTGGAGGAAGCACAAGAAAAAGTATTGTTCATTTTTACTTAACTGCTGCTTCCATAATTTATTATTTTATTTTGGGGGGGGGGAACTTGGTCCATTTTTCTGTAATTTGCACAGGAGGTTCAGTACCTACTTTTGTGACACTAGGATAAAGCCAAGACAGCAAGAGTTTTGAGTTTTTTCACATGGTAAAACGTTCTTTAAATGACACTAGTGGGAGAGTGTTACATTTTGTCTGTCAAGCATTTGGTCTTTTACTGACCCATGTCTGCCATCTGTAGTACTTTCTATTTTTACTCTACTCTTCAGAGTTCCACATAATTTCCAGCAGTTCTGGATTATAACCTAGAAATCAAAACCACAATGAGTCACTCTCTGGTTGTTTCTCGTTTGCCACATGGACTGGTTGTTCTTTGGAAACTTATTAATTTTAATAGTGTAGAAAAGATTCAGTGAGGGTTTATTTCGAGGAGATAAAAATGAGGGTATGGAAAGAAGAGATGGGAGATGATTATTTTTATTCTGTTACTAATTTAAGATCTAGCAATGCTTCAGAAGCAACCCTACAGAATGGCATAGTTTATCATTTTGATCACTGCCCTCTTTTCTTCTTCCAGATGTCTCATGCAGCCACTAGTGCCTTTTGTCGTTCTATTAAGCTGCAGTGTGAACTCTATCCTTCTAGAGAAGTTGCAATTTGTTTGGATCCCTACTGTGGACTGGGGTTTGTCCTTTGGTGCCTCTGTAGGTAGGTTTTCCTGATGGGAACTGTCAAGTATCTTTTGTGAAGTGGCAGGACATTACTGTTGGACTCTGTATGTGTATGGAGGGCAGGGATCAAATGTATCCTATCAGTTGACATATCAAAGCAAAGAGAATGGATTAAGGTTGTTAGATTTAAATTTGAAGACCAACCTATCAGTTCTAAAGGCAAAATATAAATGGAGTCACAGTGTCTTATTATATTTGAACAAATGGGCATTTGAGCTAGTTATAAAAAAATATTACTATATGGAACAGTCCTCTTCAGAGTTTAAGACAGCCATTCATTTTTTTTATTCTATTCCATGTTGCCACTAATCCCCACTGGAGTGCTTTTAATGAAATATCACATCCATACTTTTTTTTTTTCCAGCACAGTTCTTGACATTTCTCCAAACTGGCAAATCTCTCTCTCTATAGAAAATGCTGCTTTGGCTACAGAGACATTACATGAGTGTGGCATATACCAAATTGGGAAATAAAACGTGTAATTCGTTCTTAGCAAAAGGATATAAAGAGAGGGAGGGCAATAAGGTAATCATGTCAACTGAGAGGAAGTAAAACCAGGACCTTAAACCCATTTTCTCTTAGCGTGCAGGATTCATCTCCCCCACCCAGCTTTTCTAAATATTTTAAGCGATTTGAAGCTTAACACAAAATGTCCTTTTGCTTCCTGCCAAACTTGTTTATAGATATTGTTCCAAAGGTGCTTCCTGAAAAAGAGTTCAATTACCATTTCTGTTAAGAGATTTCCAACTTTTAAAATACAGAAGTAGGGATATGCAAACCATCCATGTCTGCCTCTTAAAGGCACTTTGTACAGATAGTCCTTGATTTACAAATATTTACAATATTTGCTTAGTGATTATTCAAAGTTACAACGGCACTGAAAAAGTGACTTATGACCATTTTTCACCCTTACAACCATTATAACATTCCCATGGTTTCCTGGGCCCAGTGTGCTTATCTTTTGCATCTTTATGATAAGCAAAGTCAATGAGGAAGCCAGATTCAGTTAACAACCAGGTTATTAACTTAACAACTGCAACAATTCACTTAATAATTGTGGCAAGAAAGGTCATAAAACAGGGCAAAATTCACTTAACAAATGTCTCGCTAGGCAACATAAATTTGGGGCTCAGTTGTGGTCGTAAGTTGAGGACCACCCTGTATCTTAGCATACATTTTAGAACTGAATCCTCAACTCTGCTGTATAGGCATTAGAACACATATAGAGTTGATACAACCCAATTTCAAGCATTACAGCTCTTTTGAACTTCTGATGAACCTCTTGATCATGTAAACACTCTTGAAATATATTTAAATTGTGCTTTTAAAAAGGGGTACCAGATTGGGGCAACATTGTTTTTATTCCAGTTTGGTATCATTGCCATTAATCACTGCTCCAGGAGTGTAAAAAGGGATTGGACCCTAGATAAGCAGGGTTTGCAATCTGAGCACAAGCAGCCAAATATATATCTCTATATAATATAATAATAAAATAAAACCATCTGTTTATCCCTGTTATAGATGTTATGAAGTTGTGCTGGCCTGCTCCATTGTGATGTCCCAGAATGCAACATTCTGAGACTTCCAAACTGCTAAGGAAAACCCCTTGGAGCATGGAGCCAGCCCATTGGTAAGTCGTGGCTGTATTGCATGGTTTTGCAAAGTTTTGTTTTTGTTTTTATTTTATGTCCCGAAGGGTATAAAATAATAATGAAAAGAAACCTTGCAAAGCAGAGCAATAAACCTCTATCAAAAATTCTCCAGATTCCTATCAATTGGCCACCCACTCCAGCAGGATTTCCTGGAGATCTTTGTCAAAGATTGATGCATTCTGGGCAGAACAACAATTGTCAGGCCAACGTGAGTTCATGGACATCAGTCTTTCTAAATCTTTTAGCTGTTTGTGCCAAATGCTTAGTGCTGGGCTTCATTGTGTTGTCATTTTTTTCCCTGCCATGTTTTTGGGTTTGGTAAAAAAAAAAAAAAAAAAATTAGCATTTCTAAATAGGTTTATTCTAACAGCTGTTCAGTTTGGTATTGATTGTGAAGTCTGGAACACCTAACATCTTTTTTTTTAATTTGTCCAAGTTTTATTTCTATTATGTGGAGCCTGAGCTATTATAACTTCCTGATATTCATGTTTATGTGTGTATTTGTGAATTGGCCGGATAGTCTTTAAACTAAAAAAATAAATTTTCTTCTGGATAAATAATTTTGCAAAACTAACTACAGGCATAAAACCTGCTTTTCATGCAGAAATTCTAGGGTCTTGGACCAGCATTTTTACTTTGATCTGGGAAGAATTCCTACAATGATGCTTCTGCTCAGTATTGAAAATACTGAATCTGTGGGATTCCCTGTCGGGTACTATTTCTAAGTTCTGCCTGAACTTTTCTTAATAAACCAGATTGATTAAGATCAAGTTACACATAAACTTGCCTTGACGGAAAATTGGTTCATACCTCGTACTGAATCTAGCATTGTTCAATTTTGTTTAGGTGGAATGTGTGAATCCAGATTATTATAGCATTCATGTTTAAATTCTACGGAAAGCATCAGTTTGTAACATGAGATGATTTGAAAGATGGATTTGTATTTTTTAAACACTGCACTTCTGCAAATATTACCAAAAGGAAGGATGTAGAAGAAATTAAAAAATAGTAATTCATGGAAGCAAAATAATAAAGTAATAAAACAAGATTAGAAATTCCCTTTAAAGTGGTATGTTTCAAATAGGATCTAGATAGTTTGTTTGTTGGGGCATGCCTTTAATTGAATTTCTGCAAAGATCAAGATAGTCTTTCAATAGCTTAAAAGGTGTATTTGAATTCTGTATAAAGAGGATATATAGAAATATCCCATTTAGATGGCAGCATTATCTTATTTGAACTTGAAAAGCTAACCAGAATCAGAAGCAATTAATAATTAAATTACAAACTATCTAGAAATTACAGAATTGTATATGATGATTTTCCAGAAAAAGGAAGTGACAAGAGATATCCAAGCCATTTCTCAGCGATCAAATATGGGATGTTTTGTATGCAAAGGACTTTCCTTACCATCCTTAGCATCCCTGTTAATCTGTTCATCATATCACAAGGTGAGCAATCTGGTCAGTTGAACCACTTGCTCAGTCAATCCATGTTTTCTTCCAAATTCCAGAAGCACAGAGAAGAAGAATCTTGTAGCTTCTAAAGACTATTTCCTCAAGGGAGTATTCTGGACAGCAGTAGTAATTAATCACAGGGAACTTGCCATCTTCATGCTACTATTGAAAAACTAACTAGCATAAGCAAAATAAAGTTTGGACTTCTGGGTCTCTCTTCACATAAACTGATTTAAAGCTAGCTCATTTTATTTGACTTTTTCCTCTGGAATATATATTTGTTGCTGCTGTTTTGATTTCTGTTTTAATTAAGATTTATGAGTTACGGGGAAACTGTAGCCCTCTGGTAGTTGCTGCACTTCTTTGGTATTCAATATTCCTGACCATTGGCTATTCTTGATGGAGCAATTGGAAACCAGTTGAGCAATGTCTGGAGGGCTTCAGATTGTCTATCTCTGAGCTAAAAGCTCCCAAGGAGAGCTGTCTCCTTCCAGAATTTTGAAAAATAATTTTTTTTTCAATTTGGCATCTTCTGGTCTCAAGACAGATTTCCCGTCATGGGATTAACCAATCTTGTATCTTTACAGCGTTTATTCAGGACACCAGTCTATTTTAATTCCTCCCTCAGAATTGGAAACTACACCTGCTCTATGGCTTCTGGCTGTGAGCCAGTACAAAGTAAGAGATACCTTTTGTTCCTACTCAGTTATGGAACTTTGCACCAAGGGCCTTGGTTCACAAACAGAATCTTTGAAGGTGAGGAATCCTAATTCTTTTTCTTTTTCCCTCTAGCTCAGTGGTTCTCAACCTGTGGGTCGGGACCCCATTTGGGGTCGAATGACCATTTCACGGGGGTCGCCAAACCACGCTGTCCGCCATTTTTTTCCCTTTTCGCTAGCTGTCCTACTCCCTCTTATTGATGGCCACACCCACTTGGGGGTCACCACAACATGGGGAACTGTATTATAGGGTCACGGTATTAGAAAAGTTGAGAACCACTGCTCTAGCTGATGTTGCCTGAGCTTCTTCTCCCCATTTGATATCTTTGTTTATATTGTTGATAAACAATTGTCTTTATGAATCAAGAACAACCCTTTCAGCTGGGCAAGTGGAATTCTACTTTCCACTTTGTGTGAATTTAATCAAAGTTAAATCATAGCTTAGTAAGTGAGCTCACCCACTTTCAATTTTCCACTGGACTCTTCTTTAGTTTTTGTTGCATATGAGAAGGTTTTTAAGCCAACCTGTGCCTTTCCTCCCATTTTTCTAACAAATGGGATTCAAAATGGTTAACAAGTTGCATTATAATTATAGCCCAGTCCTGTATCCATTCAAAACAGGTTCACAGTTTAAGAATTTAATTTGTGTGGCTTGTAGAAACTAAAAATAATAAACACTCTCTACTCTCCCTAATGCAGAATTATAGGTGGGCGAAACCTTAACAACTTTAAGATGTGTGAAATACAACTCCCAGAATTCCCCAGCAGCATGTTCTGTGAAGTGTCAGCTTCAATACATGGAATTCCACAGCCAGCATATTGCTTGGGGAATTCTGGGAGTTGAAGTCCACATATCTTAAAAGTGCCAAGGTTGAGAAATTTGGATTCACAATGGCAAAAATATCTATGATGTTTGTTATGATGATATTCCCACTTATTCCAAAATACATTTTTTTTAGTAACCCATTTCTGCTTCTGATGTCTTTGCTATATCATCTGCCAAATGTTAACACTACTCTTGGGATGACCTGAGTTTGTGCCTTGTTTCCAGGCAAGAGGACTGGACCTGTCAAGGGTGCGGACATGTGTGGTTGTGGCAGAAGAACGACCCCGAATAGCTCTGACACAATCTTTTTCAAAGCTTTTTAAAGATCTGGGTCTCCATCCCAGGGCTGTCAGCACATCCTTTGGCTGCAGAGTTAATTTGGCAATATGTTTGCAGGTAAGGCTCTCTCTCTCTCTCCTGTTGGCAAAAATTGTAAAAGCAGTCCTTCCTTAAGGGGAAGCAACCAGGTTTCATTTAAGATGGTTAGTTACTTTCTTAATTGGTGCAAGTATAAATAGACGTTCCTTTTTCATACTGCAAGCATACACCTTTTCTGGTTTTGTTAATTAGTTTTTCCATAATCCTTTTTATGTTACATTTATAACATATAAATGTAACATAAAAAGGTATGAAAGCAACACAGTAAATACCTGTATGAAAGTTCCTTAATTTGTAAGTTGTAAAACTCAACCCGAATCTTTATGCTCAGTATATCAAAATCTTTTTGTTCCTTGTGAGTAGAGTAAGGACTTAAATATATGTAGTGCATTAAAACCACTATAGTCTTACTCAGTTATTGTGGTTAGTGTTAGAAATGGATTAAATGTCAATATCTATTTGTCCCAAACTGATATCTGCCTGTCTGTCCCAGAGTTCCTGGCCATTATGGCCTTTGAAGTCCAACCTTACTGGAAGTTTATATTGTTCTGGAGAAAAAAAAAACAGAATTTAGTAAGAATATTAGCATTAGTATCATAAGTCCTTGCTTATAACCACAACTGGGATCAGAATCTTGGTCATTAAGCAAAGTGGTGTCCCATGACTGCTTCACTAAGTGGACAGAGTCCCAGGTAGGAGTTGAGGATGTCTCAGGGTAGGGTACTCCTCTTTGAGGAGTATTGATCATGGCCTAAGCTGCTCAACAGATCATGAACATTGGTGATGAACAATGTTGATTATTCCAGACTGATATGCATTCCAAATGCATACATTAGCCATTCTACATTCAGAAGGTTCTAAAGTGTGCTTACTCTGAAAGATTCCATTAGTTCCATGTGGAACTAATGTTTGAAGTAGTTGAGATAATTGAGGTGATTTTCCCAATTTCGTTTAATTTCATATTTCAGGAAAGTAAGCCTTCAGAAGTTGCTTTGGACCCAGCTTTAAAAACAGACAAATGTACACATTTCCTAAATAAATTTGTTTGCATCAGCTGCTCACAAGTAGATTACTGTCTTATGTGCAGAATTGAATGGCTATCCATGCAAAGTTTTCCTACCTACCAATCATTTTCAATTTTGATTTTAAAAACATTACATCCTTGCATATATTTACTGACTTGGATTCAAATGAAGTAAAATAAACTTATTTCTCATTGAAATCAACAAATTCAGTAAGATTGATTTACCTTATTAGTTTCAGTAGAATCAAAATACAGCTGATTATTATTCCGATCCAATCCATCACATTTCAGTCCTCAGTAAAATATATAATCTAAGAAAAGTTTTTATGATATACAATGTGGTGTATATTTGTACAGGGTGTGCCTTTCACAAAAGTCTATAGATTCTTGCCTGCTAAAAACTTCATTTTAAACTTGCTTCAATGCCAACTTGATTTTTATTTTAATAGTTCAGATAGAATTTACTTGTGATCGAAAGCATCAGATAATTTATCCGTGCAAAATTCTGAGGATGTTGCTATTTGCAGACATGCTTTGCTTTGGTACTTGAGGATTGTGGGATTTGTAACTCAGCATATTTGAAGAACATTTGGCTTCTGTTGACTTAAATTCTAGAACAACAGACAACATGATGTCTTCTAAGTGCATTTTTTCCACAAGGATCAGATCTCAAGTCTTAGAAGTTATTTCCTGATTTTAATAGTTCCTACTAGATCAGCTATCTTTCCTGCTGATCTACTGTGTTTCATGATACTTAGATCCAGGAACTTCCTGCAAAAAGATTTTTGTTGTATGCAAATCTTTGCATAGAGGGAATTCATGTATTTTCCTTCTTTGAAAATTATTCAATCGTGTCTATAGATAGCCCTCCACTTATGATCTCAATTGAGCCCAAAATTTTTGTTGCTAAGTGAGACATTTATTGTTTTGCCCCTTTTTACGACCTTCCTTGTCCCAGTTGTTAAGTGAATCATCACAGTTGTTAAGTTAGTAACATGGTTGTTAAGTGAATCTGGCTTCCCTATTAACTTTGCTTGTCAGAAGGTCAGAAAAGGTGATCACATGATCCTGAGACACTGCATTTGTCATAAATTTGACTCTGTTGCCAAGCATCTGAATTTTGATCACGTGACCCTGGGGAAGGTGCAACAGCCATGTGAAAAATTGTCCTAAGTCACTTTTTTCAGTGCATCTGTAAGTTTGAATGGGCACTAAATTGTTGTAAGGTTTTTTGTATATATTCTGTTCTTGAATAAACACTATAGGCTTGGGCTGTACCCATATTGATTTGGATAGCATAACTGCAGCAGGCAAAAAAGGCAAATTTATTGTGGAGAGATGATCTTGCCAGGTTCTGTTTTCCCCAAAAAGTCCAAAAGAAGTGGCTTAGGTAGATGCCTCCCTAATTTGCTGACATATGAGGATAAAAAGGAGAGGATACAACACAATCAGATTTGCAGGATTCTGTTACAACAGTCAGCCTCAATAAAAGTAGTCCCTATGGAGCTGATTTCATGCTCTAATAGTCTACCTTCACTTACAATGAAGCAGAAGATATGGGTGTACCATTTTTGCTCTTGGGAAGCAACATTTATAACTAAAATTTCTTACCAGATTTACACTTCAGTTCAGGGAACAGAGAACTTCCTGCCTCAGTTTCATTTATAAAGGCAAACTTGTGGGTGACAGAAGGCAGGTGGTCATGATAGAATTATCCATTGAAAAGTAAGAGCTGAACATTCCTCTCAAGATGGTTGACTTGTTCCTTCCTGTAGACCAGGGGTAGTCAACCTTGGCTCTTTTATGACTCGTGGACTTCAACTCCCATAATTCCTGAGCCAGCACAAGTCATAAAAGAGCCAAGGTTACCTACCCCTGTCCTAGGGCATAAAAAAGTATTGTGGGAATTCTGGCTCAGGAATTCTGGGAGTTGAAGTCCACGAGTCATAAAAGAGCCAAGGTTGACTACCCCTGGCTTTAGACACAGATGTGCTTTTCAGGCTTAACAAAAGAGTGTTCCATTTCATTTTAATCTTTTGAAAAAGGTATGTCAATTATCGAAATGTGAAGGTATAGTATGGCACGCTTCACCTGAAAAGTAGAGTTTCACACAGTGTCCTCAAACAATGGTATCTATAATGTCGGTTAAATTGCTGAACATTTGTTTGTTAAAAATTGGAAAGTCTATATACTTCTGCCTCTCCTGTTTGCTCTGTTAAAATAACACCTCCATCTTATTTATCTATGTGTTTATTTTCATTTCTAGCTCTTTAAAATAATAAAATGTATAGTTTATAAAATCCTTATATTGGTCATGTTTTTTTTTTATTTTATTCCACTCTGTGCATGAGTCTATTTATTTTCCTCTCAACTTCCATTTCTTTTTCAATTATTATTATCTTCATTATTATTTTTTTCCCATGTGTTACTGTCTCTCCTCCCCATCTCCCCCTATTCCTGCCTCTGTAGCCACACGGGCTGGGGAAACTGGGCAAACAGGTAGGGAATTTACTGGTTCCCTAAAATATCCACCTGGCAGTGGACAGACTAGATGGAATCAGCGGAGACCTTTGAGTGGGGAGGTACACATGATTTGTGTGATTCGATGCAATAGCCAGAATTGGCCAGGAAATGTCAAGGGAAGAAAATTTTGTGTAAAGAAATGAAATAATGAATAGGTGTTATCCAGATATAGTCTTCATCCAAAGTTAACCAACACTTTGTAACGTGCTTGGGAATGTGTTCTGAAAAACAACATCCAGGTGTGACCCTTAATGTATAAATGGTCACAACTGAATTTTATAAACTGCTTCTGGTTAATCATGAAAACAGTTCCTAATGTAATACAGGTAGTCCTCAACTTACAACAGTTCATTTAGTGACTGTTCAAAGTTACAACAGCATTGAGATATGTGATTTATGACCATGTTTCATAGTTAACGATCTCAGCCTCATGATCACATCATCAAAATCCAGATGCTCGGCAACTGATTCGTATCTATGACTATTGCTGTGTCCTGGGGTCATGTGGTCACCTTTTGAGACCTTTTGACAAGCAAAGTCAAGGGGGATGCCAGATTCACTTAACCAGGTTACTAATTTGTCAACTACAGTGATTCACTTAACAACTGTGGCAAGAATGGTCGTAAAATGGGGCAAAACTTACTTAACAAATATCTCACTTAACAAGAGAAATTTTGGGCTTGATTGTGGTCGTAAGTCGAGGACTATCTGTTTTTATAGAGTGATTCTCTCCCACTCTTCCTCTTTTTCAGTGATGGTAACGGGCTTCTCCGCTCTCAGCACTGGTCTGTTACGCTGTTGGTGCTGCTGAATATATTAGTACATTGAGAGCTGTGCTAAAGCCCCTATATGCCAACACCACAATACAAAGTGTTGACATTATGCCAAGTTGCCCAGTGATGCCCTCCTGTAATTTTCTCTTGCCCTCCTGGTGATGGGATGCTGGTCAACGTTTAGTACATTTAGTACATTCTTTTAGATGCCTCTTGCTTTCCTTAGCATAGAACCTGATTTTTTTTTAAAGGAGTACCAAGAAATAAAATGCCCCCCTCCCCCCCCAAAAAAAAACAACCTGGAAACTCAAGAGTCCAATGTTCAAGTCCAGGGTCCATCCTTTTTCAACATTGTGCCGGCTTGCTTTATTTTTTGTAGAGGTCCCAATAGTTTTTCATTGCTTGTCCAACTTTCCTTCAGGAGCTCAAGGCAGTATATATAACATCCTCTCCAATTTTTCCCCATGATAGCAACTTAGCTGAGAAAGAGTGACTGAGCTTCAGTTATCCTATGAGCATCTGTGGCTGAGAGCAAATCTGAAGCTGGAATACCAAACCAGTTCTCATTAAACATGTGCTGGCATAATCGCTGTATCCTCTTTAGACATATCCAGATTTAGGAGTTTCTGTCAACAGAATATATACAGTAAAATGAACCAATAGGAACATTCCTTTCTTTGAATGCACATTTTTAGTACATTGCACAGGACAGGCTGGGCACTTTAAGTCTTAAAGCATCTCCAAACAGTGAAGTGGCTTCGCAGTGCCAGTGTTTCAATAGAACCTGAAGGTGATTAGAAAGCAATAAGGTTTAATGCATCTGGTTTCTAATCCAAATAATCTGACCTGAGTTACATTGCATAGTACTTAGTTCAGATCACCATGCCTTATTTTTTTCTTTTAATTGCACTGAGGTGCAAGTCTCTCTTGGGCTACTTCACATGATATACTAAATCAGTTTGTTCATTGAACACTCAGTGTAATTAAATTCAGCCTGTGTAATTTGTAAACCATGTTTTTGTCCTGGGTGATCCCATTCAACAAAATATGGTTCAATATAGTGTATGAACCCAGTCTTAGCATAGAAAGAACATAAGCACACATTCATAGAAAGAATTGCTGTATTGTGGGTGACATGGCCATGAACAAATTAGCGTGCTGCTTTTTAAAATATAATGTTTTAAAGCAACAGAATAACTGCTTATGCTTCCTCAGTTTCTATATGTTAATATCAAATGTCTTGCTTTAAAACATTTTCAGCTTTATATAGAGCCTTTGCATAAGTGTCTCAGGAAACTTAATCACGTGTTTGGACTTTTACGGGCTGTGTTGTCTTCAGCCAATTCTGTTTCTTTAGAATTTCCCAACTTGGACACCCTTTATTATTTTTCCATTGAGACTCATTTTCAGGAAGGTGAGAAACTAGAAATTATGTTTACAATGAAGGAAGAGATAATTAGATCTCCACATACATACAGATACAAACCATACATAATGTGGTCTTTGTTTTTTTTTTTTACCCTGACAGTATAAAAGATTTGCTGTTTTAAAACTGTAGCAATAATTAAATGTAGAGACAACCTATTACTTCAGAAGCTAAATGAAATGTTTCTTTTTCAGGGAACATCTGGGCCAGACCCAACCACTGTGTATGTTGACATGAGGGCTCTCAGACATGACAGGTGTGATTTTTACTTTAATGTTGCGAAATTCATACTAGAAGGTTAGGAACATTACCATGTGTTATTCACATAAGTGTAAAAGGCATATATTTTAAAAATATAGCAAGAGAAAGGAATGCTGTTATTTGAAAGAACTGAATTTTCAGATGGCATTTCCACATCATTAAATTAAAAGCACATTGGTTCATCATAGTCCTTTTGCATAATTCAAAAGTAACTGTCCAGTATTCAGTGGGGAGGAGTATCACTCTGCGGGGTGGTTAGTAGACTGAGAGAAGACCCTCCCTCCTCCCCCTGTGATATTCCTGCTTCTTTCTCTCCCCCTTTTAATCTTTCAATGATAATTTTTTTTAGTATAACTGATGGTTGTTGTCACTGTTTTATCTTTCTCATGTTTTTGGTTTTGATGTTTGTAAGTGCTCAGAATTGCCTTCGGCCAAAATGGGCAGCACAGAAATCCAATAAATAAATACACATTCCTGCCTTCTTTCTTCCTATATCTATCAGCATCCCATAGCATGGCCAATGCTCTCTACAGCTGCTTCTTAGCCTCTTTTATAGACCTGGCAAATGCAAATTCTACTGTAGAAATGACATTTGCAGGAACAGGTGCAGTAAAGGCTGTTGAAATTTTAGCCTTCGCTTTCATGTACACCTCTGGCCAATATATGGTGATGTAAAAGGAGAGATTTGGAACTTGGATGAATAAACCTTTTGTGGATGAATATAATTTTAAAAAACCAAAATGCAGTCTTCCATGTGATTATGTTTGTCCGTAGAACCTAAATAGGAGTTGTTTGAGAGACTTTATTAAAAGAACAAAACAACTTTTGATGGTGTCTTGCTTTTCTGTACAGAATTAATTGGAGGGTTTAGCTATTTGCTCGGTGCTCGTTGGAAAATTAGTACTGGTTTGAAGCCAAGTGGATATGATTGAGAGAAAGGCTTAGAATAGGGCAGGGGTAGGCAGCCTTGGCTCTTTTATGACTTGTGGACTTCAACTCCAAGAATTCCGGCTCAGGAATTCTGAGAGTTGAAGTCCACAGGTCATAAAAGAGCCAAGGTTGCCTATCCCTGGAATAGGGATTCAAAGAGGGAAAGGGACTTCAGAATACAGGATAAAAATGGCTATTCCTGATGCTACCTGTGTACTCGTTTGCTCCCAAAAACACCCCCCCCCCTTTGAATCCAAAGCACTACACAACCTTTCTATATTTGTTGTTTTTTACATTTATATATAAATTTATATTTGTATATTTCTTGATTGTTATCAAAGATGCTGGGTCATCTCCTCTTAGCCTCTATTCTGCAAATCTCTCAGGCCCGTGTGGAACACAGCCCCAGGTGGTGCAATGAAATGAGCACTGAATTCAATCCCAGTTGAAACATGAACTCAGGGACAGGACTGTGAGAGGCACTATCTCCTCGGTCTAGTTGCTGTTTGCAATCTCCTAGATACAATCTTTTTTAACTTTGTAGGGGATGCATGCTATGCTATATAAAGAACAATTATTTAATAAATAGTTATTAAAACCAATCTATCATTTTTCAAAAGAATAGTGGGGATGACAAAGAGAAGTCAATGTTCAGATTGACTTGTTTGACAAATTGCTGTTTTGAAAGAGTATATAAATATAAATTACTCTTTTTATTCCTCTTTTTCTGGCTCTGATGTACAAAAACTACATATTCTATAAAGTCAGGAAGCAATTTCACATAGATTAATAGTCTATCCTGGAAAAAGAATTGAGCATCTCTAGATGCAGCTGAGGTACATTGAAAAAAATCAGCAGCAACAACTGTCCTTTTGTCAAGTGTTCTGCTTTCTTAGGTCTATCCTTCCTTGACCTGCCCTATCTTCTCCCTGCAAAGTCTTAACTATATAAGTTGATTTCAGCTTCTTCAAGCTAAGAACTGTGATTGACTTCTGCAACTGAATTCCCATAATTAGGCAGAGCCAGGAAAGAGCAGGAGAAAAGGGCAAGGCCAAAAATGTATCTCAGTTAAGTTAAATGTATTAAGCAAGTTTTAATGTAATGCTGTTGATATTATTCCCACTGTATTTAATAAAGTCCTCCTGTCTCTTTAGGAATAACAATTTAGTACAATATTCTAACTATCTTGAGCACTTCAATGAGAAGAGTCTACATAGTCCATTATTTCTCAGCCTTGTTAACTTAAAGATGTGTTGGCTGGGGAATTCTGGGAACTGAAGTTCATACATCTTAAAAGTTGCCAAAGTTGACTGAGCAATTCATGACAATTTCTCAAGATATTGGCTTAAACAGAAAGCAATTTTGCTCGGCTTGTTAAGGTTGAAATTTTTTTAGCAGGTGCATTGCATGCACATAAAAAGAGGACATGCTCTCAATTGTGTGGTTGTGCATACCATTTTGACTTTTTGCACCAGTAGATATCACAGACACCATTTTCTCAATCTTTTGCTAACTGCCTTTGTGGGATCTGACAAAGATCTGTTTTCTTAATTGATAAATGAACAGTGCACAGCTGGACATCTGTAGTTCTAAATGTAGCTTGAAGTTGAAGGTTTTCTAGGAGACCTACCTAGAAAGAAGTAGGGACACTGGACAGTGCCAACCCAGAATTGCCAGAGACTGAACAGAGGTTGCCTCTGAACAAAAGGAGGGAAAGAACACGAATACACACAAACACACACACAGACACACACACCATAGGAAGCTGTCTCTGAGCAAAATGGTCCTACCAGTTCTGTTTCCTGCTAGTTAAACTAACCTGCATAAATTTAAATAACATCCTTGATCACAGTACAAGGCTGTTGGGCTATGCACAGGTTGGGATTTCAATCTGTGCATCCTGACTTGAAAGTAATTCAAGGTGTGTCCAGTTGCCCTTTCCAGTAAGCAGAAAGAGGATTGCAGGTTTGTTTTTTTCCCCAAAAGCCGAATCTTCCCTTTAGTAATGGTTTTTCAGCAAATAGAAAGCAATACAGAAATACAGATACTTGAATGATGTAACTCTGTATGTACATCTGGTGTTGTGATTTTTGTGCATTCATAATTATTCTTTATATATATTTTATTTTCAGAGTGCGTTTAGTAGAAAGAGGATCTCCCCATAGTTTGCCTCTCATGGAATCAGGAAAGGTAAAAGTATAAAAATTATTAACCCTCTGAATGGAGTGAATAAACAAATATTTTAATGCAGGCAGATATATGATTATTTACACTGAGCATTTGCAGAGTCATGCGCATTATTAAGTTCTAGAAACTTGGGGCTTGTGAAATGAGTGAATTCATTATGGTTTCTTGACATTAAAAATCAATATTTCCAGTTATTTGATGGTATCTCAAGCATGCCTTTGGTTTTCTCAGGGTTAAATCCAAACCATCTGGACTTCCTTAAGTCGGAAAAAATTATTTATATCAAAGCTTTTCATCCATTTGTATCAATATTATCTATATCACTTGTAGGCAAACTGTGGTCTGAAGGACACATTAAACTTTGGAGTTTTAATGTATCCTGTTTTTCTTTCCCTTATTATCCCACAAAGAAAGAGATGCCCATTTTTCTCAATTCTCCATGGTAGAAATGCTGAATGAAACTCTGTGAATGTATGAATGTATGAATGAGGGGAAGGAAACTTTGCAGTGGGGAAAATATGAATGAGAGGATGTAGGGGGAAATGTGAGAATAAAGGTCAATAGATGTGTGTAGAAGAAAGAAAGATGCTATGTAGCTTCTATTTTCCTAAGATAATAGATACATTGCAATGTGTGTGTGTTTGTGTGTGTGTATGTGTGTGTGTGTGTATGAGAGAGAGAGAGAGAGAGAGAGAGAGAGAGAGAGAGAGAGAGAGAGAGAGAGAGAGAGAGAGAGAGAGAAGAATGTGGAAAACAAAATGATTGGATGATTCAGGAATGAACAGAAAATTTGGGATTTGGAGCCAATCTCCCTGATTCTCACCACCACCACATTTTGGAAAGAATGTGCATCTGAGCTCCATAAGACTTCTCTCTGGTCTATGCTAATTGGTAATAATTCCTGAGGGAACTCATTTTAAGAAATTGCATCTGGATTCATATATATGCAGAATATTTGCTCACCATATGCTTTCCAGATCATTAGCACTGCTGGTGGCCATGATTTTGGGCACAAGTGAAAAAACACCAAGACTGATGACTCATCCTCCTTAGGGAAGAACTAATTCACAATAATGAATTTACAAAGCTGAGTATGGTGTTACTTTCCTTGGAGAAGTTGCACCCACCTCTTTCCTTTTGGGAAGCCTGCCGTGTTTCTTAAAGACTTCAGAAATGAGGCAGGAAAGTTTAGTTTTTGCATGAAACAGTATAGACACAACCTGGCTCTTGACCAAATATGATTCATTTTGTCTTTCAATAGATCCTCCCTGGAGTTCGTATCATTATTGCTAATCCAGAAACAAAGGGCCCCCTTGGCGACTCTCATCTTGGAGAAGTAAGTTACACACCTGTGCCAAATCAGGGCCGAATAAGAGGAGTTGATTACAGGTCAACTCCTTTTTCTCATAGCATTATTGGGGCACCGTGTGTCAAACAGCCTGATCTAGCAGGTGATGTGTTGCACAGTTTAATGAATGTGTGTGGAATTAATGGTAAAACAAGTTAGTATATACTTTGCATCGTCATATTTAAGAGTCGTTAACTTTTCTAAGACTCTTCCTTCTCCTTCTTTCTTTCTGACTATATTTAATCAGATGCTACTCCAGGAAAATACCTTTTGTACATGCAGCACATAATTGCAGATGAATGCATGATTTTTGATAGTACCCACCCGCTGCAAAGGATGTTGGTTAGCTGTTTTTACTGCTGCTTTTTTTTAAAAAAAGTTCTGCCTGAAATCTTGTGACATGTTGGGTGGGAATGCCACATTTTACAAGATGTGATAATCTTGAGAAACCATAACCATTGGGGTCCACATTAAAAGCTACCAATGATACTCAAACCTTAACTTATCTGAAAGTAAACTGATGTTCCTTTTAATGAAGGCCTGTTATGAAAAGACCAAAGGTTTAGAACTTTTTGAAGCTAATGAAGCTTTCCTTCCAATTAAAACATATTTTTTCCCATTTCACGTAGATATGGGTTCATAGTGCTCACAATGCCAGCGGATATTTTACAATCTATGGCGATGAATCCCTACAATCAGATCATTTTAACTCAAGACTGAGTTTTGGAGACACACAAACTATCTGGGCACGAACTGGCTACCTGGGATTCTTGAGGAGAACAGAACTTACAGATGCAAATGGGGGTAAATTCTTTGGTTAATTTTTGAAAGTTTTTGTTGTTTTGTTTTGTTTTCCTTTTTATATATAATATTTGAGTATTGCTTGAAGTTAGTAAAATATCTAAACTAGGGGAGGTGTTTTCTCCTTTTAGGGTTAAAAAAATAGATTGAATTTATACAGAGGATACTTTTAATATGAACTAGGATAAAGATTAATGAGTCAATAGAGGTATATATCATTTCCCACAGTAATGAGAAGAATAGAAGGTCAAACTGATTCTTTTATCCAAAGACAAGAATATATCTAATCTTGCTTCTTCTATTTTGAAATTGCTTCCAGATTTTGTGCTTGCAATGAAAAAGAAAATGAAATTTTGATTTTGTTTTTGTTAATTAGATAGGTTTATTGTTATAGAAATGGTTTGTACATACTGTTGTGTAAAAGCAAAAATTTCTGATTGTAATGTTGTTATCTTCTACTGTATTAAAGAGAATCTGGAAGGTGGTGCCTTTTTCTTTTCTGTTTTTTTCTTTCTTTTTTTCTTTTCCCTCCCCCTTTTTCTAGTTTTCTATTACTCTTTTAATTTTTCTTTGTATTTTATATTTTCACAAATTAATAAAATTATTAAAAAAAGTTTTGAAAATAATGTACTTAGCACAGCTTTTGGAGAGTGGTTCATAGTTGCAATACATTATGCAATATTTTCTCAGCAGTTCTGTTGTTTATATGCAGTTTATGCAATCATGCCTGCACTGTAGAAAGGATGAGAAGAATTATATGCTTTGGTTAGAAGAAGTTACCTTACAGCGGGCACAGACCCACTTCTGCATCCCTAGCATCCCCTCTGATGTGCAGAGATGTATTATCTAAGACAAATATTTTGCATGCCTCCCCAACAAAACCAGAATTGCTCCCAAAATTGTAATTTTCAATACGAGAATAAGAATAAAAATAAGAATATATTTATTAAACAAGTAATCTTGGAGAGTAGTAATATTTATACTCAATTTTCATTAAATGTAAAAGCAAAGCAAATTGACTCTAGTTGGTTTCCTGACCAGAGCATTGCCTGACAGGATGAGCGCTGTCTTTGCCTAGTTCCAGCTCACCTAGCAGTTTAAAAGCATGCCCATGCAAGTAGATAAATGGGTACCACCATGCTGGGAAGGTTACAGCGCTCCGTGACATCATGCTGGCCACATGAGCCACAGAAATATCTTTGGACAGCACTGGCTCAATGGCCTTGAAACCGAGATAAGCACCACCCCATTTGCTCAGCAACGATCAGCAAAGTAAAATCTGCAAGGACACCTTTCCTTTACTTCCTGCTCCAACCTTAACTAATTTTATATGACATTATTATAAATTATTTTTTTTAACTGTTCTATGGTCCATAATGAGCTGCTTTAAGAAAAAATGTCAAGGAGAAGGAATAGGGGAGGAAATAAACACAAAGCTGTTTTAATTGCTGTTTTTGTATTAATCAGGTGCCTTTTATTAAAAAAAAACATGTATTTTTCACCATTATTATGTAATCTTGAAATCATGTATAAGAAATGGAAACAGAAACCAGCCTTTCCCACTCATAATACAAAGGCATTCTCCAGAGAGGTTGAGAGAGGTTCCAAGCCATGTTGGGAAAAGCTTTTCCTAAAAATACAACAACTGTAAATTCAGTGTTAGATATTCTGTTGTCACTGATGTGGTTTTGCATAATGAACTACTTTTGTTTTTTTCTTTTTCCTCTTGTGGTATCAGAACGACATGATGCACTTTACGTAGTAGGTGCATTAGATGAAGCCATGGAATTGCGAGGAATGCGGTATCATCCCATAGATATAGAGACATCGGTAATTAGAGCACACAAAAGCATTACGGAATGGTAAGTACTGGGTACGGGTTTCGCTGTGTGAATGCATGCATTTGTTTGAACAATGCCACATCTCTCTTTGGACCGGGTACAGATTTATTTGGATCAGGTTTATTTGCACCAATATACAGTTGGTATGGGATGGGGGAGTACAACTCCCTCTCTCTCTCCGTGCCATTACCTATCTGGTTCTAGAGTGTCAAGCATTGGAACCAGGTCCTAAAAGAGGATTCCTGATCACAAGAACTCTGTAAGTGCAGTTATCCCTTTTTTAATAACTGTATCTAGCTGCAAAGGCTGTTGCTTGAAATTTTGCAGCTCAGATATTGAAAGTTTCCTTTTTGGAGACATCTGCAGGATTGAGGGGTTTTGTCACTATAGGAGAAAATCCAGAAGCCGCATGGGGAGTCAGAGGTTAAGACAATGGGCTTGTTGTCTGGAAAGCCGACAGCCCAGGTTCAACCCGAGCTCCACGCAATGGGATGAGCTCCCATTCTTGTCCCAGCTCCTACCAATTTAGCAACTCAAAAGCATGCAAATGCAAGTAGATAAATAGGTATCACTTGGTGCTCTGTGACATCATGCTGGCCACATTAATGCGGAAATCTCTTTGGGTAGCACTGACTCAATGGCCCTCAAAACAGAGATGAGCACCGTGCTGTATAATCATCAATGACTATCGGAGTAAAATCTGGAGGACTCCTTTACTTTTAGGACAAAAGCTAATTTACACCAATATATCTGTATAATCATTATCACTAGCTCAGCTAAAAAAAAATAATCAGGCACTGGGAATTATCAGGTGCATTGGACATAACAGGCATTCATTCATTCTTCATGTTTCCTAACCTCCCACCTCCTTCCCACTAACAAGAGAAGTGAAATTTTTAAGCACAGGAATCTAAGACTATCTGCAAAAGAATGAGGTGCTGAGACCTCAGGGTCTTTCAATAGCTATGGCAGTGGTTCTCAACCTGTGGGTCGGGACCCCATTTGGGGTCGAACGACCATTTCACGGGGGTCGCGAAACAAGGCTGTCCGCCATTTTTCCCCCTTTTCTTTGGCCACGCCCCTGGCACCCGGTGATATATAAGTGGTTGGGGGTCACCACAACATGGGGAACTGTATTATGGGGTCACGGCATTAGAAAGGTTGAGAACCACTGAGCTATGGCTATGGTAAAATAACCACAGTTCTTTTGGCCCCTTTGTTTAATTCAGTGTTTCTCAACCGAAGCAACTTTAAAATATGTGAATTTCAGTTCCTAGAATTCCCCAGCCAGCATACTGTCTAGAGAATTCTGGGAGTTGAAGTACGCACACATTAAATTGCTCAGGTTGAGAAACACTGATCTAATTCAAAGATTCAAGATATGCCCATGCTACACCCTGTTTCATTAGCTACCTTGGCTTTCAGTAGGTGCCATTAGAGCTGCTGGTTATTGTTTGCAAAGCCTTGCATGACGCAGGGACAAGCTATTCTATCATCTATTTCTTACTATTTTGGCCCATTCCACAAAATTAAATAGAGTGGCCGTGTCTGGGGTCCTCTCTGTTAAGCAGTGGCACCTAGTGGGGCCAAAGACACAGATCTTTGTGGCTTACCTGGGAGTAGAATACTGTCACTAGATGGCCCTGACTATAAGTTCATAAGGCACTAAACACCTGAATTTTCCCTCAAGACATTGAGCCAGCATAGACAAAGCTGTCTTCAGCATGATACATGTTTAGGGTTTTTTTTGCTTGACATTCTTATTTTATGTTAGCTGCCCAAAGTCACATTTGTAAGTTGGGCAGCCATGTTATTCATTGAATGAATGAAATAGGTGTGTTACTCAATGATGAGTATACCAAAGAATTCATTTGGGTTATTCAGAAGACTAGAAAACACCCACAGGATTGGTGATTTAAACAGCACATCAAAGTTTCAGAAACCAGAAATATATTTATTTTTTTATTTGTATTTAAGACTTGCATATTTTCCCCTAAGAGGCAGTTAGGGACAATTCCATTAAAGAAAATAGCCACCATGAGCTCTGCATTACAGATTAAACAAATTGGTTTACATTTTAACATGAACTGATGAATTCAATCCCTATGTTGCTTTTTTTTTCTTTATTAGTGAAAGATGGAAAACCGTTTATCAGATCAAATAAGTTAATAGAATCACAAATATAAACATTGTCTACGACATTAATTTTTTTAAAGGGCAAGCAATAGCTAAATATATATATGTATGTTGCCCAGACATGGATGATATTGAATAGCTCCAGGAAATTTAACCAAACTGATTGAAAATCCTCTTCTCTGCCCCTCTATAAAAACAGGTCCATTTCAAAGTTGATGTAGACATTATCCTTTCAAAGTAGTGCAGTAATTATGTTGGCTTCTCTCCTCTTTCCTGTGCATGGAGTGTATTGAAGTAATTTTCCTCATCACCTTCCAGCGCGGTGTTTACCTGGACAAATTTATTGGTCGTTGTCGTTGAACTGGATGGATCAGAGCAAGAAGCCTTAGACCTGGTTCCCTTGGTCACCAACGTAGTCCTGGAAGAACACTATCTGATTGTTGGGGTTGTGGTGGTAGTGGACGTTGGAGTCATCCCTATCAACTCCCGTGGAGAGAAACAGCGAATGCACCTACGAGATGGATTTTTGGCAGACCAGTTAGATCCGATCTATGTGGCCTATAATATGTAATCTTATATCTTTAAGATTTCCCATGGACTGGACTCTAATGTATAAAACGCTTTTTTTATGTACACTAAACAATGTACAAGTAACGGTCTTCAGAACGGAACTATTTCTCTTAGACTTATTGAAGCACCCATTATTGGCAGGACATAAAAAAAATGTGAAATGTGTTTCTTTTACCACTACATTTTAGCACAGAAGGACTTTGGGGTACTGCCTTCAGTTTGTTGGAAAGCCCATTACTAGACTTTTTAAAATAAGATTATTTTTTGCTTATTGGGATGAATACTGCTTTCTAAGTAATAGGCTTTGTATCTTACGTTAAACTGAACTAGCTATTTTTTTTAAAATCTTCCCCCACCTAGCCATTCACCCACACACGGATATTTTTGAACAGCTCATGATATGATTGAATTGTTTTGGTTTGCTTCTTTTTTAAAATGTCTGTATAAAAACAAAGTTTTCTCACTATGGATCCATTACTAATTTTAAGCCATTTTCTATTCCATCCACCTAGGAAGCTACATTGAGGTACGAGAAAAATACTCAGAACAGCACCTTCTCAAATTAGAGTTTTTAACAGCTTTCTCTCCTGGAAATGCTGAAGTTCAGAGGTAAAAAGAGCCTTTGATTATTAGTGTTAGAATGAACAGATCTTTATAAATAAGGTGTATTTCGGCAATGAACTTGCAGATATCTTTGTACTAAACTAAAAAGATAAAATAAGTTAACTACTTCTGTAATTATGTACAAAACCTTTAATTTATTTTGATCTCTTTAGAAGTATAAAAGAGAAACATTCAAGAATATTAAACTCTTGCAATGTTTGCTAATATAAAAACAAAAGGTTGTATTATCTTGAGTGGATAGTATCACATCAAAAATATATATATATGAAATATAAATTCACTAATGACAAAAAAAAGAGTTTAAAGTTTTAAAAGGATGCAGTACTCATCACTTGCATGGTGTCTCTTTTCCCACTGTAGATAATGAACATTATTCGCAAACGTTTAGGGGGAAAAAAAGCAGTTCTCGATTGCTCAGTGTCCCCACCTAAAAGAATCTTCCATATACCAGTAGATACAAATTTGCTGCTGCTTGCAAGGCAGTGAGTTGATTTTTAAGGTCGCAATCTTGTTGTCTTGCTCATACTGAAGGCAGGAGAGGAAGCAGTCCCTTTAGGAGCCTGGGGTGAGGGTCCCTTGCCCCCCCCAATTCCCCCAGCTGGCTGTTCCCCCAATCTTGCTTTAGCTGCCCACAAGGGCCCTGCTTTCTCCTCCATCATCCTTTTCCTCCGATGGTGCTGCAGTCCTCAAGAGGGATGCCTGAATTGGAAGGGCCCTGAAGTCTTGGCAGTTCTGTTGGGTAAGAGCCGAGGTGACAGGCTTACCCTGGCAGGACAACTAAATCCAGGACAGAACCTGCTTATTATGACTCTTCCCAGAGCAGATTGATTTGTGGCCAAAGACCTGAACAGTGTACTGCAAAGAATACTTTTCTTTTACCTTCGAGGTGACCATAAATGTTGGCATGTATGTTCATACACTTCTTAGATGTTAGAAAAGGCAGGTCTGAAATATAGCACTGTTTTTCCTTAGCTGCATAATATTGTTGCACACTAATTGCCATCTTTTTCTTTTCAAGTTCATCTTTTGTTTTTGTTAATACTTTTTAATGATTTATTTTCTTGTGGTAAAGACAATTTTTGTTAGCTTTTTGATGGTTATTTTGCATAAGGCTTTTTGTAAAAAGAAAAAAGAAAAAAAAAGAGTCTCTCTGCTGCCTGGTTTAATTTGGGCAAGGAGAGAGTGCTGATCCATCTATTTAACACTTTGTAGAAAGTTGTTGCTTTGAAAAAGTATCTTATTTGTTATTGGACAATAACCAGAAACCCTCTCTAAATGATTTGGCCTAGCTCAGCGCATCCGCTAACGTTTGTCACACTGAGGGACTGAAATTCAAATATTGTGATTCAATCCTTCCATCTGCCAATAGAGCAAGGAGCGAAGGGAACAAAATCACATATATACACCCCTCCCTTTCCCTCCTCCCTTCCCTCTTGCTTTTGATTTTTGCCATTTTTAAATCTCTTCAGGTAAATCTACCACCTCTTCTATTTCTGGTTTCCTCCTTATCTTCTTTGCTGATTTCATTTTCCTTTAGTAATCCCCAGGTCAACCAATGTTTGATGAGAAGATGGAAGATTAACCAGAAGCAAGAACACCTTCTTTTAATATGTTTTTTTTTTTACAGGTTCGGAATAATTGCTTAACATCCATTGAAGTTTGCATGCATAAGAGAGTTGTAGGATAAGCATCACGGGATCTTTATATCTCATATAGAATGGAATTATTTTGATCTACCTTTGCAGGTTTCATTTGGTTCCAGTCAATCCTGTTTTGTTTTTTTTTAATAGATGGGAGTACTTAAAGATAAGGAATGGTTTGTAACCTGCGTGTACAATACAGAGCATCTCATGACTGCAACCTCTTTTTTTGCATTTTAAGTTTCAGATGAATTTTTTTCCAGATTTTCTTTGCACCTGTGAATATTTCTCATGTTCCAAAGACCACTGGATAGGAAAGAGTTCTGCCACATTGTTCTGTGTGGGGCCATCAAAAATACAATCTGTTTGTAGAATGTCAAGTTGCTACAAGTTCTCACGACTTGATCATGAGCCTAATTGCCGTGTAAGAACTAACGTGACATCGCTGCTACTGCTGACACAAATTCAGCTGTCGCTTTGCGACGGCCTCTCCTTTAACTTTCAGTAAGACAACTTTGCATTCCTGGGGAAGTGTGAAGGACTGCAATGCAGTCATACAGCACCGTTAATCATTGATCGCTTCAGCAACCTGCCGGTCGTTTCAACTCTTAAAAATTAGGACAGTAAATGTAAACTGAATATTCTAGTTTTGTCACGCAAGTGAAGAGGAAAAAAAAAACATATGTAACCACCAGATTCAGCAATAAGGAAAGATTGCTCTGTATTAGAAATTGTACTGTAGATAAACCATTCATGAGAATGTATAAACTGTTTGTCTTGTGACCTTGTGCTTTTGAAGTCAGACAAAATCATGTAATCAACCTGATGCACACCTGAAAAGAAAGAGAAAAAATAACCCCGAACAAACAAATGAAGGAGGAGGGTTCACAGTGAATATTGAAACACAAAACTAAGCAACAGGAGCAGATTCTTCATGGTGCTCGTTTATTATATATATTTAATCCTGCTTGACACTTTACCCAAGGGGAGATTGTCCCTTTTATCAGTTGAATGTTAGCAGCGTTATTTCATAGAGTGTGGTGACTGGTTAGAGACATCCATGTAACTCAGCCAATCACAGTTCCAAAAAAAAAATTTTTATGTGCAAACAGCAACCTTCTTGTATGTTAAAACACCAGTACGCTTTGTACATCTGTGATAACGCCTGTTTTATATTCAAATGAACGAATAAAAGCTTTTATTTTTGTTGCTCTGAAAAGAATTGAGGTTTTTATTTTGTTTGCTTAATTACCAAAATGGTTCTTTGGGGATTTTTAAAGAATTTCAAGAAAGCTCTCTCACCACACACATTTTTCTGTTGTTTTGTAAAGTGTAACTTTTAGTTATCTTGAAGTCATTTCACATGTGATAAATATACCCCAAAAGCAAATATCCAATTTATGGGTAAAAAATATAAGCTGGACTGATGCCCTGTATTTTTTTTTAACACATTTTATTGGTTTTTTTAGATTCTTAAGAAAAAGTACTCAAGACCCACCGTGATGGTTGGGTGATCCAACATTCAAAAGTAAAAACATATATAAACAAGTCAACTCAATACATTTCAGTATCCCCTCTCTATTTCCCTTGATTAACATGATACATTTAAATATTCCATTTCTATTTTAAATTTCTATTACTACTAAACCTATTTTATAACTTATTTAGTTTATTACCATAGTTTAAGTTTAGAACAACACTTTATCAATTCTAATTCTTAATCTCTCACATTCCTCATTTTATCACCAATCTCATTTATTTCTTCTTCCACTACACAATAGTTATCCTAATAACAATAAAATATTAATCAGCCCTATACATATATAATCCCAGAATCAATCCATCTCTTTAAACTAACAAAATAATATTAAACCTTCATTCATATTCATCAAACAAAATTCAAATTTTCTTCAATTACTGCTGATGCTTGATGGAGCAATAGGAAGTGTTCCAAAGCAGTGATACATGGCCTCTTCTTCACATTTGTAACACTGAGGGGAGAGAAGAAGAATAATCATAAAAGCAGAACCTCTCTTTCTCCTTCTCCATGATGAATTCTCCTAAACCAGGGGTCTTCAAACTTGGCCCTTTTATGACTTGTGGACTTCAACTCCCAGAATTCCTCAGCAAGCATGCCTGGCTGAGGAATTCTGGGAGTTGAAGTCCACAAGTCATAAAAGGCCAAGTTTGAAGACCCCTGTACTAAGCCCTCTTTAATTCTTTGTAGGGATGCTGTCTTGCGAGTAGATTTACATAACACCAAACTCCATTTTCACAACCCTGTAGTCCCTTAATTCAGAGTAGTTGGAGTGACTGGATAGAGCTGAGCATTTATTGGTCAGATACCTTTCCTGATGCCTATACGGAGTTTGCAGCAGATATTTTTTTCTCTGAGCCCTAGAAGAGAAAGTGCCGCTACTTAGAATTCAACTCTCAACTTTCTGAGTGGGAGGCAAGCAACTTCACCACTAGGCCACTAGGCCGCCCTTTACACAACACACTCCTGCATTAAACCTCATGTCTTAATTTATGATGGGAATCAGTCAGCCCAACAACCAATCATGATTGCAAATCCTAGTTTAGAGACCTAAAACCAAAGATTGTTCATGTGCCAGCATCACCATAATGGTTGAGGGCAATATGTCCTAACTTGGCAATGTCCAGATATGTGGGCTTCTTTTATTTGAACCCCAAAATGCCCACTTTGGGCCTGTAACTGATAATACTTAACATTGAGGGACTATTTTATTTTTTAAATTTATATGCTGCCCATTTCACCAATAAGGCAATTGTGGGCAGCTTACAAATGGCAAAAAGTTAACTGTAAGAACAATTAAAGTTAAGAAGAGTTCTATAAAAACTAAAACCAAGGAGACAGATAGCACTGGGGTGAGGTCTTCTTACCTCATCAAACATCTCCAGTGCAGAGTGCTCCCCTTTCATTGAATTAAACCAGATGCCAAGTGAAAAGAGGCCGCAGAGAATTATAAAATGGTTGTGCACAGGAAATCCACAAAGCTAAGAATGGCAACTTTGAGCTTGCCATTGAAAGCTCAATGCAATTGAGAGCCACCCCAAAATTCACTAGGATGAAGGAGAGGCAAATAACAAAGCTAATGTGCTGAGTGGTTGAGCAAATCGGGCTCCAAATTCCCAGTCAGCCTGGAAGTTCTCTGGGGAACCTTCTGCCCAACGTACTTCACAGGATTGCTGTCGTATGAAAGCACAGGAGACTTGCTATGGGTGCTCCTGGAACTCATGGAAGGAAGGCATGCTTACTTATACCTGCCATAGCCATACCTTACTTATAGCTGCCAATTAATCAGAGAAATCAACAAATGGAAAGCTAAGATCACAGAGACAGCAGAGCTATGGAAGGAAGTAAACTCCTTTCATCTCTCCAAAGAGATGAAAGCTGGTGGAAGTTGGCCCTTCATCCCAAAATGTTATTATGGAACATCCGCAGTACTGATGAGAACACAGAACTCACGGCCCAAGGAACCAATCCACTTGTAGTGCTGCTTACCCATTGTTTCTTCTTGGTCTGAGAGATCAGCTATTTGTGCTGGCTGGCCAGCTTCTTGACTTCTTCTAAAAATTCCTCCGTGCACTTCTTCACCTGCTTAATCTTTTGTTCACACTCAGTCTGCATATTTGCAATTGCTTTGTTCACAGCCTGCCTTTTTTCGTCCTCCATTTCTGTGCGCAGCTGGAATTTTAAAAAGCAAGTGAGTGAAAGGCCAGGAATGGTGTTTCCAACTCTTTCTTCCTCCAAAAACATCTTATGCAGCATTACAGGCAGTCCCAACTTACAGTGATTTGTTTAGTGGCCCTTCAAAGTTACAATTACACTGAAAAAAAAGGTGATTTATGTCCGTTTTGCACACTTACGACCGCTGCGGCATCCCCTTGGTCACGTGATCAAAGTTCAGACGGTTGCATGTCCTGGGATCATGTGATCAGCTTTTGCGATCTTCCGACAGGCAGAGTCAATGGGGAAATCAAATTCACTTAACAATCGTGTTACTAATTCAACAACTGCAGTGATTCACTTAACAACTGTGGCAAGAAACATCATAAAATGGGGCAAAACTCATTTAACTATCTTAATAAGCAGTGGAAGTTTTGGGCTCAGTTGTGGTTGTTCGTCAAGGACTATCTGTATGTGTACTCAGTTGCTCTTAACAGAAGCAGTCCCTTTATTCCCAAGGGGCGTAGATCCATCTAAATGGAAAGAGTAGTACTAGCACTCACCTTCAAATAAGTATAGGGCTCCAACTGGAAAAGAAGGAATCCCTGGTGACTCTGAGGTAAAGCTACCCTGGTCTATAGTTCAGGAGGTTTTTAGTCCACTACAGCACAAAACTGCTGGATTTCTAGCATTTTTGCAGTCTGCCCAAAGTTACACTGTTCAAGTTTGGCAATTATATAAAATGCATACAAAATGAAGTCAGTTTGATTTGCATTCAGTAGGATGTTTGAATCCACTCACTACGTTTCATCACCAATCCTGTATCAAATTATAGTTGCCAAAACTAAGCAACAGATTCCTTTCCAAGATTAAACCCCATTTGTTAATTCATTGTGGGAATCAGCCAGCCAACAACCGATCATGATTTCAAATGCTGGTTTAGAGACCTTAAGCAGAACATAGACCACAGAATGGTGTGAATTAAGTGCAAATTCAGCTCAGATCTTCAGCTCAGAATTCTGTACTATTCCTTTTTGGGAGGCCATACATGAGCCCTAAGCACCCAGTAGAATCCCCAATGATGACCAAGTGATGGGGACACCAAGATGTCTTTGCACAAATCACATTCACTTGGATCATTCTGCATCACAACTCAACATGCAAGAAGAATGAAATTTATGTCATTCTCCCAATGTCATCATGAAGACATCACCCCTGTAGCAGTAATGGACTTCTCACTTAAAATGATCAATTAAAAAAAATTAATTGCAGAGTGATCAGCCAAGGGATTATCATCTTTGTACAGAAAAAGGGCCATCTTCCAGTCCTGAATGAATGAAAACAGGTATGTACAGAAATAAATTTCAGCAATAATGAATAATTAGAACTAATTAGAACATTCTCAAGCTGTCATCAAACTGATAATCAGTTACCTTCTCAATAGCTTCTCGCACAACTCTCTCAGTTTCCCTCTTGTGATCAGCCTTTAAGTCACTGATGATTTTGGTGTATTTTTCATGGCACATGTTTTGACACACCCCATCATTATTTGTCTGGGTGCTTCGATGCAGCATTTTAGGGGAAGAGGCACTTAATTTCTCGGTCTGGGTTGAGACTGAAATTTTTTCAATGGGTTGAGGCATTGTGGGAATTTCCTGACTTGAACTGACTGCTTCTGTTTCAGGCTCTGGTTCCTAACATAACAAAGAAGGTGTCACTACAATGGCCAATGAAAAGGACTACAATCATTTAGATCAGAAAGATAAAGACTGAAAAATATGTATTGAATCAACATAATTCTAAATATTGCTTAAATAAAATGTAATGCCACATTGTACAATTAAAACATTATCAGGCCAATGACTTTACCATTATTTCATGCAATGGGGGGGGGAAATCACATGCATTACGGTATCGATAGAAAAAAATATTTGCAACTGGCGGATTCTTAATGCTGTCTGAACTTGGTTGTTTTCTTGCAGGTGTTTCATTATCCAACTAGGTAACATCACCAATGCAACACTGATGATGTTACCTAGTTGGGTAATGAAACACCTGCAAGGAAAAACCCAAGTTAGAGAACATCAAGGAGCCCACATATACATTATAAAATATGATTACTTAGTAATAAGATTTTGGTTTCCAAATTATTAAGTTTTGCATATCTCCATTAACTATTATTACTATCGGTGTATGGCATTGTTACAGTAGCCAGGAGAACACAATGCTATTGCAGAGTAGTAGCTTGACTTGCCAAGGTACCAATTCTGTTATAGGACACGCTTGTGTACTTCCCAAGGTGTGCCCCAGGAGGGCGAGCTGGCTTCACACCAGAGAGAAAAACAAACGGGTCTTCCCGCAGCATCACCCAAGGCCCCCTTCCTTCCCAGAACTGCCTTGCAAAGAGGCAACCGGGAGGTTCAGAGCTGTCAGGAATCTAACTGCCTGCAATCTACTTGCATGGAACATGATTTCAAACTGTCAGATGGACAGAAGCTGAGGCAAGTGACAGGAGCTTACTCTGCCTTACAATGCTAGGTCTCGAACCGCCCAGCTGAGACCATCTGCAAGGTCATTAAGTCACTGAGCCATTGCACCTCTAAACTAGTATTATAACCTTACAGAATAGGAATTTAGGCATCTCCGAAGATACTCAGCAGTTGAATGGGTCCATACATGTATTCTTAATATACACATCAACCTTTCCCCCCCCCTTCTTTTTGCCTATAGGCAGAAATCATGAACCAGCATGAAACCTTATAGCTTCACATTCTATCTCTATTAAGGACAGATAAGTTGGAATCAGTTCCAAATAGATACTCCAATTTGGAGAATATGGCTAGTATACAAGGTGAATTAAAACAATACTTCCAAATGATGAAACTTTAAACAGATTGAAACATGCTCTTTCAATAAATGATCATAACTTTTCTGAGTTATAAAACATGAAGAAAATGAATTTGTAAACAGTCAGAAGGAAAATATGCTTGAATAATGTTTTCTCCCTCACCCACAAGTGCATGTATTTAATTGCCATGCTGTTCCTTACTTCCTTTTTAGGTTCCACACTTTGATTGCGTCTTCCTTTCTTTGCTCTTGGCTCCTGAGTAACTTTTAGCTGTAAAAATGGATGAAGAAACAATAAATAAAAAAGAAAATACTCATTTAGAATTGTCAATAAGTAGCCAGTATTTTTTGTTACAAAAATGTTGACTTAAAATTTTAAAAATGCAACTAATAAAGTAAATGTCTATCATTGTCAACTATTCTGGGCCATGAATTGAACTGCAGAATTTGGTAATATCCCAGCCTCCTGTGGGAGATGAAAATATAGCCCCCTCCTCATATAACAAGATGAGGCTAGAAAAAATCTGAAATAGGCCCCCACAGAAGTGATTTGAAGCTCTAACTTGAACTTTATGCTGTTTCACAATACGAACGTATTATTATTAATGAAAGTGATGTTGTGTTATTATGCTTGCTATGTTCCAAATTATTAGCAAAATAAACCTCTGAATCTTAGGGTAAGAATTATTGTTATTGTATTGCTGTCTATTGTCTTTTTCATTGGGTTTTTCCACGACAGTTTTTGGTGCGTTGGCCGGGAAGAGACGGTTGCTGGAAGAGACCTGCTGTCCAGCTGGGATTTCTGACCACTTCCTGGCTTTGGGCCACAGGTAACCAGCCCACTGTCTCTGAGCCCTCACTTTGGATCAGAGGTAAGAAAAAGGCCCCTTGGGACCTTAGGGTAGATAGATAGGGACGTTGTTGTGATTTAATTAGTTAGTTAAGCCTGTCCTCCTAATCTGGTAGTAAAGGAAGGGTCGTGCCTGGACTTACTTTGAGGATAGACTAAGTGTATGGTGAAGAGCCGTCCTCACTGGCAAAACAGTCAGATTTGCGGTTATAACTGGGACCCGGTGAGAGTCTGGCAGGTCCTGGGGCTAGACCAGCTCCTTGTATTGTGGAAGGGTCGCACCCTTGTGTGAAGTCACGCCTCTTGTGTGTTATCTCTTGCAGCCTCATTTATGAGGGGTTTTTTGACGCTTGGCAGCTTGGCAGGAAATGTGGTTATGTTATTTGCCGGTTGCTGGTGATTTGCAGATTGAGCTCTGAGATTGCCATTTCTAAGTTTGTACTTTGGGTTTTTATTTAAGCTGTGTGAAGATGAAGGTATGCTCTTTTTATTTTCACCCCTATGTGCATTGGATTTTTGTGCGTATGAAAAAAAGATTGTTTCTTAAGTTTGGCAATTGTGTTATTTTATTCAAGACCAGAAATTATGACAGAGTTGTTGTGGGCACTTGAATAAAAGTTTTGGTTTGGTGCATTATTATGGGTATTTTTGGAAGTTATGAAACTGTTTTTTAGAATTGTATTCTGGTGGTTTGTGGTTTCTTTCCTTATCTTGCACCTGTCATTGAATTTTTTCCTGTATGAAATTTGTTCGCTTCCTGATTTTTTATGTCTTTGGATGTAGCGACACCCACTGTTGCTTAAAGTTTCTTTTTTTCTACTGTATGTGTACATTTTTAATGCATTTTTTGTTTTTGTAGTTGTGTCCACCCTTTAGTTAATGGTGAACATTGCCTTTTTCAAAGGTAAGAGCCAGCTTCTTTGTTGGGACAGTGTTGTTTGTTAGTAACTAACATTGGAGCTTTATGGATTACTGCCTTGTCGTGGCGAAGGGGCTTGCGTAACTCAATGAAGCTATAAGCTATGCCGTGCAGGGCCACCCAAGACGGACAGGTTATAGCAGAGAGTTCTGACAAAATGTGATCCACTGGAGAAGGAAATGGCAAACCACTCCAGTATCTTTGCCATGGAAAACCCCATGGACAGTACTAAAAGGAAAAAAGATATGACGCTGGAAGATGAGCCCCTCAGGTCGGAAGGTGTCCAATATGCTACTGGGGAAGAGCAGAGGGCTAGTACTAGTAGCGCCAGAAAGAATGAAGCGACTGGGCCAAAGCCGAAAGGACGCTCAGCTGTGGATATATCTGGTGGTGAAAGGAAAGTCCGATGCTGTAAAGATTTTTTCTCCATAGGAACCTGGAATGTAAGATCCATGAATCAAGGCAAGCTAGACGTAGTCAAAAAAGAGATGACAAGACTGAACATCGACATCTTAGGAATCAGCGAACTAAAATGGACAGGAATGGGTGAATTTAACTCAGATGACCATCAGGTATACTACTGTGGGCAAGAATCCCTCAGAAGAAATGGAGTAGCCTTCATAGTCAATAAAAGAATAGGAAAAGCAATACTGGGATACAATCCCCAAAATGACAGAATGATCTCAATTCGAATCCAAGGCAAACCATTCAATATCACAGTAGTCCAAATCTATGCCCCAACCACTGGTGCTGAAGAGGATGAAATTGACCAGTTCTATGAAGCCCTACAGCACCTTATAGAATTAACACCAAAAAATGATGTCCTTATCATCATGGGGGATTGGAATGCTAAGGTAGGAAGCCAAAAGATAACCGGAATAACAGGCAAGTTTGGCCTTGGAGTACAAAATGAAGCAGGGCACAGGCTAATAGAATTTTGTCAAGAGAATACGATGGTCATAACAAACACTCTTTTCCAACAACCCAAGAGACGGCTCTACACATGGACATCACCAGACGGTCAACATAGAAATCAGATTGACTATGTGCTCTGCAGCCAAAGATGGAGAAGCTCTATACAGTCAGTAAAAACAAGACCAGGAGCTGACTGTGGCTCAGATCATGAGCTTCTCGTTGCAAAATTTAGGCTTAAATTGAAAAAAGTAGGGAAAAGCACTAGGCCACTCAGGTATGAACTAAATCATATTCCTGATGAATATACAGTAGAGGTGACAAATAGATTTAAGGAACTGGATCTGATAGACAGAGTGCCTGAAGAACTATGGATGGAAGTTCGCAACATTGTACAAGAGGTAGCAACTAAAACCATCCCAAAGAAAAAGAAATGCAAGAAAGCAAAATGGCTGTCTGAGGAAGCTTTGCAAATAGCTGAGGAAAGAAGGGAAGCGAAAGGCAAAGGAGAAAGAGAAAGATACACCCAATTGAATACAGAATTCCAGAGAATAGCTAGAAGAGATAAGAATACCTTCTTAAATGAACAGTGCAAAGAAATAGAAGAAAACAACAGAATAGGGAGGACCAGAGATCTCTTCAAGAAAATTGGAGATATGAAGGGAACGTTTCATGCAAAGATGGGCATGATAAAGGACCAAAATGGCAGAGACCTAACAGAGGCAGAAGAGATTAAGAAGAGATGGCAAAACTACACAGAAGAACTATACAAGAATGAGCTTAACATCCCAGATAACCACAATGAGATGGTCACTGACCTCGAACCAGACATCCTAGAATGTGAAGTGAAATGGGCCTTAGAAAATCTGAGCAACAACAAAGCTAGTGGAGGTGACAGTATTCCAGCTGAGCTATTCAAAATCTTAAAAGACGATGCAGTAAAAGTGCTACACTCAATTTGCCAGCAAATTTGGAAAACTCAACAGTGGCCACAGGATTGGAAAAGGTCAGTTTACATTCCAATTCCAAAGAAAGGCAATGCCAAAGAATGTTCAAACTATCGCACCATTGCACTCATTTCACATGCTAGTAAAGTTATGCTTAAAATCCTACAAGCTAGACTCCAGCAGTATGTGGATCGAGAACTACCAGAAGTACAGGCAGGATTTCGAAGAGGCAGAGGAACTAGAGATCAAATTGCCAACATACGCTGGATCATGGAGAAAGCTAGGGAGTTCCAGAAAAACATCTACTTCTGCTTCATTGACTATGCAAAAGCCTTTGATTGTGTGGATCACAACAAATTGTGGCAAGTTCTTAAAGACATGGGAGTACCAGACCATCTCATTTGTCTCCTGGGAAACCTATATGCGGGTCAAGAAGCAACAGTGAGAACCGAACACGGAACCACTGATTGGTTCAAAATTGGAAAAGGAGTCCGGCAAGGCTGTATATTGTCACCCTGCCTATTTAACTTATATGCAGAGCACATCATGAGAAAGGCAGGGCTAGATGAATCAAAAGTTGGAATTAAGATTGCCGGGAGAAATATCAACAACCTAAGATATGCAGATGATACCACTCTAATGGCAGAAAGTGAAGAAGGAACTAAAGAGCCTCTTGATGCGGGTGAAGAAGGAGAGTGCAAAAATTGGCTTGAAACTCAACATTAAGAAAACCAAAATCATGGCATCCGGCCCTCTCAATTCCTGGCAAATAGATGGGGAAGAAATGGAGGTAGTGACAGATTTTATTTTTCTGGGCTCCAAGATCACCTCAGATGGGGACTGCAGCCAAGAAATTAAAAGACGCTTGCTCCTGGGGAGGAAAGCTATGGCAAATCTAGACAGCATACTAAAAAGCAGAGACATCACCCTGCCAACAAAAGTGCGTATAGTCCAGGCCATGGTTTTCCCAGTTGCAATGTATGGCTGTGAAAGTTGGACCATAAGAAAGGCTGAGCGCAAAAGAATTGAGGCCTTTGAACTATGGTGCTGGAGAAGACTCCTGCGAGTCCCTTGGACTGCAAGGCGTTCAAACCGGTCAGTCCTAGAAGAGATCAACCCCGACTGCTCTTTAGAAGGCCAGATCCTGAAGTTGAAACTCAAGTACTTTGGCCACCTAATGAGAAGGAAGGATTCACTGGAGAAGAGCCTAATGTTGGGAAAGATTGAGGGCAATAGAAGAAGGGGACGACAGAGAATGAGATGGCTGGATGGAGTCACTGAAGCAGTAGGTGTGAATTTAAATGGACTCCAGAAGATGGTAGAGGACAGGAAGACCTGGAGGAACATTGTCCATGGGGTCGCGATGGGTCGGACACGACTTGGCAATTAACAACAACAACAACAACAACATTTGAGCTACCTTCCCGGTAGATAAAGGGTCAGCTTGTTTGCTGGGGTGATATGTTCCATTATTGATTGCCATCAATTTTTATGCTTGCTACCTTTTCCATAGATAAGAGTTGGCCTTTTTTTGCTGAGGTAGCATGTTATTTCTCTATTGCTGCTGTCAGTTTTACTGAAAAAGAGGGGATGGACCTTTTCCATACATAAGGACTGCCTGAGCTGGCAGGGTTCAACTCCCTTCTATTGCCCCTGGATGGTTGGGTTCCTAGACTGTCTTAGAGGAGAGAACAAATAGAGATTTTTTTTAAAAAAAAAAAAAAGATAAAAGAAAGGAACAGAGAGGAAAACAGGAACACAGAAAGAAAAAACGAGATCCTGCCCTCACCCATGATTAGAGTGTGTGTGGAGCGATGTATACCGGATAAAGTGATTGAATTGATAGATTAATGCATGGTGAGAGAAAAAAATAAAAATGTAACCACAAGCATGTTAGCCTGATTGGGTGGGTCATTATTCCCTGCTCATTCACGTATTCACGTGTTGTCTTTTTTATATTTTGCCTTTTGTTTTATCCTTTATATACCCCCAGTTCCCCAGTTTTTTGGGTAAATGTTATGTAACCCCAGCCTATGAAAGGAACAGTAAGTTGTAGATTGTTATGAAGTAAGTAGGAAGGCAGTAGTATGTGTTTGCAAGGATATGAGAAAATGAAATGATTTTGTAGAACAGTGCTGTGGGAGAGGAGCTCTTGAAAGAGAGGAAGAAGAAAGTATGTGATTTACTTAAGAGGAAAAAGAAAAGAGATACCTATTTAGTTGGAAGAATGCTAAATAGAAATAGGGGGAAAATTTCTGTATAATCTTTTGAACATTTTTACAACATTTTCCATCTCCTTTGCTGGTTGCCATTTCTTTCTTTTTACTTGGGGACTTTCTGCCTTGAAAGAGTGAGGGAGAGGCAGAAAAAAGGGGGCGGGGGTTTCTGTTCAATTTAATTTTTGCTTGGTTAAAACATTAAACTGCTTTCCTAAGTAAAGGAGGGAAATGTGCTATTTGAACATTGCAGTATGAATTGGGAAATTGAACATCAGCGTGCTAAAATTATTGCATTGTAAGCTGAAGTACGATTTTAAGGAAACACACTTAATAGAACATGGAATTTTTGTGGATTTAAAATAACAGCTTAATATATGTTAGATGGAAAATTTTAAGCTGCTTTAATATTAGGTAGGCAGCTAGCAGTTGAATATCAGCCAAAACTGCAAGGAGAGGAAGTACAGAAATAAAGTTAAAATGCTTGTCCTATGCTACCAAAAACTGGGTCATGGTTCACATATGGCAGAGGAGAAACTTAGAAAAAAGGGAAGTAAACTTGTAAAGTTAGGGAAAAAAAGATATGTTATTCTGGGTCTATTTTGTGCGTGTCTGTGAGGTTTATGAGACTGCCATCTTCTCTACAAGACATCCATGCGTCAAAGGATGCAATGTTGGACTACTGCCAAGTTTTCATCATTGCTGTTCCAGACTGTCATTAACAGGAGACCAGTGCAAGTCATGCCAGTGGCAAGCAACCTTGCTCCTGTCACAATATCCTCCCCTTCCTCTCCTTTTACCTTCTTCCCCTTTCCCCTTTCCCACCTATAAAGATTTTGTTTGAGATATTTCAGCTTCTCTAAGGACTGCTCCATCCAAAGAACCATAGATCTTTGTTATGCCTTGAAGACTGGTGATCAGGTTTTGACTGAAGTATTTCATCAAAAAATTACTTTGCTTCTTGTTGAAAGGGACCTTTCCAGATTCTATTGACATTGCTGTGCGGTATCAAGATCTGGCTTCCTGGATGCATATTTTGCACTGCAAGAAAGTACCAGCCCCAGACGAGGAAGATATCCAGCCCCAATCACCTGACTGCACTTAGGCAAGATTGAAGCTTTGCCCAACAGGAGAGCAAGTGCTATTAACCTTTGCTCCCCACCAACATGCAATCTCCAGCCCAAACAGCACCAACAAGAAGTGAACTCTGATTTGTCATCCTTAGACTATTTATACCACATTTTCTAGCATAATGGAAGTCCAGAGGCTCATGAAGGAAACCATTTGCATCAGGAAAATGCCTCATGCCTGCTGTATGGACTATAGTTGTGTTGTTATTTATTGGAATTTGTATTATTTTATTATGAGTCTTAAACTTACTGAGGTTGTATGTTTCCCCCATAAAATACTTTCTTTACATGCCCCTCATAAACTATTGTAGACCCTTTACCCCAGAATCCTTCTAATCTTATCTTTTTGCTTATGTTTTGTGTTGTCTTTACGGACAAGAAGTGGGGACTGTGGGAGATGAAAATATAGCCCCCTCCTCATATAACAAGATAAGGGTAGAACAAACCTGAAACAGGCCTCCACAGAAGTGATTTGAAGCTCTAACTTGAACTTTATACTGTTTCACAATACCAACGTACTATTTGTAATCTGCTGAGCTTTGTGCAATATGAAGTTGCAAAGTAGATAGTTCTATGTATATTTGGAACATGAGTATTGTAACTGTGGGAGAAATAGGGAACTGAAAAGTAGCTGATGAATGCGGGTTCCAATGTACACGGGTATATGTGGAAAGTAGGTCAGCAGGAAGTAAATAAAAAGTCAGCAAAGATCAGCGGACCATCTAACTACAGTCTTAGAACAAGAAAGGGTATAAAAGGTTGGAACTGGACCTAACCGATTTGTCATTGGCCTATAGCTGTCCTAATGGATTCTGCTATGTCATATGGTCCTCATTGCAATGGGTTATTAATGAAAGTGATGTTGTGTTATTACTCATTTGCTCATTACTGGTAGAAGAAATGCTTGATTCTGCTTCTTCCTCTCCTTTATCCTCATTTTTTGATTTCCAAAATCTGCCATCCCGAAGGAAACGCTGATATAGCTCTAACTCATCGCATGCTTTTTTCCAGCCCATGCTACGTTTTACATGTAGCCGGTGTATATTAACGGTGATATCCTGAATATTTTCAGAAGGAATCCAGGCCCTCCACAATGAAAATGAAAAGATAACACTTAAGCACATCTTTTGAAAGGAGCTGCCAATTCAGTTTTCAAATCATCCTTTTCTGTTACAAACATCCATTCAACTCCAAGAGCACGTATTTTATCTAAATGATGAAAAGAGTCTTCTCCATTGGGTTTTGATGGCGAGGTCACAGATATAACACTGAGTCTCCCCTGCCCTGCCATACTCTTTCACACATTCCCAATGTTAATTTTAATTCTATTTCAAATTTCATTTTCTTCTAGTCCAAACTGCAACAATTATTTCTGTGTGCAATTCCACCTTCTCAATACGTTTAACTTCATTAATATCTACGTGCTCCACAATGACACAGTTTATGGTATGGAATAAAATTAATCTCAATTATATTAAAGACTACAGGTAATTCTAAACAACTTTGCAAATGGGGCACGACTCACTTCTTGACCATGTTGTTGTTATTTAAATCATGTGGTTATTAAGCAAATCTGGTTTTCCTCATTGATTCTGCTTGTCAAAAGCTCCCTAGAAAGGTTGCAATGGCAATCCCAGGACACTGAGACCCCTGAAAATACATGCCAGTTGCAAAGCAGCTATAGTTTGAACCTATGACTGTGGGGATGCTACAACGGTCGTAAGTGTGAGAACTCGTTATAAGTCACTTGTTTCAGTGCCCTTGTAACTTTGAACATTCATTAAATAAACAACTGTTAGCTGACAACTACCTGTGGCAATTTTAAGAAGCAAGTTCTTTGACAGGTTCTGTTTAGGATTCAGATTGTCTAATATCACTTATGTCAGGAAGACAGAACATCATTTAATGGATTTATATCTCACTTTACTTTGTTCAGCTCAAGATGTAATGATCGCTACTCCTGTTTCTCCCATCCAAACCACTTTATGAGGTGAGCTTGACTAGGATGCCCGAAAGTGACTGGGCCCAAGTCACACAGTTGGCTTCTATGGCTAAGAGAACACTAGAACTTTACTGAGCCTTAGTAGAGGGCCCTGAAAAAAACAAGAAAGACACATACAGTGAGGGAAAAAATTATTTGATTCTTGCTGATTTTGTACATTTGCCCACTGACAAAGAAATGATCAGTCTATAATTTTAATGGTAGGTTTAACAGTGAGAGATAGAATAACAACAATAAAAATCCAGAAAAAAGCTTTTCAAAAAGCAAGACCAAAGAGTTGTCCAAGGATGTCAGGGACAAGATTATAGACCTACACAAGGCTGGAATGGCCTACAACACCATCGCCGAGCAGCTTGGTGAGAAGGTGACAACAGCTGGTGCGATTATTCGCAAATGAAAGAAACACAACATAACTGTCAATCTCCCTCGGTCTGGAGCGATCTCACCTCATGGAGTTTCAATGATCATGAACGGTGAAGATTTAGCCCAGAATTACACGGGAGGATCTTGTTAATGATCTCAAGGCAGCTGTAACCATAATCACCAAGAAAACAATTGGTAACACACTAGGCTGTGAGGGACTGAAATCTTGTAGTGCCCGCAAGGTCCACCTGCTCAAGAAAGCACATGTACAGGCCTGCCTGAAGTTTGTCAGTGAACATCTGAATGATTCAGAGGAGAACTGGGTGAAAGTGTTGTGGTCAGATGAGACCAAAATTGAGCTCTTTGGCATCAATTCAACTTGCCGTGTTTGGAGGAGGAGGAATATTGCCTATGACCTGAAGAACACCATCCCCACCGTCAAATATGGAAGTTGAAATATTATGCTTTGGGGTATTTTTCTGCTAAGGGGACAGCACAACTTCACGACATCAAAGGGATGATGGACAGGGCCATGTACCATCAAATCTTGGGTGAGAACCTCCTTCACTCAGCCAGAAAATGAGTTGCGGATGGGTATTCCAGCATGGCAATGACCCAAAACACACAGCCAAGGCAAAAAAGGAGTGCCTCAAGAAGAAGCACATTAAGATCCTGCCGTGGCCTAGCCAGTCTCCAGACCTTAAATTTGTGGAGGCACCTGAAGTTTCGAGCTGTCAAATGTCAGCCTCCAAACCTTAATGACTTGGAGAGGATCTGCAAAGAGGAGTGGAACAAAATCCCTCCTGAGATGTGTATAAAACGTGGTGGCCCACTACAAGAAAGGTCTGACCTCTGTGATTGCCAACAAGGGTTTTGCCACCAAGTACTAAGTCATGTTTTGTGAAGGGATCAAATGCTTATTTTGCTCATTGAAATGCAGATCAATTTATAACTTTTTTGAAATACGTTTTTCTGGATTTTGTTGTTGTTATTCTCCCTCTGTTAACTTAAACCTACCATTAAAATTATAGACTGATCATTTCTTTTCAGTGGGCAAACTTACAAAATCAGCAGGGGATCAAATAATTTTTCCCCTTACTGTAGAGTGACCTTCAAGCAGTGTCCTTTATTGTCCTTCATTCATAGACAGAAATCTTGCCAAACTGAAGCAACCTTTTGCATCCCTATAGATCAGTGGTTCTCAACCTTTTTAATGCTGCGACCCCAACCGGTCGTAACTTGAGGACTACTCAACTGGTCGTAACTCGAGGACTACTCAACTGGTGCAGCACCATTTGCAGAATGGGACTTTTGGTGGGCTCAGCAGGGCAGAGACAGCCTGGACAATTCCTATTGGCTTTTAAAAGCCAATAGAATAAAAGGGAGTAGCACAGCTAAGGAAAAGGGGGAAAAAAATGGCAGACTGCATTGTTTGGCGACCCCCGTGAAATGGTTGTTCGACCCCAAATGGGGTCCCGACCCACAGATTGATAACCACTGCTATAGATATAATCTGAAAATCTATAGGGAGGAGCTGTCTTAACTCTCTTTCTCTCAACCAAACTGTTTAAATTTTGCTGCCTTCGAGTCCCCTGGAATGTAGCCTCTCCCTCCTAGTAATCCAGACCACATTTCGCCACACCTAGAAAGAGAAGCGCCCTGTTGTTTATTTGTTAGATCTTTTTCCTCCAGTTGCAGCTCCACAACATGTCCACCTCCAATTTCATCTTGCAAAGGCAATCCAGTGTGGTTGATTGGCCTGAGAAAGAATGGGTCAAAGTTCAAGCGAATTTGAACCTGCATCAGTCTGGGCTGAATCCACTCTTTACCACACCCAGGGGTGTGCTGGTTGTCTCAGCATATAAGAGACATTGCAAAAATGAAAATACCTTTGGTGGTGATGGCCAAAAAAGCAAACGTCAACTTGATTGTTTTTTTTCTGCATGACTTTCGCAGGCCAGAATCCAGAGCCTTTCATTTTGGCCCATACCAGTTCATGATTTGGTATCTAAAAATTAAAGAAACATGGTAAAGTACAGAAGTATTTCTGACTTGGCAGGTGTTAGGTATAACAGTATCACATAATGAAAATAAAAGTTACCAACCGAAAAGAATATTTGGAGTTCAGGTTTGCACTGTGAGGTCCTTGGTGCTCTTTGAGCTTGGTGGTTTTCTTGCCAAGCTTCATTACCCAACTAGCTAATATCATCAGTGCTGGACTTCATATACACAAGTGGTTTGCTTAGCTGGGTAATGAAAAGTTTATAAGAAAACATCTAAACTGATAGAGCACCAAGTACTCCACAATAAAACGTACCCATGATAGAGTTTTAACTAAGTCTTGACAACAGTGATCATTACTTTGGTCTATATAACACCATTGTCAGCACAGTTTAACAGACTATTCTCACATGATATAACAATTTATAATTGTGCTGGCAGTTTCTAAGCATTGTTAACTTAGACAAAGAAATTCAAGTCTTCAAGCGAATAAATGTTTCTTCTTATAAGCAAAAATTGGCATTGTGTTGTTTCATGCACGGGAGACATCTAATGTATACCAAATCAGCTGTACAAGCACACTAATTTGAGTTATAGATTGCTATTTTGAGAATGCAGTGTTCATCCAATTTCTCCAAGAAATGCTTGTATTCTGTGAGCCTTAAGCCAGGAAAATACTGGCAGGGCTTTATTATAGTACCAGTCCTTTCCCCAATGCCAGAGAGACATGAACTGACCACTATGGTCAAGGAAATGTAAAATATGATCTGTGACTGGGACAATTAATCTTGTCTTTTGTACTGGCGTGAAAATGACTCCACCTAGCGGTGGCTGCAGAACTAACATTTACAATTTTGTCTGATGGCTTTATTCATATTCTCAATAAATCCCATTCTTTAAGACAGCTGGGATAATTCTCATCACCATTTCTTGGGGCAGCAAATTCCATATTTACTCTCAGTTGTGAGAAAAGGTAAGCTTACACAAGGATAGCAGAACGAATTTTTAGGATGCTCATTTGATAGATAGAAATAGACCTTGCAAAGCTGAAGTTCATCCAGCTGAGGAAAAAAAGAAGTAAAACACTGTTACCCTCAATAAATATGTTGTGAAATGCTGGAAACTGTTATTTTGCAAATCTAAAATCATTAAATTTTTTCTCTTTCCTGGGAAGTTATGTTTCATATAAAAAAACACAAAAAGGGAAAAAGTGAAGGAAAAATTAAGTAAAAATAGACCTTTTCATATATTACATATAAAAAATAATTAGTCAAATTTTAAAGCAAATAATTAAACTGGTAGTAACCATTGGTCATTTCATTCTACCAACTTAATATCAGTTTATAAAAGGAAACTGAGTACATATCCATAACTTAGGATACGCTCATATATAGTATATGCACTGTTCTTTGAAGGTTAGATGCATAGAGATTTTTAACTGGTCTCTAATTATTTCAGAAACATATCAGTAGTACAAACTGAACAAAAAGTTGTTGAGAACCTTTATTCTAAAGATGAAACAAAGCTACTCAATATAGACAAATCATACAGACACACATAAATACATTAGTGCATTCAAATTATTTTGGCACCTTTTATCTTTAAAAAATATCTGAAGTATAATCCACTATCATTGTTCAGGTGTTTTAGCTTTTCATTGACATTAAAATGTGAATTTGTTTTTGAAAGAAAACCTTTTCTAAAGGAGGTACCAATATAACAATCATATAAAATGCTCCTAATTTTCTTCACTTATTTTTATTGATGTGTTACTGTTCACAAATGAGATAAAAATGTTATTTAGCTTTCAAAAATTATTTAGCTTTATAAAAATAACACAATAAGGATTTATAATTACACAGGCAATTATCTTCTGAAGCACACCTAATTTTAAGCTATCAAAATGCAGTGTATGTTTTTTAATTTTTTTCTGATTTCCAGAACAATTTTCAAAACAAAGGAAACCACTGGTATGTGGAATCTGAAAAGACAATTGTTCAGAAGTCACTAACATGACTAAATATTACTTACCTCATGGCAGGTATCTTTGTAAAGCATCCTGGCTTTATCAGCTTGTTTACTGTCCACTATAAGAAGAACATACCCACAAACACCTAAGTCTTTGTAAATGGTATGATGAAAAACAATAGGCAATTGAATTCTGGAGGAACAGGCCCCATCAGCTTGTAAAACCAGAGTGCCTTCAGTCCCTTCAGCCTGATTTAAACCTCTAATGAGCTAGAAAACAAAAGATTGTACATGCCAAGCCTTCTTATTTTTTGCAAATCTTTTATAGATCTGCTTGGGTATCGCATGGCTTAAAGAAAATTAATTTCTGAATAAAGTTAACAAAAAAGAAAACATAAGAAAATATGTGCTGGCTTAAATAAAAGACCTACCGTGTTTCTCTGAAATAATAATAATAATAGTAGTAGTAGTAGTAGTAGTAGTAGTAGTAATAGTAAAGTTGGAAGGGACCTTGGAGGTCATCTAGTCCAACCCCCTGCTCGGGCAGGAAACCCTACACCATTTTGGACAAATGGCTGTTCAGTCTCTTCTTAAAAACCTCCAGTGTTGGAGCATTCACCACTTCTGGAGGCAGGTTGTTCCACTGGTTAATTGTTCTAACTGTCAGGAAGTTGCTCCTTAGTTCTAGGTTGCTTCTCTCCTTGCTTAGTTTCCACCCATTGCTTCTTGTCCTGCCTTCAGGCGCCTTGGAAAATAGCTTGACTCCCTCTTCTTTGTGGCAGCCCCTGAGATATTGGAACCCTGCTAACATGTCCCCCTTCGTCCTTCTCTTCGTTAAACTAGACATACCTACCTCGGAAGGATGGAAGGCTGAGTCAACCTTGAGCCGGTGAGATTTGAACCGTTGACCTGCTGAACACAGTCAGCTAAAGTGGCCTGCAGTACTGCACTCTAACTGCTGCGCCACCTCGGCGCACTGCATTTATCAAGTGCCTTACTGAAGTCCAAGTAAATTATGACCCAGTCTTATATATTTTTTTGCCTCCAAAAGAGGCACTAGGTTTTAATTTCAGAGAATGTTTTACCTTAGAACCACCACAGCCAGGCCTCTCACACCCCGACACCTGTCGCACTGCTGCTTGACTTCTGTGGCCGCTTGCTGCCACTGGACGCCATGTGGCACATTGCGCCATTGTCATTCCTCCTGGCAGGATGCCACATGGTGCTTGTGCTGTTTCTGCTGTTCGCGGCAGGATGCTGCATGGCTCTTTGGGCCGTTTCCGCAGCAGAAATGGCCCGCACCACCACGTGGTCTCCTGCTACAAGCTAACAGAAGTGGCCCAAAGCGCCCGAGCAACAGAAGCAGCTCAAAGCACGGCGCAAGCAGAAGTGACCTGAAGCACTGCGTAAGCAGAAGTGGCCCGAAGCACTGCGGAAGCAGCGGAAGCGGTCTGAAGTATGCGAGCAGCAGAAGCAGCTGCAGAAGTCAAGTAGCAGCACGACAGGTGTGTGTGTGTGGGGGGGTAGCTTCACCCCCCACCCCGCTTGATTTTTAGGGGTGTACCTTGCCCCAAAGTAGGGCTTACTATAGTCCTTCCTTAGCAACCACAACTGGGACAGCAACTACATTGCTAAGAGATGCAAATTACTAAATGAAACATGTGACCACAATGAATTTATGATCTCACTTCCCCTTTAGTTATTAAGTGAAACATCACATGACTGCAACTTACAATTTTAGTTTTGCCTTTTCTATTAACTCTGATTGCTGCATGCCAGTTGTAAAACACACACAAGATGATCACATAACCACAGGGCACTGCAATGGTCATAAATGCAATGATTGGTTATCGTACGCCATCATAACTTTGAAAGGTCATTAACAATGCAGTTAGTAAGCAAGGACTATGTGTATTTCATAAATTGTTCATAATACTTTCCTTGAGATTCCTTTTGTAAAGCCCTTTGACATTCTCCATTCAAGTATCTGCTTTCTAATAATGGAAGTAATACAGATCCATCATGTTGGCTTAATTTTCATGACTTTGTCTAATTTACCTTTGAAGGACAAGTAAAACTGAACGTAATGCAAAGTTCTCACTTGCTCTTTAATCTCTATAATCAGCTCTACCCTCAAGATGCCATTTGCTTGAAGATCTTATTTTTTAAGTCCAACCAGTGCCTACCTACCTCCATAAAAAATCACGGTGTTGTGTAGAAGCAGTTGAGCATCTGCTTTGAATTCCTCATAACTTCTGTATTTTCCTTCATTTACTTTCTATATAAATTGAAACAGAATTATAAGAACATTCATTAGCATTGTCCAGTAATCAGAATAAGCACACATATAAAAGTATGTTTATATTACACTTTCTACAAAATAATTTATGGGAACTTAAGTTGTGAAATTGTGCAATGAGTAGCTTTAGTTTGCTTCTGGTCTCATCTTTCATCCTTTCTACATAAAGAAGATCTAGTAGTCCTTTTCAATTTAGATCTTCACCTAAGTAACTCATACAAACTGCTTATAAATCAGGGTCTTCAAACTTGGTCCTTTTATGACTTGTGGACTTCAAATCCCGAAATTTCTCAGCCAGGCACACTGGCTGAGAATTCGGGGAGTTGAAGTCCACAAGCCATAAAAGAACCAAGTTTGAAGATCCCTGTTCTAGATAGAACTAAATGGAATGGGGTTTCCAGGTGTGGATAAGGGGCCTCCAAAAATGAGATTAGTCTGAAAACTGCCAATATTCTTCTGTTGTAACATGTAGCTCAGAATTATATAGGAACATACCTCTTGTATGGTTGGAACATCAATAGCTGTGTGTACTAGTCGATGATACATTGGATGTTTGTTGTCTTTGCCTTTTTTGTTTCGATCTATAGCCTAAAAATTGCCAGAAAATACTGGTTTAGAAACCTGTTGTTCTGAGAAGAAAGAAGCGTTGCATAGCCTTTAAAATAGTTTGTAAGAATTTGAATTACATGCCAGTTTACAAATAAAAAGTTTTTTAAAAGTTCTACTCCAAAAAGGCTGACATGTAGGCTACTTAATTTTCTTAAAGTTCAAAAGGAATAATCAAGAAACAAAAACCCTAAATGTTTTTTCTGTGTACTAATATTAGAAAAACTCTATCTCCTCCCAAAAATGTGTTTTAATTTTTCAAACAATCAATCATTGTGTAAATTGATGTATTGAATCAGCATCCAACTCTTGAAAGGTTATTTTTTTCTCCCCAATATTTCCAAGCAAGAGTTCTGATGGCTGAAAATACTGACTTTTTAATTAATGCATAGGGCTAGTCACAGTGGATAAAACATTCTATCGAAGATTAATAATGTATCAAAACAGAATTTGGCAAATTGAGATTGAACTGTATTGGTAAGAATTAAGAGTTTGGTTGTCCTTTTCAAATGTTCCTTTAAACCACTAAATTTCAAAATCATGAAGTTATGCAGATACTCTACTTATTCCAACATCATAAATTTTGTGTCTGGACAAAAACTGAAATAATAAAAAAAAAAATGGAAGATAAACCCAAGGAAGAATGGTGGAGGATGCACAATAAAAGCCCTATGGAAACACTGGTTTGAAATCAAACACATGAAACAGCTTTGCCAACAAATATGTCTCTGAACAATTGTCAGGACTAAAAGGATGGGAGATGCTGAAACACAAAAGACACAAAGATGCAGGTTTATGTGCAAACCCCTTGCACGAGACCACTTAAGTTGTGACCATTTGACAGGCATGGCATCTAATCTGTGTCCAACTATTACCGAGAAAATTCTCTTCTGATTAGCTGAAAGTTGTTCAAGCTTGTCTCAAATGTGAACATCTGCTGAACAGAATTATGCGCATCTATTCAGAGATTATTTTAAACAGGAGTGAAACTGGAAGGTTTCAGCTCATATTCACATAATTTTTATGTTATATTTTTTTCCACTCCCTTTTATCTGGGTGAATTCATCTATTCAAGTGAAGAATGGGGACAGGAGGAGAAACAAAGATACTTAAGGGGGAAATAGGAAGATAGAAAATAATTCCTATTCCATTTACAGAGTCAACCACATGCAGCTCTCAACAAACAACCATAATGGAGACTCTCCATTATGGTTATAAGTTGTAATGGTTGTAAAAGAGATGTCACGTGACCTGCCCCAATTTACAACATTTGCAGCAGTCTTTAAGTAAATATGGCAGTCATAAAGCAGCTATGGAAGTCATTAAGCAAACCCATTGTTCACTATGATGTGGTTTTGCTAAAAACTAGAAATGCCAGTTTTCAGCAAAACAGTTGTAAAATGCAGTTGTGTGACCACAGAAACTGCAAATGGCCATAAAGTTCAGTGCCCAAAGTTCAGTCATAAGACTACAGAGAGAACCTGACCATCAGAACTTCCACTCCAGATCATAAGCATCCTGAAGATAGGTGTGTTATAACTTCAAATGGTCTCAAGCAATCAAGACTAGCTGTAAGTATTTGAAGTTGCAAAAGAAAACACACAAAAGAACCCATCTGCTTAGAATCCTACACACCACTGTGTAGTACAACACTCACCTGTTCTTTCATTCGGGAGACAATGAAGTGCAAATAGGTGCTCATCTCTTGCTTACTGATGTTCTTCTTAATGCTCTGAGAGAGGAGGGGGAAGGAATCAACAGATTTATTTTAGAACTCTGACTTCTGGGAAACATGACACATTTTACAGTGCAACGTTGTTAAACACAGCACATAAGCCCAAGCGAGAAGCTTATTCTTGAAGCCAGTGAAGGATGAACAGTCAAAGCACAATGATATGAAACTGCTGCTCAGAGAATATTCTGGTTGGAGTGATGTTGGTGGAGATGACTTGGCTCTTCCTCAAGCATCAACAAAGCCCAGATGTTACCAGGTGGAAAGTTCACTAAATTGACACATCTACAGGATTCCCACCTATGCAAAAGTGCATGGGATGGGTATGTTAATCTGCAATTGAGAAACAAACACTATTTTTTTCTAATTCACACTTGTACACTCCATAGCCAAATTAGCTCAAATTGAACATTCCAACATTCTTTTGCCCTTCAACATGGATCTGGACAACAAGTATGGCATCTGGTTGGCATTTTTTTGGAACAATATTGTATATCTCTGTGTCCAGTGAGGGTGGTGGGGCGAGGAGGGTAATCTGCAAAAGGAATGAGCAGGAAAGCAGCCATTAAGTGGGACGTGATCATTTAGTGAAAAGGAATGGATCCTGTTAAAGAACAGCAAATTTTGCATTCCTTATTTCTCCAGGAGCTCAAAATTTTATATATATATATATATATATATAATATATATATATCTATATATATATATATATATATATATATATATATATATATATATATATGTATATATGTATGTATGTATGTATGTATGTATGTATGTATGTATGTATTTTTACCTTGAATGTGCACCCTGTCAGCCCAAATATGGGAGAAAGAAATCTTCTTTCTTTTTCTTTTCTTTTGCCTGTATCAGTTCAATCTAGAGCCATCCATAAGCAGCAGTCGCCAACTGCGACATCATTTTACATTTTTTTTTATTTTTTTTAGGTTGCTAACAAAGAATAAAGAGAGAACTGGTATAGCTATTTCGAGTTCCTTTAACTCTCTTCAGCCAGACTTACTCTTCTGAGATTCGAGCCTGGGCTTATCTGCATGCTAGGCAGTTGTTATAACCTCTAAGCCACAGGTTCTCTCCCACTCTGTTAGCTATCAGGAGAGAGACAGGGGGAGGAGATTTTTACCTTGAATGTGCACCCTGTCAGCCCAAATATGGGAGAAAGAAATCTTCTTTCTTTTTCTTTTCTTTTGCCTGTATCAGCTCAATCTAGAGCCATCCACAAGCAGCAGTCGCCAACTGCGACATCATTTTACATTTTTTTTTAGGTTGCTAACAAAGAATAAAGAGAGAACTGGTATAGCTATTTCGAGTTCCTTTAACTCTCTTCAGAGTGGGAGAGAACCTGTGGCTTAGAGGTTATAACAACTGCCTAGCATGCAGATAAGCCCAGGTTCGAATCTCAGAAGAGTAAGTCTGGCTGAAGAGAGTTAAAGGAACTCGAAATAGCTATACCAGTTCTCTCTTTATTCTTTGTTAACAACCTAAAAAAAATTATGTATGTATGTACTGTATATGCCGGCGTATTAGGCGACCCGGCGTATAAGACGACCCCCGTCTTTAAAGCCGGGCCGCATTCCTAGAACGTCGTCTTATACGCCGGAAACTACCAGTATTTCCAGCGTATAAGACGACTTGGCGTATAAGACGACCCCCGTCTTTGGCGCCGATTTCAGCGCTCGCGGAAGTCGTCTTATATGCCGGCATTTACGGTATGTATGTATGTATGTATGTATATGTGTGTGTGTGTGTGTGTGTGTGTGTGTGTGTGTTTTCTGAGGTTTTCACGGGTGTTTATATGTAGGTCTTTGGTTCGGGTTTTCTCCCGTGTAAAATTGGAAGTGTCTTGGCAACGTTTCGACGAAGTCCCATTCGTCATCTTCAGGCTGGTGTTTTCAGCTTCGTGCTCCTTAATGGTTATAAAAATACGAATCCCGGGCATATTTGTTCAATGATGCAATCTTCGATCTCCGGGAAGAGTATACTCCAGTTATTTATTGTTAAAACAACATTTAAAACAATAAAAACAGTTATATACAAGATTAAAACAACTTAGCTTTCGCTGGTCCTCTGCCAGAGTGGGGCTTAGGGGGTGGGAAGTTCTTTTTATCCCCTTGCTGATCCAATTGCCTACTCATTGCCCTTGTGAAAGGGCCACTCTTCCTGATTGCCTGTGACTGCCTTAACTGTTCCACCCTCTCTTTTTTGCACTCTAATATTGTATTTTTCTGCTCCGTCATCCTTGTGCTGTCTCCCCCTCCCTGAGCTGTTATCATTAACACACTCCTTAATCCCTCCTCTCTACCCAATGCAAGGTGCCTCCTCCGATTCGGCACTACACGAGTCCTGTTGGGCTGCTGGTCCGCCTGCCGTTTTTGCATTCCATTGCCAGTTCCTATCTCATCTTCCTCCTCCAACTCCCTAGCCTGCCATTTATGGAACAGCAGTTATGCTCCAGGCTAGGAGGTGGGAGAACCTTGCTAAACGTGAGACGGTTAATTACCGAAAACTGTCCTTCCTACATGATTGCATTCGCAATGACTTGCCACCAAAATCTCTACGTAGAAGACCGATTGTAGACTCTATGGAAGCACAGATGGTGGTCCGGCAGTTTCGGCGCCGAACCATACGGGTTTTAATCAATGGCCACCATAGACGTATTAACACCTGGTCACCTATGATACGAAGATGCCAGGAGCTCTGTCGATCCACGCTGACACAGCAGCACTACAGGATCCTCAGCTCATACATATACAAGGCCACGAATAGGGCGTGTCGGAATAAGACCGAAACGCTCCACAGGAAGATGGAGACCCTGAGACAAACGCACAATCATAATCAGAACTCCAGATTGGTCCACAATTTGTCATCAAGAGACCTCATAGATGAAGAAACCAGATTATTACAATGGGATGCGGGCCTCAATTTGGGGGATGCCCAGCCCGTTGACTTTATTGTGGCCGTAGAACCAACTATACAAAGTATGGCCACTAGTGAGACAGAGAAGAATGCCATAAGACAATGAGTTATGGGATTGCTTACAGGCCACAAACAACACCATGTACTACCAGCAGGGGAGAGAAAGGCCCTGGAAGAGCTGCGCAAGGACAAATCCATCATGGTCCTGCCAGCAGATAAGGGAAGGGCCACGGTTGTCATGGACAGAGCCAAGTATAATGGCAAGACCCAGACCTTACTAGATGACAAAAGTGCCTATAAAGTAATTAGGACTGACCCCACAACGTCCATGAAAAATCAACTCAATAAGATCATAGATGGACTTAAGAAACGTGGAGGAATAAATGAAGAAGATCTGAGAGCTATACGGTCAAGGGACTCGGCTATGGCGAGATTTTATGGCCTATCCAAAATACATAAGGAAGGGACACCATTGAGACCCATTGTGGCACTTAGGGGCACACCCATGTTCGGTCTGACTAAATGGCTAAGTCGAAGGTTACAACATCTAGTGGAGGACAACACAACCACTGTGAAATCCTCACAAGAATTCCTACAGAGGTTAAAGAGGATGAGGATACGGGACAATGAGATTATGATCTCATTCGACGTAACATCGCTATTCACGTCCATCCCGCAAGAATTGGCCATGACGACTATAAAAGATCTACTACAACTGAAAGGACTATGGGGTCAAAGTTCCCTTGGGATAGAAGATGTTGTCAGGTTATTACGGCTATGCTTGAAAACGTACTTCATATTCCAAGGAACAATATATGAACAAATTAAGGGCACGCCGATGGGATCTCCTTTTTCGGGGGTCATTGCGGAGGCGGTCCTACAGTGTTTGGAAAGCAGGGCCATGGCCGACTACCAACCGGAGTTTTGGGCCAGGTATGTGGACGATACTTTCGTCATTGTCAAACGGGCAAGAAAAACTGCCTTTATGGAGAAACTTAACTCAATATTCCCGGATATACAATTCACGGCGGAGGAGGAGGCCAATGGCAGCTTGGCCTTCCTAGACGTTTTGGTTACACGTCAAATTAATGGTGCCCTCCATACGACAGTGTATAGAAAAGCCACTCACACCGACAGGATGTTGCACTATATGAGCAATCACCCAGCAGCCCATAAGATCTCATGCGTAAGGACATTATTTGCACGTATAGACACGCATTGTAATACCAGGAGGGCTAAGCAGAGGGAGCGTGCGCATCTTTATCAAGTGTGTAAGTGGAATGGCTACCCAACTAGCTTCATTCGGAGGTATAGCAAACGTCAAGAACCCCGCAGGGCACCGAATGATCCAGGGACAATGGCCCGGACAACAATACCGTATGTCCAGGGAGTATCGGAAGCAACAGCTCGTATATTGGCACCTTATAATATTAAAGTTGCTCACCAGCCTGATCAAACATTCTGGATGAAAGTCATGCGCCCTAAAGAGCCATTGCTGAAGGAAGAAAGATCAGCGGTTGTATATAGAGTGCATTGCAAAGACTGCCAATGTAATTATACGGGGGAGACAGCCAAACGAATAAAAACTAGGATACATGAACATAAATTGGCTGTCAGAAGGCAGGAGCAATACTCTCAAATATGGACGCACATGATTAATACCGGACATTCTTTTGATTTCAAGGAGGCAGAAGACATTGCCCAGGATGCCTCCAAAGGAGGACGCTTACTAAAGGAGGCCTGGTTCTCCAACACAGACTCCATCAACTGATGTATAGAACTGCCCTCGGTGTACCAGGCACTAAGAGTGCAGGAAGAGCATGTCAAGAGACGGATGCCGATTGTCAGAGGCGAAACCAGGACTGGGGGGAGGGTATTTACTACATGACTAGACATAGGGAGGATCCCATAGACATGTCACAGGTAGAGACAGATGAGGGAATATTAGGGTCACAGACAGGTAAGGGTAGTAAAGGAAGAGGAGGTGGATATGATGAGGGACTGCAAGGAGAAGGGGACCAGGGAAGACTCTTGGGAACAGCAGAATTGATCGTACGGCCCAGAAT